CCAGTGTCTCGCCTACTTTTTCTGTTAATCGCAGGCTCAACAAAAATGAGGAAGTAAATCAATAAAAATATTCCTCTTGATACTATCTTTTGATTGTAAGAAGTTTCTGTCCAAGTTTGGTAAAAATCTAGGATAGTTTATGAATCTAATAAATGTTTAAAAACTTTATCTGCAGACTGAATGTAATGTTAACTTGAAGAAAACAAAATTTCCTTCTAGATACTAGCATTTGATCATAAACAAGCTTCTGTTAAAGTTTGGTGCAAATCCAAAATAGTATAAGAAAGTTATTAAAATTTAAAAAACTTTAACCACAGAGTGAATGTGTTGTTTCCTGACAGGAAATCTAAGTCCATTTAAAAGTAAAATACGGAAAAAATTGATTTATTATTTTACAAAATTTCCTTCTAGATACTAGCTTTTGATCATAAACAAGCTTCTGTCCAAATTTGGTACAAATCCAAAATAGTATAAGAAAGTTATTAAAATTTTAAAAACTTTAACCACAGAGTGAATGTGTTGTTTCCTGGCAGAAAATCTAAGTCCATTTAAAAGTAAAATACGGAAAAAATGGATTTATTATTTTACAAAATTTCCTTCTGGATACTATCTTATGATCATAAACAAGCTTCTGTCCAAGTTTGGTAGAAACCCAGGATAGTTTAAGAAAGTTATTAAAATTTTAAAAACTTTAACCACAGAGTGAATGTAATATTTCCCGGCAGAAAAACTAAGTCCATTTATAAGTAAAATACGGAAAAAATGGAATTTTATTTTTACAAAATTTACTTCTGGATACTATCTTATGATCATAAACAAGCTTCTGTCCAAGTTTGGTAGAAATCCAAGGTAGTTTAAGAAAGTTATTAAAATTTCAAAAACTTTAACCACAGAGTGAATATTTGTGGACGCCGCCGACGACGACGACGCCGACGCCGACGGAATGTAGGATCGCTATGTCTCGCTTTTTCGACTAAAGTCGAAGGCTCGACAAAAAACCAACAAACTATTGGTGATTATCACTTAATCCTGCTTGCTAATTATTTTATGATAAAAATTACATTCAATGCAATTTTTCTAATAAAAAAATAATCATATTCCTTTATGCTATTCTTTTCTAAATATATCACGACCTTGCAAATTACTAACAGAGTTTTAGACTAATTAGAGGTCTGTTTTAAATCTTTTGATTTAATAAAGGATATTTTAGAAATTAACATTTTGACAACATAGAAAATAAAATGCTTCGCTGGGGTCGAGCTTGATACGACCGCAGAGGTCGAACCCTGAACAGTTGGGGCAAGTATGGACACAACATTCAAGCTTGATACAGCTCTGAATTTGGATTGTTATTAAATATTTGACACAGCATAGGTTTCTGACACAGAAAGAATGTGGTCTAAGAACTTGAATTTTTTTAATTTACCTATTATGGTCCAATGTCAAAAATCAAAATACATGGTTAGATTCAGCATATCAAAGAACCCCATATTTTCAATTTTTGTTGAAATCAAACATAGTTTAATTTTGGACCCCAACTTGGGCAAACTTGAAAACTGGGCCCATAATCAAAAATCTAAATACATGTTTAGATTCAGCATATCAAAGAACCCCAATAATTCAATTTTTGCTAAAATCAAACTAAGTTTAATTTTGGACCCTTTGGACCTTAATGTAGACCAATTTAAAAAACAGGACTTAAAATTAAAAATCTAAATACACGGTTAGATTTGGAATATCAAACATCCCCAATAATTCAATTTTTGATGAAATCAAACAAAGTTTAATTTGGACCCTTTTGACCTCAATATGAACCAATTTGATAGCGGGGCCCACAAATAAAAAATCTAAATTCATGGTTAGATTCAGCATATCAAAGAACCCCATATATTCAATTTTTGTTGAAATCAAAAAAAGTTTAATTTTGGACCCCAACTTGGACCAACTTGAAAACTGGGCCCATAATCAAAAATCTAAACACATGTTTAGATTTAGCATATCAAAGAACCCTAAGAATTCAATTTTTGTTAAAATCAAACTAAGTTTAATTTTGGACCCTTTGGACCTCAATGAAGACCAATTTTAAAAAATGGGACCCAAATTAAAAATCTAAAAACACGGTTAGATTTGGCATATCAAAGAACCCCAATAATTCAATTTTTGATGAAATCAAACAAAGTTTAATTTTAGACCCTTTTGACCTCAATATGAACCAATTTGATAGCAGGGCCCACAAATAAAAAATCTAAATACATGGTTAGATTCAGCATATCAAAGAACCTCATATATTCAATTTTTGTTGAAATCAAACAAAGTTTAATTTTGGACCCCAATTTGGACTAACTTGAAAACTGGGCCAATAATCAAAAATCTAAATACATGTTTAGATTCAGCATATCAAAGAACCCCATATATTCAATTTTTGTTGAAATCAAACAAAGTTTAAATACTGGACCCTATCTTGGACCAACTTGAAAACTGGGCCCATAATCAAAAATCTAAACACATGTTTAGATTTAGCATATCAAAGAACCCAAAGAATTCAATTTTTGTTAAAATCAAACTAAGTTTAATTTTGGACCCTTTGGACCTCAATGAAGACCAATTTTAAAAAATGGGACCTAAATTAAAAATCTAAAAACACGGTTAGATTTGGCATATCAAAGAACCCCAATAATTCAATTTTTGATGAAATCAAACAAAGTTTAATTTTAGACCCTTTTGACCTCAATATGAACCAATTTGATAGCGGGGCCCACAAATAAAAAAAATCTAAATACATGGTTAGATTCAGCATATCAAAGAACCTCATATATTCAATTTTTGTTGAAATCAAACAAAGTTTAATTTTGGACCCCAATTTGGACCAACTTGAAAACTGGGCCCATAATCAAAAATCTAAATACATGTTTAGATTCAGCATATCAAAGAACCCCATATATTCAATTTTTTGTTGAAATCAAACAAAGTTTAAATACTGGACCCTATCTTGGACCAACTTGAAAACTGGGCCCATAATCAAAAATCTAAACACATGTTTAGATTCAGCATATCAAAGAACCCCAAGAATTCAATTTTTGTTAAAATCAAACTAAGTTTAATTTTGGACCCTTTGGACCTCAATGTAGACCAATTTAAAAAACAGGACCCAAAATTAAAAATCTAAATACACGGTTAGATTTGGAATATCAAAGAACCCCAATAATTCAATTTTAGATGAAATCAAACAAAGTTTAATTTTGGACCCTTTTGACCTCAATATGAACCAATTTGATAACGGGGTCCACAAATAAAAAATCTAAATACATGGTTAGATTCAGCATATCAAAGAACCCCATATATTCAATTTTTGTTGAAATCAAACAAAGTTTAATTTTGGACCCCAATTTGGACCAACTTGAAAACTGGGCCAAAAATCAAAAATCTAAATACATGTTTAGATTCAGCATATCAAAGAACCTCATATATTCAATTTTTGCTAAAATCAAACAAAGTTTAATTTTGGACCCTTTGGACCTTAATGTAGACCAATTTGAAAACTGGACCCAAAATTAAAAATCTAAATACACTGTTAGATTCGGCATAACAAATAAATAAATGTGATCAAAGATTTTACAAATCTAATGCACCATACTGTGCAATTAAAGATTACTTCTTGAAATTTTTCAATATTTGAAATTTGAAAAAAAAATAATATTTGAAGAATAATTCTTTTTAATTTCTGAAATCTGAAATGAGAAAAAATTGACCCCCACAATTTCTTTTTATCCCCCCCCCCCCCTTTTTTCCCCAAAAAAATTCTTTCCCTCAAGATATGGTCATAATCTCAATTCAAATTTCCAATGGAGTTGGCAACCATAATTACCCATTTAAATTTACCATAGTGCTAACTTAATCTATTTTATAATAGAATTAAAAATATAGTGTCAAATCTTTCATATGGATTTTTTGTAAAAAAAAAAGATGCAACATTTGCAGATATTTTTACTGGTCTTCCTTTATAAATATGTATTTCTTTAAACATAATTTAAAAGCAGTGTAAGGGAAGTAACCAAAACGTTGTATTTGGATTACCTCCCTTACACTGTTTTAAATTATCTTTATTGTTCATTAACCATTACTTTATACATAATTTAAAAGCAGTGTAAGGGAGATAATTTCAATGATGTATTTGATTTATCTCCCTTACACTGCTTTAAATTATGTTTTGTACTAAAGTATTTGTCCATTAACCAGGACAACCTTGTTTTTCCCCCTTTTTTGCCCCTAATTCCTAAACGGTTTGAGCCATAACCCCCCAAAGCAAATCCTAACCATCCCTTTGTGGTATGGAAACTTGTAGTATAATTTCAGAGAAATCCATACATCGTTCCACAGTTATTGTCTGGAAACTAGAAAATGCTTATTTTTGGCCCCTTTTTGGCCCCTAATTCCTTAACTGTTGGTACCATAACCCCCAAAATCAATCCCAACCTTCCTTTTGTGGTATTTAACCTTATGGTCAAATTTCAAAAAGATCCATTCACTTAAACTAAAGTTAGAGTGCGAAAACCAATGTGTCTTCGGACGACGACGACGACGACGCCAACGTCATACCAATATACGACCACAAAATTTTTTTGCGGTCGTATAATAAATAACTTATCAAGGAAAATTTTGCATTCGCTATCAAATGTATGTTTAATGAACAACAAAATTTAAAAAATTGAATGAAAATACTTATAAAGTTAACAAACTAGAAATAGTCTGTGAAGAGTTTTAATTTATACCCACACTTTCTCATTTGAGATAAATTTGATATATAGCTATGGGAAAGTCCAAAAATCTTCACAGAAAAAAAATCTGTAGTACACAATGCCAGGCATCAGTGACTTTTTGAAAGTTTCATAGAAATCCAGGTATTGGTTTAGGAGAAGTTGCAGATAAAGAGTTATGAACAAATGAACACAATACTCACTATGAATCTATACTAATAAATAAATTAATAAATAGACAAAAAATTCAATAAATAAATATATTACATGTTACATTAGATCAGATCTTTACCAACACGATCATGTCGCCACAAACACATTAAAACTAATCAATCCTCTTTCTTATAAATACAGTACACTTGTGTATTACTAAGCATAACAATAAAAGAAAGACAAAGGCCTGAACAGATATATATATTGGTTGTTGGTTTTACTTTAGACTACTGGAAGACCCCAACATACTGCAGTTTTATCAGCACCTGTTGTAACAAATGCTAGTTGAGAGGGATGCCATCTGCACTGCAGCGCCTTATCTTGATGTTCTGCTACAACTACACTTGGTAAAGGCTTTAATAAGTCACCTAAAACAAACATGTGCAAATATTACTTTTTGTAGTAAATGGGACACAGATACCCAAATTCGTACTTGATCTAAGTTTTGTGGTAATGAGCATTGTGTATAAGTTTCATAACATTTGGTTGAGGCAAACTTAAGTAAGAGAACGGAAACGAAAAAATTCAGCAATTTTTCCATTTGTAAAGGGGCATAACTCTAGAAAGGTAAAAGTGATGCCACCAAAATTCAAACTTGATCTGTGTTTTGTGGTAATAGGCATTGTGTATAAGTTTCATATCATTTGGTTGGGGCAAACTAAAGTTAGAAAACGGAAACCAATTTTGGGACGTACAGATGACTGGACGTACTGGACAGACAAATAAGGGTAAAACTTAATGCCCCCTCTGCTACGCATGGGCAAAAAAAACATTAATTTAATGTGCAAGTATTGCTTTTACAGAGACTACATTTAAAATCAATGCTTTTTGAATATTATAGCTTCATGAATATGCATGGGATATAAGACATCAGATGTAAAATCGATCATTCACTCATTCATTACATTTTTTCAGCAATTTTCACATATTTTTAATTTCTCGTCTTGATTAAAGAATGTAATTTGCTTTCCATTTTTGGTTGGTTGACATTAAATTGGATCAAGAAAATTACAACCTTGGATTCTTGACCTGTTTGCAACTGTGAGAATTTTACAGTACTATTTTCCTATTTTTAAGTCTGAGTCTTGATCCTTATGAACAACACCTATTCTTTATCAAGTTTTTATTTTTTGTCTTCGTTGATTCAGATCACCCCCGGTTTTTTGGTATTTAATACTCAGTCTTTAGTTTTCTATGTTGTGTTATGTGTACTGTTGTCTTTTTGTTGTTCTTTCATTTTTGACATGGAATTGTCAGTTTGTTTTCGATTTTATAACACAGAAACTTACAATGCAAATCTGTCAAGACAACCTTTTGATCATACAAAGTAGACAAAAGGTAGTATTACTTACCATGCTAATCTGTCAAGACAACCTTTTGATAGTACAAAGTAGACAAAAGGTAGTATAACTTACAATGCAAATCTGTCAAAACAACCTTTTGATCATATGAAGTAGACAAAAGGTAGTATAACTTACCATGCAAATCTGTCAAGACAACCTTTTGATCATATGAAGTAGACAAAAGGTAGTATAACTTACCATGCAAATCTGTCAAGACAACCTTTTGATCATATGAAGTAGACAAAAGGTAGTATGCATTCATCGAAAATCTTGCTGATCGACATTCCCCTTTATGTGGTTTAAAGTTCTGTATCCCTCTGGAGCCTCTAATATCATACAGCATTATACTGCCATCTTCGTGTCCAGAAGATAGCAGACGTCCAGAGGGATCTATACAAACTGATGCAAATGCACTTCCTGAAAACAAAAATATTTTGTCTAAGTCCAGTAGAAAATCTAGTGTAAAAAAATTATCTCCCCTGCAAACAATGAAAACTGATCTTTTCAATGTTTGTACTGTTTTAGCAAGTACACTTTTAATTATAAAATCACAAGAAACCCATGCGAATAAATTCATTGAGTTCAGACTTCAATTTATTCTTTCCTGGCTGTATACCATGAAACATGCCAATTATTTATATACATATGCAGCTAGATCAAAGAAATTCAGGAATGCCAAAATACAATGAAAATTATTAGAAATAAAAACAAAATTTCCATATGATGTTATTGTTGAAAATATGTATATTTGTGAATATGTATTATGCTAATGACTATATACAGTAAGCACAGAGAGTTTGTAATCGCGAACTCTAATCACGGATTTCGGAGTGTAGCGGTGTCACACCGCGAATCACGGATTATACTCCCAATTTCCTCCAAAGATTCTCTCCCAACACCGCGTGGCTGTTAATTGGTTTATTGCCCATCGGATGTACTGAAAATTAATGACGCGTGACAACATAATCGGATTAGCCAGATTTATTACCTTTGTACATTTTATCGATCTTGATTGCACCTGTGTGCTTTAAAACACGGTATTAAAATTTCCTTTCGTTGACAGATAAAAATGTGACATTTTCATTCAAAATAAGATAATTATTCTTGTATGTATTTGCCCAATGTCATTGTCATTTGAAATAAAACGTACATTATAAAAATACGAATAAAACACTTATTTTGTATTTTTATTATAGTCCGGTCAAAATGATGTTTTTACGGTAATCTGTCCAATCTAAACCCAAGAGTTAATTTATCAGATCAACAAGTGAACTCTGTTACTTTCAATTTATTTTGCAATGTAAAATATTATGTTTCACTACCTCGGTAGATTACCGACTTGAAATATTTGAACTCAGAAAAGAAACTGTAAAGTGACAACTCTGTTGAACGAAGGGAAAACGTTTTGTATGCAATGTGCCCTATATTCATAAAAACACAACACTGAGAGACATTCCCCGCCCAGACACAACACAATAATCACAACCTAATTTAATTATATGAAGAAAAAAAAATCATGTGTTGTTTATCTCTGTTATGATCTGTTATTGATCCTTTATTATTTAAAATAAAATTGGATGGGCGCAATCCTTATTTTATTGCTCGTTAAAAGTCCTTGGCGAAATAAAAAAAAGAAGTATTTCAACAATTAATACTATAGAATATGTAAATGAAATTATATCGTGTTCTACAAGAAAGAAATATGTGAAAAAAATGTGGATCGGATTTTTACGATCTACACATTTTCACAGAGGATCTCTACCAACGCCCAACAGGAACTGAACGACATGCATCCTGTTTCCATCTACCATTTATGTATATTGTTGACCATGGACGTTTAAATAATGTCCAGGTTTATGTCCTGTGTTGAATGAGAAACGTAAAATTAAAAGGCTGGTGTTCGTTTATTCAGAAAAGGATTATATTTTAGATTCCGGTTAATCAATTGTAAAAGGACCTTCTAGAGCCTCAATCTTAAGGCATACAAATGTCAATCATTCCAAAGCAAATTTTTTAAACCCCGAATGAATTTTCCCACGGTCAGCCAGAAAGGTCACCTGAGTTTACCGTTACGTGATAATATTTCCCACCAAATAAAAATCTCGTGGACAAAATTGATGTCACTATTTTTAGCATTCAATATTGTGAGAGAAGTCAAGTTCAAAGTTCAACCACGGACTGTTGATCACTGAGATGCGTATCGTCTTCCCACGGCAATTAATTTCTTTTAAAAAATTTAAAAATCACTGTCCTTTATACAACACACAAGTTTACATTCATTGTGCGTAAATGAATATTATGCAACGAGGAGTTGATGCAGCTATAGAAGTATTCCTGTTGTAGCCGAAATGTAATTATTTATCCTAAAGTAATGCCAACAAATCGTAAAGAGAAAATGCCGTAGACTTATTAAGCATAACGAATGGTGAATAGTATTTTCTTTTTTACTTGCATATACAAATTTTGAGACACATAATTTTCTTTAAACTGCTCACTTTTATATTCAGCGTTAGTTTCCGTTTATTTTTACGCAAGTATGTCTCTTTTCGTAAATAAAATAATTTACCGATGAACTTAAACAAGGTCAAAATCAAGTATAGTTTTTGTTATAAAACTTTAATGCAATTGAAAGAATTAACAACAATATTCTGCTTTTAAATCTTTAATTTGTTTCAAGCAATTATGTAATCGTAAAATGAAAATGGCGTGGACTTATTAGCATAACGAATAGTGAATAATATTTTCTTTTTTACTTGTATACAAAACTTTGAGACATGTAATTTTCCTTTAAACTGCCCACATTTATTCAGCGTAAGTCTCCGTTTATTTTTACACATGTATATCTCTTTTGTAAATGAAATTTTAATTTACTGACCAGAAAAAAAACGAGGTAAAAATCAAATATAGTTTTTTTTTAATAAAACTATTTTTAAATGTACAGTGTAATTGAAAGAATTAACAACAACGTTTTGCTTTTAAATCTTTTATTTGTTTCAAGCAATCAGAAATATAACCTGATTATCAATAGACAGGAAATACAATTGTTTAATTACATAAGTAATCTCGCATACCTTGACTGTCGCGTGCCGGTATAGATCAGAAGGATTAGGGCAATTAATTACCTGGTGTGACACCTCGTCACAACGGACTGGGAGAGATGTCGTTAATACAATAAACAAAAGGTAGCGAATTTACGCGGAAGTCGGAGGGAATACTCCCAAATTTCTCCGAGAATTTAGGGAGGGATGTCGGTGTTTCCTGGTGTCACACCAAGAAAAAACTTGGTGTTCGGAGTTTGGGAAGCCTTTCGCGAAATTTGTACTGTACATATGCAAAACACTCTAAAAGTCGGTAATAGCAAAGAACTTTAGATTTTGTATGAACATGAATTTTAACAATTTTTTTTATCAATATGCAGCAAAGATTCACATTTTTTAAATTTCAGTGTAGCAAGCTTCCAATGCAAGTATCTTGATAAATAATGAAAATAAAACATTGTGTATATTTTAAATAACATAGTTTAATTTCTTTAAAAGGTATGATTATGATTTAGGGCTATTCCATTAAAATGTATGTGGGAGGGTAGGAAGGGACTTTCAAAATATCCCTACAACCAATAACCATTTTTTAGATAATTTTGCATAATGGAAATAGATTCATACCGAAAAAAGACCCATGACCCATATTTAATAATTAAACTTCCCTTCCTACCCTCCCACATACATTTTAATGGAATAGCCCTTAGAAAAAAACTTTAAATCAGTATGGTTACCTAGATAATCAATCTATTGATTTTGACATTTTATATAACAACAGTAGCTTTTTGTTATTAGTTTTGTCTAATATTACCTGTAGCACTAGGTACAACTGTAATAGCTGTTGAAGCTCTTAGGTCCCAGAATCTGGCAGTCTTGTCTTGTGACCCACTGACAAACATGCAGCCTCCTGTTGTATGTAATGAATAAACATGACCTGCAAAGTAAAAATAGAAGTTTCTGGTGAAATATGTATTCTAGTTTACTGAGGAAGGAGTTTAATATAAACACAAAAACACCTAAGCTCTGTTAGTGTGCATGGAGTTATACTTAAATTTGAGTCTGGCTTAAAAACAATGTCTACACAGTCAAAAAGTAAATAACTTCACATAAACTTTTTCAAGACAGATAATTTTTTTTAAGAACACATTTATAGAGCTGTGGTTTCATTTTAATACAGGACAAGATGGACTTATATGAAAGACAGCCTAAAGGAGATGCTACTTTTTAAACTTACATATGTAACTTTATAGAAAATATTGTCTATTGTAAGTAGTTCCTATCAAACTAACTTAATCAGAAAACTTAACATTGAAAAAAGTAAATTGACTGAAAGTCACTGGACAATGACCTAGGGGGCAGGGCCTTGAAATAGTCGTTAAACTGATATGTACTGTTAGTAATGCAGCTTTGTAGAAAATATCATTGATCTATCGCAAGTATAGTTTATATCAAACTAACGTAAGCAGAAAACTTATCTTTGAAAATGCTAATTAATTGAAAGTCACTGAACCATGGCCTAGGGGGCAGGGCCTCAAAATAGTCATTATAACTGATATATACTGATAGCACTGCAACTTCACACAAAATATCATTGCTCTATCACCAGTAGTTCCTATCAATCTAACTTAAGCAGAAAACAACATTTGAAATTGCTAATTAATTTAAAGTCACTGGACCATGGCCTAGGGGGCAGGGCCTCATAATTGTCGTCAAACTGATATGTACTGATAGTAATGCAACTTCATACAAAATATCATTGATCTATCACAAGTAGTTCCTATCAATCTAACTTAAGCAGAAAACAACATTTAAAATAGCTAATTAATTCGAAGTCAATGGACAATGGCCTAGGGGGCAGGGCCTCAAAATTGTTGTCAAACTGATAACTATTTTTCTTTAACTGAAATTAATATTGAGTCACATTGCAACAAGTCATTATCTTATAAATTTTATAGTTAGTGAATTCTCCAACCTATTTAAAATTTGCACAAAAGATTATTTTGAGTTATCTCCCTTGATATGTCACAATACGAAATTTTATGTTTATTTTGATATTTAACATTTGATGAGCTACGTAATACATATTTGTAAACTTTACTTATAATTTGTGGTCTTACAATAATAATTCATTTTAACAAATTATTATTTAGAATGAAAATGTGAAAATGAAAACTTCAATATATACTCAGTTGGTATCATTTAATTTGAAAATTCTATTTCAAAATGTTACTTTAATCAGCCTATGTATTGGATACCTAAATTACATAAAGTTTTTGAGCTTAGCTTGCTAATAAAAGCAGGTCACATACAACAAAATAAAACAAAACACACAATAACCGCATTAAAAGAAAATGTATGCAGAAATAAGCCTAAATCTTACATCACATGACCACAAGAGAGCCCAAAATCTTTATGTGCCTCATAATATATTGTAGAAAAGCAATTTCCCATAGAAAAAGGAATATCTTCAATAATGCTTCTCATTTGCATATACCGGTAGCATATTTCAGTGGCTAGTAATGAAAAAAAAGATTCTTAAATCCAAATATTTTTTCAGTTGTACAACAGTGGCCACCAAGCACTATATACCTTCAAAAAATCATATAAAGATCATATCCTTTCAAGTCTAGAAGGACATGACTTGAATTCAGTTATTATTTTAAATGTCAAATATCTTTTTGTACATTTTAAATAGTAAAAAAGTCTTTCATAATTGTGTTAATTAAATTGATACAGTAGAGTTTAGTTACTGCACGGAAAGCTCACAAAATGATACCCCAAGCTACCATGTAAGCAATGGCAAAGTTTGCTTAGGGAAACCCCAATAGTATTTCTGATAAAAGAACAAGATAGGAGATGGGAAATGGCATTATATTGATAAGATAATGAGAACGTTTTAATAAATTCTAATATGGGATTTCAGGAGTTGAAGATACACAATTAGTAACCCCTAGATAAGCAACAGCAAACTCCATGATCTGCAGAGGGATAACCCTTAAATAATTCTGAAAAAAGATTACAAGGTTCGCAATGGCATAATATGGTGAGGATTCTGAGAAGTTTCATTAAATTTAAATAAGAGGTTTAGGAGCAGAAGTGGATACAGATGGGAACTGTAGTATGCAGTCACAATTATAGTACATGTCATGACAAAGCAAACCCAAAAATCATTGGAAAGATGTTGATGATAATAAATAGTTGTTAAATGTCCAGCAGCAAATTAAATACCTAATCAGGAAGAGATCATGTCAATGTGATATAATGTACCAGATTTGTACTAAACTAAAATTCTGAGCTGGATTTAAACTACCTAGTTCACAAGGTAACAATAAGCAGGAAGACATGTGATTCTACCCTGACACATTATTCTGACTCTAAGCCAACCCGTCATTGCTCTCACTCCTTAACGCGAGTCATTAGCAGATACCAATTTTAAAGTTTTTGATTTGACCTGGCCCGGGGATTGAACCCACGACCTTCCACACGCGAGGCCAGCATGCTACTACGAGACCACAGAAGCCGTTATTCATTAGGAAGAAGAAATGAAATAGGAGGTGCAAAAGTATATGATTGAGTAAGATTCTGTTAATGTTTCACAAATTCTGTCCAAGCAGTTCAGGAGCAGTAGCAGATACCATGAAGGACAGAAGGATAAAAAACAAACATATGGACGACCTATCACTATATACCGCCCGTTTCAATCTAATTTCTTAAGAACATCTGAAGGATAATATTCAACAGATTTATGAAACTTTGTTGATTTTCAAATTCAAGGAGCCAAAAAAGTTGCCTAATCATTCCTTCTTGAAAAGACAAAAAATATCTGTATTATAATTAATATGTGCTATGCACTTATCATTTGTATCTTGATGGAAATTTCTGAATCCCTTTTTACCTGAATGTCCCATCATTGCCCTGACAGGCATTCCTGTTTCACAATCTGTAACATAGATTTTACAATCACCAGCACCACCACTGACCAGTAATGATGATCTATTTATGGTATCTTGCATGAAAACTAAATCTCTGATAGTGCCATCATGACATGTTAATTCCATTTCTGGTCCTGAAATATATAGAGAGATGCTTCTTCTAAACTTGCCTTTCAATCCATACAGGATTTTTTAGTTCATTAAATAAACTTAGTCAGAAAACTTGTCAAAAATAATTGTAAGATGTTTGAATAATGTCATCATCTGTATAAATATTGACCTGATTATAAATGTTTTAATGGATGAGTAAATATGTGCTATTTTATTTAGATTTTTTTTATATAGAATTAAAGATTTTTTCTATTTTTGTAATACAGAGACAAATGATTGCTCTTATCTTGTCACCTCCATTTTCTTTATATAGTCAATATTAGAAAAATCCTGTATCATCAGTGCAAATACAGTTTTTTAATTGTATCAAGCTTATAATTTCCTAATTATTTAAACCATAAATTAGTCAGTATTGACAAACATTTAGTCATTACCATCTGTGCAGTTATCTACATCAAACTTGAACATTTTAATGGTCTTATCATTAGAGCCACTCGCTATCATATCTCCAAGAGGACTCCAGGCTGAACAGTATATGGATCCTTTGTGGTGCTTGTTCTTCCTGTGAACAACTTTGGCATCTTCTACGATACAGTTCTCACTGAAATTAAAGATATCCAAATATTGTTATGAGGGATGGATAGGGTTTACAGAATAGAGAATAATGGGTAAAAAATGCAGAATAATGGGCAAAAAAAATAAAGAATAGAGAAAAAATAGGGCAAAAAAAATGTGAATAGAGAATAATAGGGTGTTAAAATATAAAGAAAAGACTAATGGGGAAAAACTATAAAGAATAGAGAAAAATGACCTAAACATTTTTTTTTTAAAATACAGAAATGAAGGACCCCCCCCCCCCCCCCCCCCTTTGCGCATCCAGACCCTCTGTTATCTTTGAGGTGATACTGCAGGTACTCAAGAAAAATCTCATAATTTGAAAAAGAAAACATTGTCACTTGTGCTGTGCTTTCTTAGAAAAAGATTGAGTTTATGATACTTGCACGACAAAGTCAATCATTTTCAATGTTTTTTTTCCTCCATGAACCATCAACAACAACATGCAGAGCTAAAATTTAGGACATGGACAGATGCATAAATACATTTGTTTGATAAAATGTAATACTGCTAGCAATACTGTGGAGTCCTTAATTTTCGTCGGTATCAATTTTTACAGGATTGAGGAAAAATTGTATTTTCGTGGATATCTGCATATAGAAAATATATATTCTGTTGAAAAATTCCAATTTGTGGTTCACAGATACCCACGAAATCCACGAAAATTGGTATTCCATGAATAATAATAAATCCACAGTAATTTGAAAAAGAAAGGCCAAAACTCAAAGGTCAACTTTGTCTTGGGGAATTTAAACCTTAGATTCTTGGAAAAGTTACAGTATTTATTGATTGAGAATAAATCAAAAGCTATCTATCTAATGAATTAAAGCCCCTGCTGAAGAACTGATTACTGAATACCTAGAATTCCATCAACAATTGTAATGACCTATAGATAGGTTTCGAATGATATTATTTGAGTTTGAGTTATTTCCCTTGGCTGCCATTTTGGAGGGATAAAAAGTTGATTTTCTTACTAGACTAATCAAATTGAAATATGCAATACACACAAATCTGATATAAGTTCCTACTAGATTCTAGGGATGAATTAAGAAAGGCTACAAGAAATTAAAATTATTAAAAAAAACAACATATTTTTAAGGTGTAGAGGTCAGTATAACAAGTTGAATATGGCTGATTTATGAAGGAATTTGCAAACTTTGACCTCCATTAATCATGACATGGCAACAAAGAGAAGTAACTTGTGCCCAAATTGTGTCAATCAAAACCTATCCATTTGTAGCAAATAAGTCAAATTTACTGAATTTCTAAAATACCATTTTAGGTCATATATATTTTTAAAAAACAATGATGCCATAGGTAAACTATTCCAGCACTACTAATGTACCTAGAATTTCTCATGGATAGATATTTTGATGTTTTCGTCTAACAAAATGTATCAATATGCTTATATTTTTCTGTTAACCAAATTGTGAATATGATGACATATATCACTGCTTGTCATTCCTTGTAGCAATCAAATAATGGTGAAAAACTTGAGTACTGAAGGGTAAAGATTGCATTCATTTTGCAATGTTCAGGTATTTAAAATAAAATACTGAATTGTATTTAGCTAGGCAAATTATAAATTTGAGTTGGAGTTATCTTCCTTTATTCAATATTGTACACTCCTACTAGAACACAATTTTAAAGCAGATTCATACTATGTAAACTTTAATAAAAAAAAGTTTGCTTGAAAAGTATGGTACATTTGTAATCCAAAAACACATTATATTGTAACTTAAATATCTAAGGATAACATATCATAAATGAATTGCATGACATTGGCTTGATAAGATCTTAAGAATGATCACTTCACTCCATTATTTTGTTTGAACTATAAAAGGTATTGATAAACCTTGGAAAAGATAGATATCAAGTCAGTATCATAAGGATTTTGATTTCATGCAACTTTACCCCCCATAAAACTTAACAAACTAAATCAAACCTTAGGTTAGATACATCAGGAAATTCACATATTCTGAGTATTTTGGAGTTTGAACCAACAGCAAACAAGTTCCCTGCAGGATGAAAGGTAACGGTTCTAATAGCTTGAGCATCTTCTAGACTGGCCACTGGTACAAATCTTGGTTTGTTGCTTTTGTTTTCAATCTGAAATAAGTCATGTCATGCAAGAATGATTATACATCATAAAAAATCTGCCGTTAATTCAAACATTTAACTATCCATCTTGTTACTTAGGAAGTATTGTGGATAAAACTAGTGGGACAGATGCAGACATCAAATCAAGAATTAGTAAAGCTCCAAAAGCCTTTGCTATGATGAAGCCTGTTTAGAAAACACCAAAATTCGCATCTTCAACACCAATGTAAAATCAATCCTGTTTTACGGAGCTGAAACCCCAGGAGACTTACAGCTGGAGTACAACAGAAAACCCAGGTTTTCATCAACAAATGCCTGCAACAAATTTGTAAATTTTGGTGGCCAAAAACAATAAGTAATAAAACCTTATGGGAACGTACCACCTAGGAACCAGCAAATTATACCTAAATAGCAGAACATGGCCATGGATTGGCCACACCTTGAGGAAACCTGTTGAAACCATCACTAGACAGGCTTTAGAATGGAACCCTCAAGGACATCGGAGACATGGAAGACCATTTCACGGCTAGAGAAGATCAAGGCTGAAGGAGCTGGAGAAGATCGGATATACCTGGAGCATAGCAAACAGTCAGAACAGCCCAAAACAGAGTAAGATATGGAAAGCGACTGTGGCAGCCCTATGTTCCACAATGAATGAAGAGGACTAAGTAAAGTAAGTCTTGCTTACAGGTGGATATAATTAGTTAACTATCTCTATGGAAAAAGATGGATGTTTTGGGGTTCTTTTATATCTTAGAAAACATTCATTATCAAAGTTATTTTTGTATTTTCTGATAATTGACTTCAGTTGAGGCTAGTTTCTAGCTTACAAGGGAATCAGTTAAAAATTACTGTTTCTTTTAGTCTACTAAGAAATCAGTTCAGACATTGCATTGATAATGCCTTTTCATTATAATATACCTGTTTTGGTTGCCTTCTTGGACTAGATGTGACTTGTTCTGGACTTGGTTTTGGGCTTGCTCTATGTTGCACTGTTGTTGGACTGTCTCTATGAGCCTTGGTTTCTAAAGAGCACACATAACATTCATATATATGAAACATTTCATAGAGAACTGAAAGACAGCACATGGAAGGTGATAATGAATCTTCTATAGAGTGAGGGAATATTTTTTTTTTTTGCTTTTGACAATTTTAGACTTAAAATACCTCCTTTTGTATAGTTCAAGAAGGGAGATAATCTACTGCTTTTTATGATATATTTCATGAAAGATAAGGTATAATTATTAACAAGTTAAAAAGTATTCCAATGTTGATGTTTTAATAGTGATATTTATATTTAAATTCAATAATTAAACAAGTATCTCATAATTGGTTATTATCAATATTGACTATGTATTTTTTTTATTTGTATATTAAAATTCTTCAATTTATTAAAAAAATAAAATTTCAATACAATAAAAACACCTTTTTCTCTAATATTAACCAGTAAAGAAAACTTCTTGTTGTGTCTATAAAAATACATGCATATATAAACTGTAGATTTTATAGGCTTTGCATGGAAGATATATTAATTATTCAGGAAAAGGAAAGCGCTTTAATTCCAATTCACACCAAGACAATAAGTATAGTCGTATAGTGATGAACTCAGTTAATAAATAAAAGAATAGTTAGTACACAATACTCAGTCAATATCATAAATGCATTCCTAAGGGAAATTTCCAGTAAATGTGATTTGCTATTATGAAAGCAAATGTTTAGAAGTTATTGAATAATAAAATAGAACCTTTTAATATTTATACCATTTCCAAAATGACTAACTATATGATTTTACTTTTAGATGTGTTTCCACAAAATAAAAATTTTCAAGCTCCCAAAATACAAATGGGTGAATTTCTACTTTGAACATCGCAAATTAAAAAGAATAAATCTCTAAAATTGACAATAAAGTTAATTTTTTACTAGTGTGATATATTTTTTTAACTTGTTGATGTCCCATTATAACCTCTAACGAGAATAGACAGAATTCAGAAGCACTTGCTCAAGTATAATCCTACAATACACTTTATGGAAGAGCCACTGACATACAATAACCTGTAGGAATGGCATGAGTGTTGGGATATCAGAGAATTCTCCTTACGGAAAACATGGAAATGTCTGACCAAGACTTGGTGCAGCAAATTCTTTCTCTGTTTTCTTAACAAATTTTTAATTTGCATATAGGATATAATCTTCAGTTTTATATTTTTTTATTTTTGACTTATTCAAATTTAACATTCAAAATTTCTGAGGAAAAAATCTTCTTTTTCATATTTTCCAACATATTAATTAACAGTCTACTGCATTAAATACTATTTTATGAACTCAACATATTTAGCTACCCCAAATTTTGGGTCAGCCATTTCTATTCTAGTATTTTTGATAATTGACTGTTGTGTGACATACATGTACCATAGCACCAGCAAAATTGCATTATGTGCCACAAGATATCAAGAAAATTTAAAACTACTTTCTTGATGAGTTGCCACTTTATGAATAATGTATCCCATGGATACAATTTAAAAAGTATATAGTTTTGAGCTCTCTTTTTTTGTCCTTTGGTAACAGATTAAACCAGACTGAACTAAGAAGGCCAATTGTTGTTTTCCGACAAAAAAATAACTTCATTAGATAAAATCATTTCTACAGCTGATGAATTCATATCATTTTTCACTAGGAACTTTGTTATGTTTTCCTGAAATCATTTGAAAGCATAAACAAAGAATAATATTTTTAAACATATCGAAAATGAAAAAAAAAAAAAATAATGCAAAAGGAAATATAACCAAAACAGTGAACACAAAAAGAATGTTTTCATGCAAATCAACATAAAAGCCCTCAGTTTGTAAGCAGGTTAATAATTTTCTTTAGTTTTGACCCAGAGGAAATGCATGATACATGCATCATGCAGAATACCTCTGCTTCCAAGGGGAGAAGACCCTGTTTTAGTTCTGTCTAATTTACTTGGAACTTTCAGTGAATTTGGTCTTGTTGGTGATGTCTTAGATTTGCTTGGGCTGCTCTTTGGAGTGCTAGGTCCTGGACTAGATTTGCTTGGACTGCATTTTGGAGTGCTACATGTAGGCCCTGGACTAAGACCAGGTTTTTTGGTTCCTGGCAGTTTTGAACGACAAACTGTGCCAGTGGTTTGAACACTTCCCTTGGTTTTTGGTCCACTCCTTCTTGGTAAAGTAGCACTTGAGCCTACTCATGCAAAAATTAATCATTTTTTTCAGAATTTGACATAAAATGCAGTAACACACTTTCTGTCCATAAATGCAGTCGAAGTTGCTTGTGATTACTGTATTTACCAACTGAGATTCTACATGTATTTTTACCAGACCGTTTTAAGAACACAAACAAAATCAATTCATATTATATATTCTTTCAGAATTCAGACTACAATTTTTACATAGATACAACATAATATGCCTCTGATTTTAACATTAAATGCACTTTTGAGAGTTTTGAAAAATAAAATGTTCAGTCGTCTGAGATAAAGTAATACATTTAATTTTTTTATACAAGCATACATTGTATATCCGGTACATGTTCTGGTCTATAAAATTATAGGTTGGACAGCCAAGTAAATTTTCCTTATAATATCCTTCTTGAAACAATCATTAGTTATATTTTACAAGTATAGTTTGTGTGTTAGTTTATACATTCCACTTACCAATCTTATTCAAATCAGATTTTTCTGTTGGTATACTGTAAGATATGGACTTATTTCTTTTATTTGTCATATCAGTTTGCTGATCTGAATTTTCAACAATGCTGTTTTGGTCCAGAGTAGAGTTATTTCCCCTTGAGCTGTCTTTATTCAAGTTATCTTTCACCTCCTGATTAACCAAAGCCTTTACTGTTTTACTTGTATTAGCCACTAAATTGTTTTTGTCATTCTCAATGAATGTGCTGTCTGTTTCACTATCAGAAATATTATTTGTTAAATCAAAAATAGGGGGTCCAGGGAGGGGTGTCTTATGATGCGTTGGTGTTATAAAGGGAGTGAATTGCGGTGTTTCCAAGATATTGTAACCTTCATGGGAATAAGGAGTCACTGGTGCTGATACTGGGCCATTTCCCAGTGCCATTTGTTGTGGCGTATCTAAATCGAAATCATCTGAATAAAAAAAAAAAATATACAACATCTATAAATAATATTACACATTACAAAAAACATAATTACACTAAAGCTCATGTGGACTTTGTCAATTTCATTTGCCCATTATGACCAGCCAACTCTAAATTAACCTGAGAATTTGTAACCATATTGAATTCTAAAGCTTAAGTTATTTTTTTTCAAGGTTCAGAAGATCTATAGTATAAATTAAAGAAATGGTATGTCCACCTGTCCACTATATATGGTGAACACAATGGACCATCTTAGAAATTTTCCAACTCTCTGTCAAGCCCAATCCGGGACGGTTGGTAATAAAAAATTTCATGTGAGCTGTAGTAAACTACATGTACTGTAAATTCAGAAATTATTGTGTGATTTTTTAACATGTTTAAAACAGAACAAAAATTTGAGCATTTTTTATTGCGATTCTCACCCAGTCGCACAATTCGCATTAATAAAAACCTCCCAATAATTTCTGAATTTACAGTGTAATAAATAAATCAGAAAAGACATTCTCCAATAAACAGATGAAGCATTCATTTCAAAGGGCATATTTTGCTTGTGTAAAATTGTACATAATATTCTAAAATCGAAACATACATGTAGGTTGATACAATGTATTATCTTTATTATACATGTACATTTTGCTTTATATCGAAAAAACTTATTTAGGTATAAATTAATTTTAATACGTTTAAACTAAAATCACTACAATCATAGACATGATAGATAATACCCATGAGCATAGATTCTGTCATGTCTAAGAGTATAAACATGATAAAGGATAGATTATGTCAGCAGTGTTCCCGCCTGCCCTAAATAGAAGGGCGGCCCGCCCTTGGTGCCCTTACCCCCGCCCTTCTGCCCTCCCAAGTAAAAGAATGCCCCCCTCTGCCTTTTCAAAAAAATAAAATTTCCAAATTTCATGCCTACCGGCGTTTCCGGTAAAATTGTTACCCGATTGTGTAACACTATTTAACTGACAATGGGATTAAGTTAAATACCTAGTGCTTTGGCAGTTTTATCACCTTTGTTAATGATTGTTTACTGCTAATTAGTGGATTTAAGATAATTGAACAAATACTAGATATTTAATACAGAATGAAATGTCCACATGTTATCCATTTGTAAGGGTGCAATCAACAGTTTTTTTCTATGACGTCATATTTTAAGGGACCATGCCTAAGTGACCCTTAGTGGTGGAATGGTTAATAAAGATACTTGTATAAAACTAGATATTACTGGAATCAGAATTTTCTCTAGTTTATATTGAAATAAAAATATACTGTACTTTTAATATAGTAAAAAAGTTCTATCCAGAGAAAATTGGGAAAAAGTTGCCTAATCTGAACATAAAAAAACCTGAAATCAGGTCATGTGCATACCCATGTAAACATGATACAGGCACATTTCCCATAATCAAAACTGTATGAAATTCATAGGTTTTTACCTGGCCTTTAATAAAAATCTTGTTTCAGGGTACGGTTTCCTGCTTCGAAAAGAGCTACAGTGGCTGCAAATAAGTTTTCAATTTTCACTGCCAAAAAAACAGGATGTTTACAGTGTTGTCTCCCCTCAAAACATGAATATTTAATCTAATTTTTAAAATTATTTTAATCATTCAACCTGTTTAAATTGAAAGCTAATTAACTAATTTTTACAATCAAATACAAAAAACATGATCCTTTTTCACCAATTATATGAATAAAAAGGGATTTCCCTCCATGGTTATTTTTAGTCGGGGAATAACCCCTAGTTTTTTATACGAAACTGTTTATAGCACCCTTAAGCAAAACTTTGTATGCGATATATAAAAAATTCTCTACTTTTCTGAATCTGTACATTATATCGATTAAAATGATGTCTTACTTTAAGGATTCCGACCATCAATAGTGAAACTACAGCTCATTTTTCATGTCGCATAGTATTGGCATATTGGCCAGTGGCAAATAGTTAAACTGGCATATTCCAAACATTTCCTGTATCACATTTTCATCAGTTATACAAAAAAAAAAATCATAAAATTGGGTTTCTATTGAATAAATAGAATAAAAACTATGAAATAAACATAAATAAAGTTACTTTAAACAGATTTTGTCCCTAGTATTATATGAACTAAGTTGTAGCTGAGTTGAGAAAAATATTGAAATAGTGTATTTCTTAGGAACGGCACTTGTAGCTATTTGACTATAAAAAGTACCAAATATATAATATAATGAATAAAAATGTATGTTACACTGATCAGTAGTAAAGGTCAAAGTAGAAAAAATCTACACTTTTCATGTGCAACTTTTGGTTCCAATTATATGAGAGAATGAATAAAAATATTATGACGTCGCAAAAAGATGAAAAAACTCCAAAATTTGCACACAGTCTGGTTTTCTTATATCTGGTTGCTATGTACAAATCTGTAATATTTGCATTAAATATACCAAACTGATGCTTTTAAATTAATGTATGCATGCTATTTGATATTTTTCAGAATTGTTTTACTCCATTCAGTAACACATTTCTATGCTAAAACCTCACTATATTATATGTTTGACCCTTTAAGGGTGCAATCAACAGTTTTTTTCTATGACGTCATATTTTAAGGGACCATGCCTAAGTGACCCTTAGTGGTGGAATGGTTAATAAAGATACTTGTATAAAACTAGATATTACTGGAATCAGAATTTTCTCTAGTTTATATTGAAATAAAAATATACTGTACTTTTAATATAGTAAAAAAGTTCTATCCAGAGAAAATTGGGAAAAAGTTGCCTAATCTGAACATAAAAAACCTGAAATCAGGTCATGTGCATACCCATGTAAACATGATACAGGCACATTTCCCATAATCAAAACTGTATGAAATTCATAGGTTTTTACCTGGCCTTTAATAAAAATCTTGTTTCAGGGTACGGTTTCCTGCTTCGAAAAGAGCTACAGTGGCTGCAAATAAGTTTTCAATTTTCACTGCCAAAAAAACAGGATGTTTACAGTGTTGTCTCCCCTCAAAACATGAATATTTAATCTAATTTTTAAAATTATTTTAATCATTCAACCTGTTTAAATTGAAAGCTAATTAACTAATTTTTACAATCAAATACAAAAAACATGATACTTTTTCACCAATTATATGAATAAAAAGGGATTTCCCTCCATGGTTATTTTTAGTCGGGGAATAACCCCTAGTTTTTATACGAAACTGTTTATAGCACCCTAATGTTTATGTACAGCATGTACACCTGAAAAAATTTATTTCAGTAGGCATAACATAAAAAATAAAATCTTAAACAATTTTAAAGGAAAACATAGTTTTGACTTGATTGGTAAAAAATGTTTTGTTTCATAACCATGAGTATGAAATTTAAAGAGGAATCAAAGAAATTTGTACTTTGAACATAACAAGATTCACTTCCTGTTTTTAATACTTCTTGTATTTTATAATCCTCCTGACATAGGAGCACTCAACAAATTTATTTTTAACAATGATGGAGAAAAAGGTAACTGTTTATACCTTCTGCAATATATTATTGCATCAATATAAAATATGATCATCTCCTGTCTCACCTGTTATATTTATAAAACTCCTTACTGAGGAGCACTTTGGTGTGCACTTAAAAATACTTTTTTGTAACAATTCAAATGATAATAAATAACTCTCAATAACATATATACTATATGTTTGAACAAGTAATTTAAATGTAGATAATTTAATTACATTCAACATTCAATTTTGCATGTATAACTCCATCTTCCAAAAGTACTTGTTTATTTTGGTATAAGTTATAAAACATTGAAATTTCTGATTATTATTTTCCATACCAAATGTACAAGTTTGTTTAGATTAACATCAAAATGATATGCTTTGCTTCATGGTATGATAATTTGATGAAAAAAAATTCTTACTGGAACCAACATCAAGAACACATTAATTTCTGAATATGGTTTAAATACAACTAATGTTCTCCAGCTGAGCCTAGCAATATTCAAGGTAATTTTACACTGTCCAACATTGCCCTTAAAATCTGGGTTATAACGCTAAAGTGCCCTTTCAGACAACTAGCACCCTTCTGCCCTGAGATTCAAGCTGGAACACTGCTGTCATGTCTGTAAGAGTATAAAGGATAGATTCTGTCATGTATGTAAGAGTATAAAGGATAGATTCTGTCATGTATGTAAGAGTATAAAGGATTATCACCATATCAGCAGAATGTTATTGATTGTTGCTAGCTTAGCATCAAGTGGCAAATATTTCATTCATATACATGATATATATATATATATTCAGCATTAACATAAGATAGCAATGGGTGTGATCTAAAACATTTTGAAAAATATCCATGATATGGATACAAAATTACAAAAATGTAAGTAAAAATACTTTCTTGCTTTCCAGTGACAGAAAAAAATTACTTGTTTCTTATTGATTATTCTGTTGTTTTACATTGCAGATCAGACAAATAAAACATATGTACATTGTTAGCTTGTTCGCATCCTTACTTAATTGAAATATTTGCCATTGGACAATAAGTATTAACAACAATCAATCAGTGAGGTCATGGAGGTCAGATCTGGAAAATCTCTTTGGGGAGGAAAGTGAGCAATGAAATTTAAAACATTTATAAATTACAACAATACAATTCAAATTAATAAAGGTAAACTTATAAACACAAAAAGCTCTGTGAAATTTCAAACTACGTGTAACTAATACAAATGTATATGTACATGTAGATTGAAGAAAAAAAATACTATTATAATATTTTTAAAAACTTTTAAAGAAAGATGAAGCATATATTCTAACATGTATATAATTTAGGTAGAAAATAAATACCTGTGTTTCCGCTAACATTAGCTACCAATGCTCATTTTTAACAAGCACTATTAAGTCACAATAAAATTCAGACTATTTCCTCAATTAACATGATTAAAATCTTTTAGAAAAATAAAATTTTTTGCCTACCAACTGACCTTAATATTTTTCAGAATGTTAGCGGAAACACATGTGTTATTATCTTACCTCACATGTATATATAGACATTGTATCACAATATGCAGAATATGAAGTAAGAAAAGTTATACATTGTACATCTCAAAGACATCATTTTGTGTTGAGAATTCAAATAGTAAAGAAATGTACAAGTCAACAGACAACATACAAATACACAAAATAGCTTACATGTAAAATACTGCAGGTACCATTCATGTGTACATACAAAAAATACTTTGTACAGGCTCCATTGAAAAACAACTATAATGGGGGCGGGGGAGGCTGCAAGAAAAACTAGATGTGTCTGAAAGACACAAATAGCCCTGCTTGCCAAAAAAGCTTGAAGACATTTTTTAGTATGAAAATTTGAGGAGGAAAATAAGTATTATTTTCACGAAATTTTCAAAGTCCAAAGCCCGTAATTTCAGCACAAATCAGTGGAGCAAAACCAAACATACACTCAATCTGTAACTCATCATAGTAGTCTCACATAACTAAAATTCAGCTCTACATGTATATGAGATTTCGTTAAGAAAAAAATCTTTTTAATTAATATTTTCACGAAATTTTCAAAGTCCAAACCCCGTAATTTCAGCAAAAATAAGCGGAGCCGAACCAAACGTAAACTTGATCTGTAACTCATCATAAAAGACTCACATACTCAAAATCAGCTCAATATGTTATGTATGTGTAGGAGTTTAGAGAAAAAGTCTGTAGAACTGTTTATTGTGGAATGATGGAATGACAGATTGACGAATAAAGGTAAAACTATATGACCAGACCACTTTGTGGCGGGGCCATAAAAATTGTACTAGTCCTTCATAGATATTTAAAATACTGTTCACATTGCAAACATCTTACATTGTACTTGGACCAGAAAGCTACAATTTTGTTTTTGTAAAATTTCAAAAAATGCTCCCATAATAGAAAGTGTTACCAAAACAAAAGATTGGGTTAATGCACATGCACCTACATGTACATTGTACATGTACAATTTTATTTTTATTTAATGTTCAACCTGTCAATATACACACTTTGAAAATCAATTGTTACTATTCCTTACCCTGTGTTTGAAATGGCCTTTCTTGACTCTGAATCACAATTTCATCTTGTCTTCTCATTATCTCCATCAATTCTCTCTGCACTTTTTCTCTCTCCATGTCCTGTTTCTCAAGCTTTTCCTTTAATTTTTGCTTTTGTTTTTGGTATTCATGTAAAAGTTCTGTGCTAGCTGAGACATCACTGATGTTTTCCTTTGTAGAAACTGTCCTAGCTGGGGATTGAGACCGTGGTGACTGTGAATCACCTGTCAAACTTTTCCGTTTAGCTTGAGACATTGGAGGTGTTTCAATTTTTGGTGGTGTTTTTCTACCTGTAGGTTCAATAGAGATTTTCTTAGCAGTGTAAGCATTGCTTGACTTTAATAAAGGTGATCTAGGTTCTTCAGACACACTTATTGATGCCTCTGTGTTTAACACTTCCCCTTGTGAAAAAAGTCTGTCGATTGACATTAACATTGGGTTTTTCTTAGCCCCATCTAGACCAAAGCCTGGAGTAATTGATCGAGACAGCGAATTGGGTGTGTTGATTGATTGCGTCATACCAATAGGTCTGCTCTTTAAAAGTCCAAAAGCAAGACCATCAAACTGAGGGTTTAATGATCTGGTCATGAAGTCAGCAGACCTTGGTCGTGAGGTTGGCACAGCAGAATGAGGAAACATTTTTGGTTTAATTGGAGTTACTAAAATTTGTTCTGACCATGAAGCTTCTAGTGATGGCTTCACTAATGGATCCACATCAACCTTCAAAGGTTTCTGTTCAAACGGGCAAGAAAATGTTTCTGATGGTATATACTGTAACCAAGATAATAAACTTAAGTCAGCATCACTAAATCCTGAATTACTGAATACAGAAGGAAATGACAACTCTAATTCCTCATTTCCCTCATTACTGGTACTCGTAGCTTGGGTCTGACAAAACTCAACACATGATTCATACAGCATCCCTTTCAGAATCAACTGCATTAGGCGGTCATTTTCAGCAAGAGTCTTTTTCTTTTCAGAAGTTAAGAATTTCTCAATAAAAGGGCAAATGTCATTAAAGCATTTCACTCTAGCATTACTTGGATTCCAGTTGGTATATTCAGAATGATCAGATAGTTTTGGAACAGTCAATAACAAACATAAAACATTATATTCTTCCTTTGAAGGACAAAGACTTTCAAGATTATTAAGACATTTAACAACTTCATCTACTGTCAGTTCATAATTTTGAAATGCACTTGGTTCGGATTTTATACAAAGCAACTCTAGATATTTATGTTTCATGACAATGTACTGAACTTTCTGCAAATCAAAACCATCGATGGAACCAAGAGGTTGAATGAATTCAATGACATCATCCCACTGACCATCTAGGATAAGCTGACGAAGAAATAACATGTCATCTGAGAAAATTCCATTCACAATCCCCGTTTCTCTCTCGACCGACAACATAGAGATGTTGAGTTCGCGGTTTTGGAGAAACTCCAATATTAATCGGACAATGTCCGCTTCGTTAATTGACAGACCTGACGATGGCATTGTTAATTGTTTGGTTAAACTATTGTCTTCATTGCGATTGACTACTTTCAAATAAATTACAAGGGTACATCATTTTCTTCACAACTGTCAAAATTAACATTCCATGTTTTCATTGATTCACAAGCAACTTCCGGTCATAAGCTCTGACTCATTACCAGAAATTATATTAAATAAAAGCGTCAAGACAACGACTGAAATGCGGATTTGCAACCTTAAGAAAAACTTGCAAAAAGGAAAACGGGTGCAAAATTGAAACCATTAGCCAACAAAAATTCTTGAATTCTTACCCAATTTTAATTTTCAACTAACCACATGGAACTTTAATATTAAAATAATGCAACTTCAGAAGTCCATTACTAGACGTCTAGTAATGGACTTCTGATATTATACATGTATATATCACTGTTGACCTGGATTTATAATGCTAAACAAAGCACTGGAATAATTTAATATCATCTTTATTTTAACAATTATCAAAAGAAATTTGATCTCTTCCATTTAGGACGAGGTTTTTTTTTTAAAAATCTTGAAAGTCAGGAAGGTGGCAAAGATCTCTAATTTCAGGTTGCAAACGTTTTTTTACTATAATATTGATTGCATCAAACTTAGTCTGAGCCTAAGAAATTATTGTCATTCTACAAATAGCATTTGTCCGTTACCGTAGGTTTTAAATGCAATAAAATATTTATCGTTATCTTTAATTTAAGCAATTTTTATTGTTAATCGTTATTTTGGTTCCCCCATTACATCCTCATTCAGGACGAGTGGAGAAAAAAATTCTGGTATATCAACCGGACCTGAAATGGTATAATAATTATATCTTTATTTAGATAGAGTAACACATTTGGATTACATCAATTTTCAATAAGGCTCTCTTAATACAATAATAATTACATTAAAATTAAACAATACAAATTCAATAATAATGATAAATGAATATGCAATACAATTTAAATTCGATAAACAATTATTCTATGGCATTAAAGTATATATATCATGGTAATGTTAAAAGTACATAGATTTGTAGTTATGTATAAATTCTAAAACTGTGTTTGATGTTTTAATTGTATTAGGAAGAGCATTAGTAATGATTTATGTATTCTCTTTGTAATCGGCACAATGTCACATTCGTGAAACAATTCGCTAGAAGGTTTGCTGTAATTATGTTCGTCTAAGATTATTCTTACTGCCCTCTTTTGCAGTTTTAGTAAACTATCTAATAGAAAGTTGTTGCAGTTTTCCCATGTTGAACAACAATGATCTAAATGAGGTAAAACGTAAGCATTATAAAACAGTTTTCTTGCTTTGTCATTCAAGTATTTCTTTAATTTCCGTTTAGTAAAGTATGTCTCGTAGTGGATATTATTTGTTTCTGGTACTTTCAAACTGTATACATTGTTATATTTTGCCACAATTTTACAATCAAATAGTCAGAATGGTATTCCATTTCCATTCCTTAAATAAAACCTTATTTCATTACGTTATATTTCCGTAACATCTTTCTATATAACCCCTACACTAAATCGACTAACTTGCACTGCGATTAAAGAGACAAAGTTAAACATTCATATGAATACGGTATATTAGCTGTTTTGGTCAATGGGCATGCATATACATTTAAGACTTAACCTGAAATCTTAATTTTTGCATTAATTTGGACTAACATTAATGAAACATGTTTATTTTGACTGGTTTGTAGTATAGCCTTTGGTCAAAATTATCGTGTGAGCTTTTAATGTTTTATTGGGTTACTTATTGTATCATTTTATGATAAATTAAATTGGTATATATACTTATAAAACAATTCCAAATCACACTTGAAATGCAATTTTCAACCAGTTTATCCAGATGTATAGCTGGGACATGTGTAAAATACATAAATTGTATTTGTCTATCCTTGTCATTACACACCAGTATGTTTTTTTGTACCGTCAAAACACCCCCGTTTTCCAACTAACAGAAAAAGGCATGAGGGGGAAGCGGTAATGTTCTCAAGTATATTTTGTGTTTGTATTCTTATTTAGTATAAACAATGTTTTATTTAATAAGTCAAATCATACTATATAATTTAATTTTGGATGTAACACGTCTTCTGATTGGCTGAAAGTTTTTTGTCTGTCAGCTCATCAACATCATGTGACTGGACGCCATCAACGTTTTTTCATGATTTACTCCTTAAAAAATGGAATTTAGATTTAAATTATAAATTACGGAATGACTGAAATATTTTTTTTTCTGTCTATTCGAAATAATCTCAAAAATTCAGTGCGCACCACATTTTTGATGTTATTTCTTCATAGACAGAAAAAAATATTACAGTCATTCCTTGAATAATCGATATTGTGTAAATGCTAGCAGTGGATATTGAAAAGTGATTTAAAGAAACATGCAAGATCAAAGCATAACACCTCATTTCTGCCTTGTGGCACCGTTAAAGTCCACATTTCCTCTAAAGTCCACAACACCGCTAAAGTCCACAACAAATTTCCGCTTAAGTCCACAACGCCGCTAAAGTCCACAAACTTTCCGTTTAAGTCCACAAAATGACCTCCGCTAAAGTCCACAAGAAAACGCCGTTAAAGTCCACAATAACAAGTTCCGCTAAAGTCCACAAAAAAGCACCGTTAAAGTCCACACATTTTTTTTATTATTAAAAGCATCAATATTTGTTTATTTGGTCATGATTTTCTTCGGTTATTTTTGTTTTTCTCCTGATGCAAATCAAATTTTTGGATAAAATATAAACTTTGTGTTATATCATCAGAAATTGATAATTAACGCTTCAAAATAAATATATTAGCTGCCTCAATGTTTTGTTAAATATCTTAAACTATTCATCTTGTTTCTGTTTTTTATGTTTCGAATCTTAAAATAACCCGTTATTTGGATATAATTTACAATTTTTTCTATTTGAATGCACTAAATGATCAATGTTGATGTGTAGAGCATATAAAAGCCTTGGTTAAGAAACTTGTAAATAGGAAACAATTTCCAATAGCGGTGACAACGATAGATTTGATTTATGCTAAAACATAAAACCCTGCTAAAATACCGTATTCGTTTGATTTATATACATGAAAAAAATAAAAAGCTATCAATACTAAGGCTTTTTCATAATTATTAATCCCTCAAAAATAAATGGAGAATGTGTCCATTGGACACAGATGATGTCCCCGCTTGTATATAACGTTATAAAGGGACAGAAAACTGTAAAAGTGACGTAATCCAAATTCGAACTTAATCTGTGTTTTATGGTTATTAGCATTTTGTATAAGTTTCATTACATTTGGTTGAGGGAAAATGAAGCTAGATAGCGGAAACTCATTTTTGGACGTACGGACGTACGTACAGACGGACAAGGGTAACAATTAACGCGTCTCAGCCGTGTCGGGGCCTAACAAAATCCTTGTTTAAGAATCTTGTAAATAGGAAATCAATTTCCAATAGCGGTAACAACTATAGATTAAATTTATACCAAAACACAAAACCCTGCTAAAATAATTTTTTGATTTATATACATGAAACAAATAGAAAGCTATCAATACTGAGTCTTTATCATAATTATTAATCCCTCCGTGACAAAGGTTAAGCCTATGAAATACACGTTTCAATATAGGCAGCACTGTAGTTTACCTGTATTAAAATCTCATAAATCGTTTGTAAAGACAAACACATATAACAACAAAAAAAACAGGGGGAATATAGAGGAGATAGCACGAACTTCAAAAGAGCGAGACCAGAGGATAATCAGGATAAGCGTCTCCTGCTAAGCACGCACCCCTCGCCATGCGAATCCACACTCAAGACCGAACTAAGTCTTTGTGTCATAGTGTCTATATTTGGTTGCAAAGGACCAGATTAACATGTATGGTTATCCTCAAAGATTTCACTTCAGAAATTGGTTAAGAATCTAAACATCAATTGATTTTTTATATGAATTATCTTGAAATATGCAGTTTTTCTTTCTTAGATACCATTAGGAAGCACTGCATAATTTGAAATAAGATTGAAATTGACCCTCATCATTTTTAACAATCATCTTTTCCTTGCTTTCGACCAACTGTTTGTATCATACATGCGAAAATAAATGTAATCCGTGTCTTTAAAAAAAATGATTTACAATAGTTCTATTGTGAAAAGAATTTCCTAATTGTGTATCCATGATGGCAACATTCTGCTTTTATTTGCCATGAAGGCACATGGAAACGGTCCCCAAAATTTTGTCTAAAGTACAATTTCAATTCTTTTGAGTAATACAGTTTCCACAACCATTGAAAATTTCAAGACATCAAACAAAAAATCAGGTACTTTTCACGTCACCCCCTCCCCCACCCGTTAAATTGTACCAAAAACGTCGTGTGAAAAAAGCACCAATTTCTGGTATGGATATTAAAATGCATACTGTAAAAAAAAATATCCCTAAAAACCTACGTAAAACAATCTTGATGTCTATATTAACACACTTTGATGGCTATATTATTCTTCAGCTATCTTAAAATTATCTGTTTAGGCACAATAATTTCCAAATTTTACAAATTTACCTGATCCTATGTACTGTGTATTGCTACTTGATCATAAGGGACGTTGACTTGTTCTTAGAACGGGGCGTTAGTTAAATTGATGTTTTGCAGTTTTTACAACAATAACTTTTGATTTGTTTACGAATCTTTATTTGAAAAACGTCAATTTATGATACAACAATGCAATTGTTCCTTTGTTCTCTAACTGCAATAGAAATCTATTTGATGCATGGCAATTCTGACTAGCTTTTAATTTCGATTTATTTTTTAATTGTTTTATGTTTAAAATGAAATACATTTACGATACAACATATGTAGAAATATTTGTCTAGTTTTTACTGATTGTAACAGTTGCTTTGAGAGGATGTTTTCATATATGAACAATGCTACTGTTTTCCTTTTGTTCCAAACATTCAAATCTTAATGCCTGATCACTTTCGCTTTTGTTTTAAAGACTCTTTTATGTTTCATACGAAAAGTCATTAAAACGACTACAATTCAGGGAGATTTTTTTCTATTTACTGAAATATATATATCTATACATTTATTTTTCTTAATTGATATGTGCAATCGTAAGAATTCAGTCATTGATTTCTTAAACTGCCTTTATCAAATATTTTATGAATTTGATTATAAGACCACATTATAAAAAGAAAGTCGCTAAACACCAGCGTAATTTTAATAAGTGTAATAAGCCCTTCAAATTTTACGACGCCTGCAATGCTTTTGAGTAATGCTGTATCCCATCTTTCCCATTTTTGATCAACAAGATGAATGTAATAATTTTGAATCTTAACATGATTGTTTAATTGTTGTATTCGAACAGGGAAAACAATGCTTCACATTCCCCCAATAAAATCTGAGAAGAAATTTATTAAAATTCAAATAAATCGAACAATGGGTGTTAAGTTGCCCGACCATCATCACGTTTGTCATAGATCCTCTACAGCTTGAAGTCGTTGTGTCAATATGGAGGAAGATATCTTGATATGAAGCAGCCTTTCCACTGACTGTCCGTAGTAATCTTAATCTCAAGTTCACTTGGATAATATCAGATGTGAGCACTCAGTGAAATGTGGGTTGAGTGACATAACATCATCAATATATCTGAAAGTAAAAGTAAAGAACTTTGCAAGATGATTTTTCTTATTTTGTTTGAGAAGGTTCCTTATAAACTCTGCTTTATATGAGTGCATAAACAGGTCAACCAGTAATGTTATGTAATTAGAGAACCATTGAAAACCCGACTGACTGTCTGGTGAAATAAAAATCCACCTGACCGAAAATATATGTTGTCGATCAAAAATTCCAACATTGTGATGCAAGTTTTGTAATGTTCCAAAAGTAATTATAAATAATAAAAAATGTTAAAAGTACTTGTTGCCAATATATGAGATATATGAGATATTGCATGTCGCCTAATTACTACGTGTTGGAGATGATTTGGTCTTAAAACTGTTACAATGTACTAAAATGCAGATATTTCGGCAAAACACGTGACCACTCTGTACAGTATAGGTGAATCAGCGGTGAGTGAGCGGTATTTGAATAAATAAAGAATAATTATAGCTTGTAAATACACATTCAGCCAGGCTGTTCTACATGAACACGGGCTCTATCCAGAAACCCTTAATTAGTACAGGCCTGTGTAGTCAACGATATTACATTCATTGATCTTACTGTGGAAAATATGACGCATTTTTCTTTCAATGATAAAGCGCTCCAATTCGCGACATCCTTCAGTATACTAGTGCCTATGATTCCTTGACGTCCATTGATATGCACACTTCAATAACATGACCGGTACCAATTTTACTGCACCAGATGAGCATTTCGACAAATAAGATCTCATCAGTGATGCTCAATACCATAATATTTGAGAATCCAAAACCTAATACAAACGTTGATCAAATAAAAAAAAACCTAAAGTATAGCTAAATCTGGACAAGGAATCAGAGCTTTCAAAATGCATTTTCGTATGCCGCCAAGAATGATATCCAGTTAGTTTTAAAAATACGGAATAAGATAATGTGACAATAAGGATGAACTTATCCAGAACTTTAACCAGACGGTACATCTAGCGGAGACAAAGTTAAGAAAACAGATTCCATCCAGGACGGTTTTACAGTACTTGCTTAGTCCCTAGGACATCATCCTAAGAAAAACAGGTTTTGGGTGCAGGTTTACTGTCCTTAAGTTTGTTAGCCGTAATATTTTGCTGCAGATTAGTGTTGAAGTGTGTATCCTGACCTCACGCATCCTTCTCTTCATTTTCACCTTTGCTGTACACTATATTGAATTGTTTTCTTTTCCTCGATTGTAACATCACCGAATGAGACTTATCATCAGATTTGAGTGTCACACGAGGAGAAGGAAGTGCTTATCTTTCCGGAACACTTAAGTTCACTCTCGGTTTCGGTGGGGTTCGTGTTGTTCAGCCTTTAGTTTTTTGTGTATGGTCTTGTGGACTTGTTCGACTTATCGTTATTTTCTATCCATGTCGTTGTCAAATCTTTTTCGACTTATGAGTTATGAATTTCCCGTCTTTTTTCGGCACATTATCCTGCTGTCATAAAGATATTAATGCCCCAGTTTCTGGGTACGTCCACTCAATTCGGGAAGACAGTTTCAAATAAATGAATGGAGGGTGCATGATTGCTTTGAATCTAAATTGGCCATAATGAAATTGTTTGAAGGCTTTTGCTACATAACAGAGTAATATTTTGAGTTTGGACAAATAAGTCGGTAAATAATTTTACTCATGATATCATTTTGAAAATTTGACTTTGAACGATCTTTCTTTCTCGAATATTAAGTCAAGTTTTCTTTTATTTTCCAACTCTGATTATCTATTTGGTTCCGCTGGATGGTATGGTTCCCATGATTTTAATCCGTGATCAATTTTGGCACATTTTAAAAATCTATTTATGTTTAATATGAAATTAATTGATTATACAACTTACAAAGAAATATCCGTCTATTTGATGCTGATTGTAACAGGTGTTTTGCAAAAATTTTCGTTATTGTTTTCAAGTAAGCCGAATTTGATATATATATTCATATATTTATTTGTTCTTTATTGTTTTTTGTGCATTAAAAAGAATTGAATCATTGATTTTTAAAACACTTTTGGAATGAAAGAGATTTTTACCCAATCAGGATAAGACACTTGTCCATATATGCAATTAAATTCTTAGTTTTCGCACAAGTATAAAAAGGATAAATTTGCAATTTATATATTACAACCTTTCAAGAGAGTAACTAAACAAAAACGTTGTGTAGATTTGAACTCTTCAAACGCCAACATGTTTCTGAGGGCAACGATTGCTTTGTTGTTTGCTGTTCTGTTTTGTTTTAAACAAGGTGAATATGTTATTACTTAATTATAAATAGTACCGTGAAATCGTTAAATTCGAAAAATGTCATACTGTTTCACATTAAGATATTTATATCTGAAATACTTAATGAGATTTGTAATTGAATTAGATATAAAATATTAGAATATTGCTTTATATCGAAGTCTTATTGTTTAAAATGTTATCAAAACGAAACTTCGTGATGATTAAAATCCACATCGAAAATGATAAAGTTGGCCAACTTTGTTCGTTTTCAAAGATCGGCGGAGAATATATATAGCAACTAAAATTATTCATCTTTGAAAGTCTAGGGAATCATTCCATTGAAAATACCTTGAAAAATAGAATGGTCCAGATAGATCTTTAAGCGTACTTGAAGGATTTACAAGAAGTTCATTTGAAACATAAAGCAAGAATTCAGAATTTGTCTAACTTTTAATATCACAAATCCTGGAAAAATCTATATTTAAACTTTGCAATTCTTTTTATAAGTTTTATAGCGAATAACCGATTTTTATTAATTTTGTTCCTAGATGTAATATTGTAAGAATCCGAGGAATTAATGTTTTTGGTTTTCGTGTAGATGTCATAAAATATAATGACGTAAACTGACAGTTTTACAATTGGTACTGATAGAAATCATCATGTTGACATGTTTCACATATCTGTACATTCTGTTTTAAGTGAACTGTATGTGTTCATGACCATGTAATTGGCAAGAACGAACATTCTACAACGTCGCAGCCGAAGTCGATGTTTTTGTGTCAAATGCCTACCAATTAAAAATTTTACCTGGCACTGTTATAGAGTGTTTTATAAGAGAAGGACAGTTCATTGTTATGAGGTAAGTGAAATGCCTTTGCAGACGCATATATTTCTATGAAATTTTCCAACTATATCTATTTCGTCGAAATAAAAATTGCCTTTAATTTACATGTAATATTATGATACTTTTCAAACAAAAATAAATAGAAATAGAATTAATTAAGAAAAAAGTGCACGTAAGATTATCGTTTCAATGAAATATCGCGATTTTCTTTTTTCAGACAAGGGGATAATAAAGACACATACAGATGCATAAAAGTCATCGACGTGTGTGAGGACAGCTTTGTAGTGATACAGACGCCTACTTGTAAGTTCAATTTTTCAATTATTTAACTAGTCAAGAAAAGAGAAATACAGAATGGATGTACATAGAAAAGTGTTACCATGATAGAAAAAGGGAAATACAAATGTAACTGCATATTGTTATCTTGATAGATTAATTGTTTGCATGATGATCAATTGTACCAAGTCAAGAATATGACAGTTGTTTTTCATTCGTTTGATGTGTTTGAGCTTTTGATGTTGCCATTTGATAAGGGACTTTCCGTTTTGAATTTTCCTTGGTGTTCGGTATTTTTGTTATTTTACTTTTTGCTGTTATCTATTTATGCAAAGTTAGTCTCCGTTGTCCGCTTGATTTTTCACATTACACTTTGAATTTTCTTACAATGCAGTTTCTTTGGTAACCCGTTTGTTATTTTGTGTTTTTACTATTGTTTCTAAAAGAATAAATATTACGCAAAATAATGCCCTCTCTGTATGTATTTCAGTTTAATAATTAGATTGTTTGGTCTGTGTTCAATATAAATGATAAAGTATGTGCATCAACTTGATTTCAGAAAAAGAAACTAACTTAAGATTCGTGTCAAACCGCCCTTATCTATTTTGGTATTGACATAAAAAGGACGATTCAAATCTCCTGTCTTTATATTGGATACCTTAACTTCGCAAAAATCCTGTAAAAACGATATATATATAGCCGGTCGTCAAGATGTTTGACTCTCAACATCTTTCAAAAGTTCTAGCCACCATTCCTTCTACAGTAAAAGATGACCTTCAGAAATAGTGTGATGAGGTATATTTAACCAGCGGTGTCAATCAGATTCGGATTCTTAAAAAAATCTTAACGGATCTACTGCAAAATCTTCGATCAAAACTTTTAATATTTAAAGAAACATCAAATATTTGTCTACGCTTTGAACTACTTTTCCCTGTGCTCAATTGAAAGATCGAATACTAGTACATCGTCTCATTGAACAGAGTATATCTTCAGAAATTGGAATTGTAGATATAGTCACGTTTCTAGTTTTAGGTCATCAGAAATCTTACTCTGTGAAGAACCACTCTGATTCTAATAACATATACGTCGTTGATGATATAATCAAAATGCTGGATTGCTTGATCGACAGCATATTTGTTTAATTTAGTGGATTGATATTTCATCAGACAGTCAGTATTTCAATGGGAACTAACTCTGCACTCCTATTGCTGACTTGTTTTAATGACAAATAAAAACATCTTTCAAAGTTCTTGAATATCCCTTTCAGATATATTGATGATGTTCTGTCTATCAACAACCACATTTTAGGGGGTGTTTGCATTTCATCATATCCCTGTAATCTCTCAATTTATACATTACGCTCGTGCATGTTCACACTGTACGAACTTCATCAACAAGGATGTGATCCTTACCCCAAAACTACAACAAAGTGACTTATAAGGCAGAACGACGGAAATCGACACTACATAAGTTTTACGGTCATCACGAATCCATTTATCGATACGATGTTTCTGTGACTCGACTCAAAAGTGACATGTTTTCACAGTCTTAGATCTTTAGATACCAGAATGGTCGTCTAATCTGTAAATTTACTGATTGTGTCTTATTCCCTATTGTGACAGTTTGACTGAATGTTAACTTGCATAGCAACGCGTAAACCCTCTCGACGTATCCGTTCTCGCTCCTTTTTGGAGTTGATGCGATTCCCTCCGTTCTTTGTTTGTTACCTTGAATTGTCTTCTTAATCGATTTATGAATTTTGAACCTCGGTTAACTACTATTGCCTTAATTAATCAAGCATGGCTATATATTCCAAATATGTACGGGATGTAATGTAATATTATTTTAAGAACACACTAGTAAGTCCATCAAACCGTATTAACTTTTTTAAAATACTGTCTTGTTATATCAACCCTTTCATAATCCAAATAGTTCCCGAATTTAATTTTATGGTAATTTATTTGTACCACAGACCAACTGGACTCTCCTCCAAATTTGTGTGACATCTGCACTCCTGGGAAACTTACCAGCAAACCACAAGTCTGGGTCGGTAAGTACAAATAATATGTAGATGTTGCAATAACAAAAAATGTTGAATCTTATGCATGGAAAGGCGCGCTCTAGTCTGCATGGAGTCGGGAAAAAAAATTTATAGACTAAGATTGCAGTCCTCTCACTCAGGCAAACATGACATTGGATAGTTGTGTTTATTTTCTTAAGGTTTAAAATCAAGTGGAATTAAAGTCTTGTAGGCTTGTAAGTGTGTTTTATTTTATCACCTGGCAATTTGATTGACTTGACTGTGGTTTTCTACAGCAGTTGGTTAAAATTTCTGACCAGTTGAACAGTTTGGTTTGATAAAAAAAATTGCAATTTGATGAAAATTTTGAATGAACTGCAATCGGTGGAGAGCAGCACAGTCACAGTAAGAGATATTTCAATCGATATTTGTAAACATGTGGCGACCTAGGTTAAGTTGCTTACATCCAAGTCGGACTCTGGTCGAAAGTTGTCTCATTGGCAATTATATAACATCTCCTTAATTGTATATAGCTTACTAAAAATCTTTATACACATATATAACAGTTTGATTTTTAATACATTGTTTATGTTGTAGAGCGATTTTCAATTAAACATGCATAATGAACATCGTGTTTTTCTCCTTATTAACTAATCATTAACTTTATTTTTAACAGAATCTCAGTATGCCTATCTTATTTATTGTTTCAGCAAAAGAGAAAACTCGTGAGTATGGTTCAGTACACTTAAGTTTTTCGTATGAATGCGTACTTTAAAATTCCACAATTGAAGTTTTTCCTCTCTATCTTAGTATTAATAGATTTTTATTTATCAAATATGAAAAAAAAGAAGATGTGGTATGATCGAGACAACTCTCCACCAGAGACCAACTGATATAAAAGTTAACAAATATTGATCGCGAACGTATGGCCTTCAACAATGAGTAAAACCCATACCGCATAGTCAGCTATAAAAGGTCCCGAAATGACAAATGTGAAACAACAAAATAAGGAACGAAAAACAAATATGATATATAACAACAAACGACAACCACTGAACTACAGGCTCTTGACTTGGGACAGACACATAAAGAATGTGGCGGGGTTAAACATGATTGCAATCCCAAAAACTTCACCCTAACCTGGAACAGAGGTGTAACAGCAAAACATATGAACAAACTATAAAATTCAGTTGAAAAGAGCTTAACTCTTAGTACATATTTGTGACATTGTTCTTTACTTCTTTATTTAAATGAAAATGTTTAATTATAACTACAACTATAAAGGTAAGTTTATGAATAATATCGTTCTATGATAAAAACAGTGATTTCGTTGAAAAAAATAACCAAACCAACTTAAATGAATGTATCAATCAACTATTTTACGCGTCGTTTCCTTATATTTCCTTTGAAGAGCAATCTAAAATGGGCGACCTTCATTTTCTAGAATTTGAATTTTGACAAGTATTACGTTTGCGAACAAATGGTATAACGTTTGCGCGAATTTACTTGTAATATACCTGAGTTTTTATCTGTGTTTTTATCCTGATAATAACGTGAACTGTATACTTTTTTGTTTAAAATTTATTATATTGATATATAATTTATATATAATCAAAGAAGTCTTTCTTCGTTTATATAACATTAAAATGCACTACATGTATGCCGAATAGCAAAGTTTGAATAAAATAAAGTTTATCTTTCCTGGAAAGGAACATTCTTAGAATAAAATCATATTCTGGAATAAAACACAGTACTGAATTTCGACAGGAACAATATGTATAGCTGTAAAAAGACTCTTTGTCATTGTTGGTACGTTTTGTGTTTTCATTTGGAACAGTCGTCCACATTTTTGACGCTATCATAGACTCACTGGTGACGTTATATTCAGCTAAGTAGTTGGCAAATAGTTTGCGGCTTTCATTCTCAGTAGAATTTGACATTTAATCATCTAAAAAAGCTACCCTAAACTTTCTCCACCGGAAGAATTGCCATTCACGAATCCCGGATGAGTTTAAACCACTTTTCTAAAAGACGAATTTTTAATCATTTTTATTAGAAAATTTTAATTTATAAGAACAAACATAGCAACTTTTCAACAGGTAAATTTCGTATAACGTTATGCGTTTTGTCGTGCAAACGTCGAAAATTATTCGCGCAAACCTAGGGGAAAATTCGCGCAAATGTAACGCGCCCATAAAGATATCATAAGTATTTAAACAGAAGGTTGTACTTTTTCACCTTTTGCCTTTTTTTAGTTTTAGGATGTAATGTACCAAAGAACTGTCCTCCAGGAAACAATAGATACAATATATGTAATGGATGTGAAGAAAATCAACCAAATGATGACATATGCTGTAACTCTTGCGAAATGGCAAATTCCGGAGAGGAGAACAAATCAACCTATGGTGCATATCCCATAGAGGAGAACTAATCAACATATGGTTCATATCCTGTCGAGGAGAACCAATCAACCTAGAAGTTATTACAAACGCTAAACATACAAGTATGCTGAACCACTTTCATTTCTCAATAGAGAAAGCAAATAATTGAAATTAAATATCAGCAATTCAGTATTCTTTTAGTTATCCTTTTCGTCTATTAACTCCATATTGACTAGTGCCCTGAAACAACATTATAATTTTTCTGTGTGGTGTAATTCCCTTCTCGGCATACCTTTTCATTGTGATAATCTTACATGTGATTTGATTTTAAAAGTTCTTAGAGTTAAGATTTAGAAAAATAAATACCTAAAACAAAACAAAAATAACATTAGTATATTCTTACTATTTGTGTAGTTGTATTGCTTACCTTCCATTTGAAAGTACAATCGAAAATTATACTTTGGTATTCGGAATATATACTCTCTTTTCGTCGTTCGTTTTAAATTGATTCCACTTTTGTCATGTTCTTGTCTCATTTGCTACTCGATTTGACCTTTAAATAATGCATAAAGACAGCAAATGTGGTATTTGAAAAATCAAATGCTTGCTTAATTTGCTTTAAATAATACAAACCAAATTTTAGTTCTTGTATCTATGATGTTTATTTACCACCACTGCTGGTATAGATTTTCTCCCCAAAGATATCACCAGCCCAGTAGTCAGCACTTTTATGGTGACATGAATTATCATTGATATGGTCATAACCATAAATTATCTGTTTACAAAACTTTAAATTTTTCGAAATACTAATAAGATTTGCTTCCCAAGGGAATAGACTACCTTAACTTTATTTAGAAAAGCCTTTTGGAATTTTGGGTTTTCAATACTCTTCAACTTTCTACTTTATTTGACCGTTTAACTTTTTTATTCGAGCGTCACTGATGAGTCTTTTGTAGACGAAAGGCGCGTCTGGTGTACAAATTTGTAATTCTGGTATCTATGATGAGTTATCTAGCAGTAGATAGATGTTCATCCGTTCGATTTATCTGGTATATGGTATCATTCCATTTCTCAATTTCTTTACTCATTTGTCGAAGGATGTTTGACATAGTTCTATGAACATATGTCGATTGACCTTCAATAGGACCGTTCAGACTCAAAATCAAAGACAGCAATAAAGGGATAAACCAAATGGTTCTAAAATTATCTACTGCCACAAAGAAATTTGGAAAGGAATAGTTATGCTTTATTTCCTTCCAATTGAATAGTTCGAGTGAAAAATTGAATCGAGGTTCCTTAGATTATTCATCATTCAGTTGGCATATTTGCCTGAATAGTATATTCGACAACGTTTACGTCACTGGTCAACTTCATCTTTATAAAAAAAAATTCCTCTGTGAACATTATTGTTTCTGGTCTAAATCACATGTATATGTTGCTTCATGTCATTAACAATTAGCATAGTAACAGCCATATGTGTATTCCCTAAACTGTGCATAGTATGATTTATTCTAATAATCTAAATACATGTTGAAATAAAGTTGCATGGATTAAAAGCCGAATTTCATACCAGTGGGATTCCATGCTATATTCAATGGTGGCAAAATGATTTATCAGTACTTCACATTATGTGAATAGGCATTTGATATTGGATTTAGTATTATTAACATCTAATAATCTTTATTTGTAGTGAATGTGAAGTCCCATGTCCACCAATCTCATGGGTTTTAATTGTCTTCAATTGTGTACTTTTAGTTTAAATCCCATTTTTGCGCTTATTGAACTTTAAGTCCATTTTAAAGCATATAACAATGCTTACTTTAAAAAGTAAAGACTATAGGAAAAGTTATACCTTTGTGTAGTCATAGAACTCTGCATTGTTCAGTTTTATGAATATCAAATATTCCGTCAGTGGTGTGCATGAATGATGACTAATTATTTAAGAGTATGGTCTAAGACAGTAAAATAAATATTTCTTCAAAAATGAAAACAACACGTTATATGCGTCCGAAGCGCTTTTCTGGATTTACCTTCATCAGGAACGCTCAAAGCCGAATATTTGAAGCCAAAGGATGTATAAGAACCTAAACAATTGAAGAGCGACATAACGAAAAAGGATCTTAAAAAAATAGCCAAATCCATCTAAGGTCAATATTGCCTGAGGGAGTTGAACCTTAGTGTCTAACAATTTCAAAATTTATTAACGGATAATTTTAGAAAGGTTTGTTATAAATCATGTCAGTACCGAAGTACTGACTACTGAGCTGATGATACCCTCGGGGACTGATAGTCCACCAGCAGAGGTAACGACCCAGAGCTGTAAAAAATGAAAACAACACGTTATAAATTGTATGCGTCCGAAGAGCTTTTCTGGATTTATCATCATCAAGAACGCTCAAAGCCGAATATTTGAAGCCAAGGATTATAATTTGCATGTAAAACAGAACGGATATCAGTGTCTTCTTGTGTTTGTTGCAAAATTGCATATCTACAAAAACTTCTAAGTAATTGGTCCGTTAGAAGTATTTTTTCGATAGACAATGTTGTCGGAAATACTTTCGTCAAACACTGTGTCAAATTCACTGTGACATTCCTGTTTCTGTTTGGTAATATCCTCCCTCAACAAATTGAAGATATTCTGCTATATAAGAATGTTTGTTTCCTGACAAGTTCCGTTCGCAGGAGAAGACCTCATGTAAGAAACCTCTGTGCTGTTATCCAATGGAAATAACTATATACAAGTGAAATTTAAACTTTAAACTTTTAAAACTGGCTAAAACAGTAGGATTCTCCAAGGCTCTAGAGGTTTAACACTAGGGCCTTGAGGGCACCTAGTGTGTCTGCCTGTTGGAAGTCCGTTGGTTAGGCGTTCTACTTCCTTATAGTATGTGATAAGCATCACATTTTATGGGCATCAATACGTGAGTGTGGTACTTGGTATGCTTTTGAATGTATATTTCTCCCTTGACGCACTGGTGGTGTGAGTCGCCCTTCTTTAAATGATGTTTCTCCGCAAAAATCCGTGTGTTTTATTTGCTTTGTTCGTTATCTGCTGTATGTATTGACCTCCATTTCAGTTGTTTAAAATGGTGAGATCTAAGTATTTGGCTGCCTGTACTTCTTCTCAATTGTGGCCATGGAGATGATATGCTGTTTTAATTGGTGTATTCTTTTTGTTACCCTAAAGAAGTTGCATTTGTCAGGGTGAAATTGGATACACCATAGTTGTTTCTCTCTTGCTAGTTTATTTAGTAGATATAAGAAGATGTGGTATGAGTGCCAATGAGACAACTCTCCATCCAAGTCAAAATTTATATAAGTAAACCATTATAGGTCAAAGTACGGTCTTCAAAACGGAGCCTTGGCTCACACCGAACAGCAAGCTATAAAGGGCCCCAAAAATTACTAGTGTAAAACCATTCAAACGGGAAAACCAATGGTCTAATCTATATAAAAAACGAGAAACATTTATGAATCACATCAACAAACGACTGAGCATCAGATTCCTGACTTAGGACAGGTGCAAACAATTGCAGCGGGTTTAAACGTTTTAATGGTACCAAACCTTCACCCTTATCTGAAACAATAGTGTAACATCACAACATAGAAAGACACGCTATAAAATATCAATTGAAATGGCTTAACTCAATCAAAAGACATATTAACACCAGTGAACATACACTGAAAAATGTAAATACAAAATAAATAAACTAAGGGAAGAATAATTAAAGTAACATGTTATACCGTTGTGAAATGTTAAACAATTTAAGTAGGTCTTCTTGTAATATCTTTCCACAGTTTTTATATATTATTGTCAGGTAGGCAATGATGTCATCTGCAATGAGGCGAACTGTAGCATTTAAGTCTTTCTGCAAGTCATTGGTGTAATAGAGAAAGGGGCTTGAACAGTTTTCCTTCCTTCATTAATAATGTTTTTCTTTTCTTTTCTTTTATGTTTGACAAAAGTCCAGAATTTCTGGAGCCCCTCAAATAGTTTATCATTGTTTTGAAGAATAATGATATCCTCAATGTATTGCCTTATGCATTTCGTTGTTTTCTTTGCACCTCCGTTTTAAATGCTTTATATTCTTCCTTTACTTTAGGATCCTGTTTTTTTTTTCATTCTTTTGTTGAGCCGTTGTTGTCTTTTTGTAAGCTTTATTAGATTTCCTTTTATCCATGGGTGTTTATTTTTCTTCTTGGCTTTTTGTGTGCGGTATATGATCTTTTATTCCTTTGTGTAGAGCAGTCTTTATTCTTACCCAGATATCGTTTGCATTTGAGATTTTAGATCTATACATTTGACTCGGCTGTTTATGTAGTGCTGTAAGGTCGTCTTTTCAACCTTCCAAGTTTGCTCTCTAATATTGTGGTATGAGTCTTTCTTGTTCCTTAAATTAATGGTATTCATGTCAACCTCTGAACTAGAATTTGTGCATTTGTTAGAATGAAATCTAGCGTATTTTCTTCAACTTATTGTATAAGATGATGGCTGTCGCCGATTATATCTTTGAATGATTGCTGTGTGGGTGCTTATTGAGTTCACTCTTTTATAGTGTTGCTCTTCCAGTCCCAACCTGGGAAATTCATATCCCCGCCAATACATGCAATAATGATGTCTGAATTTAGGATGTTACTTACTTTAATCTTTTGAGTTTGATGATTCCAAACATCTCAAGCTTTCTTCATCAGATACATGTCTTCTATGGTATGCCCACATGTAAATAAGTTTCTTACATGGGCTTTGTAATTTTACACTGATTAGTTCGCAGTCTGTATCAAGTACTGATGCATGGTCGCATAAAAGTTGATTTCACAATTATCATGACACCTCCTCCAATGCCTTTTGCGGTTTTTTCGATAAATTGTGTAGTTTTCTGGGCAAATCTCTGAGCTTTTTTAAAATACTAATCTAGTCATGTATCCGGTAGTGCAGATTATTGTGTCTGGTTTTATGCTCTCAGTTACGTTTTCAAATCTACATTTAAATTGTTAAAGTTAAATACCAGTAACACAGTATAGTTACAGTTTGTACAATATTAATCTCCCCTGTTAGGCCTTCTGAATAAAATTAAATATATTATAAACATGTAAATAATTTGTTCATTTGCTAAGCAGAACATACATTGGAGAAACAATGGTCTCGTTTCATGTTAACGTTGTTGAATACTTTTATCAGACAATGATTGTGGTTATTGGCAGGACCAATTGAGTTAACCAATCGGAAAGGATCTTGTATACACTGCGGGATTGTTCAACCAAAATATCGTCTACTGTCGACAAGGACCAGGACATACATTTCACGATGTCTAGTGGCGAAGAGGACGCATACAAACTTAATCCAATGGAAACAGCTAAACTGAAAGAACTGTTTAACAAAATAGATAAAAATAGGGACGGAAAGATAGACATAATAGACTTGAGCACAGCTTTATCGGAGCTCAAAGTGGCACAATTGCCTGGTCATGCACAGGTGATTTTTTACGAATTATAGTTATCTCGTACCATTGTAAACTCGTACCAATGTCAACTCGTACCACTCAAAAAAAACTCGTACCAATGAAAACTCGTACCACTGCTAACTCGTACCACGGTAAATTAATACCTTTGTAAACTCGTACCAACTTATTTAAATGCATTCAAATGGTGCTTAATGATGAATATATACTTTAATTTCACTCAATACCTCTTAAGTTTGTGAAATGTATATAATTTGAAATTACAATGACCAATGTGTAGCTAATTTTCCTTGATTAATTGGATAGAGAAAACCGTGGCAGATTGGTTTTGTTGTCTCCCTTGAATAGACTTTTTTTTAAACTTTTACTGACAACTATTTGATTTAATTTTTAATCATTCCAAATCAGTAACATTGAATACATTTGGGTATTTTTCTATTGTTTCTAAAAGGAATTTTATTTAATGAAAGAATATATTTATTGTGTTTTAAAGGTTTAAAATTGTTTATGACCAACAGTTAGAAAGTATGAAATTTATTTTTATTCAATATTCAGCACTTTGTAGCAGAATAAGACCATGCTTATATTTCTTATAAATGATAGGTCTTTACCTGGCGTGAAAATTCTTCTCATATATATGTATCACCTGTAGTGAAAGATATGCATCGCATTCTTGAAAAGTAGCTGATAACTGAAATGGCACCTGAGATCACCCTCAGGTTTAAGTGGGTTCGTGTTGCTTAGTCTTTCGTTTTCTATGTTGTGTCTTGTGTACTATTATTTGTCTGTTTGTCTTTTTTATGAGTTTGACTGTCCCTCTGGTATCTTTCGCCCCTCTTGTTTTAATGACGTGACTAATGGTATTGTGAATGACCAGTAGGCGTAATGGTAGTGTTGGCAGAATAACAAAGAAGATATTTTAATTTTTTGTATAAAGCTTAAAAAAAAAATCATAAAACATTCGTATTTTTGTCTAAGTTTTCATTAAAATCTAGTATAAATGTCAAGTAATTCAATTATTTTATTAAGTTTACCAAAAAAAATCATAAAACATAATCATTCGTATTTTTGAATATATTTTTAATTGTACGAGTTTGCAGTGGTACGAGTTCTGATTGGTACGACTTCCCAGTGGTACGAGTTTACGTTGGTACGAGTTAACTTTTTTGGTACGAGTTTTCGTGGTACGAGTTTACAATGGTACGAGTTAACTTGCTTCCATTTTTTACCTGTCCTTCCAGTTCATTAACTCTTTGAAAAACGTTCTAAAGATAATATACGCCTACATATAAAATCTAAAAAAAGGACTTAATAGTTTATATTTCTCTCTTATATGTCAACAGTCACAGACAATCTGAAAAGTAGTATCTTCATGGATTACTTGGATTTGAGGTTTTCCTCTTCATTATTTTTCAACACCACCCTTGATATGACTCCTGTACCTTTTATTTAGTTGTTCCATTAAAATTCAACATTAAAGTGTTCACATTGTCACAACAGATTCTGCAGGGAAAATATGTCTTTCTTTCCCACCCTTACAGACCACAATTAATTCCTCTATTAGTTCTGTATAATGTTTTGTTGCATTAAAAAATCTTTTGTGTGTGTAATGTACAGTAAAAGTCCAAAAATATATCCAACTTTCAAAAAAATTGCATGTATACATCTTAAAAATTTAGCCAATGCACATCCATACCCCTATACGCTGCTGGATAACTCGGACTAAAACAAAATCAGCCTATCACAAACTCGGACTATCACAAACTCGGACTATAACAAACTCGGCCTACCATTATTTATATGCGGAAATATATTGAACAAACTCGGACTACGATTAGTAGATTGTTTTGTGGGTTTTTTTTTCTCACTTTAATAAAAAACAAACTTTATATATAAGAATTATATACGAATTTTGAGATTATGATAAATATTTTTGAAAAAAACATTGTATAGAAATGTTTTAAAATAAAACTTAGCTCCATCATATTAAAAATGTGTTATATGAGTTGAATTTGATATGTTTGAATGAGGATAATTAAACTTCTTTTTGAAATATTATTGTGATTTTCTCGTTTATTATTTTTATTGACAAAAGATGTTTTAATGATTGGCGTGTGTGCGTGTTTGTATTATGTTTAATCCTTGGTGTTCATAATTAGTATACAAACAAAGAGAAATTTGATTGACAGTGAATGGCTTCTTAACAATTTCACTAATCTGTAATTCTTTATTAACATGATTAATGGATTCACCAATTGAAAAGTAATTATATTTAAATGGTCACATCAAACAGATACAATGTTTTTAGAAATGCAAGCCGAGGCAAACATTTATTATACATATATCTAAAAATAGATGTGGAGTAAAATTGAAAAAACAAGAGAGATTTCTTTGATCTTACCATATAGTTCTATAAAATAACATGGAAAAAAAATTCCCATATCATTCTCAACATGGGTACCGACCACTGCGTCGAGTGTTCCAGAAAAGTGACAACAAAGCAACATGCCTTACAGTGTGATTCGTGTAGTTTATGGCAACACAGAGTTTGTAATACTGGTAAGTGCTTCTATATATTGTTCTTGTTCATAATGATATTGATAAATATTTTACTTGCTATGGATAGAAAAGTATTGCTTCATTATTCATTTATTACCATTTGGAAAATAAAGTTGATTGCATGATTTTGCATACTTCTTCTTCTTTGTATAAGCTTCCTGTAGACAGGCTTATAAGGGTTTAATTTATATATGGAGTGTTTGTTGTTTTTTTTTTTTCAAAGTATGTATATTTTAAAAAAATTAAAAAAGAAGCTTGGGCTGACATTTTTTGAATTGGTCTAAATGAATACTTAAAATCTAAAACATAGCTCTTTCAATATATAATGTTTAAGAATACGACTATATATAATTGTTATGATTGAAGTGAAAACAAAAAATACATAATTTGTATAAGTGACTTCTGGTATTAAAATTATAAAGTATTTGTTTTTAAATATTGTTGTTACTTCTTCAGGTATCACAATGAAGGAGTATCGTTCAATGATGCAAAGTGAAGAGACCGTTAATTTCATCTGTACCAAGTGCAATGATGTAGAAGAAGAAACAACCAGGTAGGCACTCGTCTAATTGTAATAGTGCGTTTATGTTGAAATTGTAAAGTTGATACATTTTATTTTTAAACAAACATAGCGTTTCATTAGTATATGTATATACAGAAATCTATAAACATGTGGTATGATTGCCAATGACCAATGACCCCACATCCAACCAGAGTTGATACATTTTATTTGTTTCCAAACATAGCGTTTCATTAGTTAATGTATATATAGAAATCTAGAAACATGAAGATGTGGTATGTTTGCCAATGACCCCTCATCTAACCAGAGATCAATGATGCAAGGTGTTCAACTATAGGTCACTTTATAAGAAATGTTCATTTAATGCATTTATTATGAATTTGTATCTTTAAAAATTTAAATCTTTCAAACTTATTATCATTTATTTCAGTTGCCCAGTCAACTCTACGCATATTACAGACGTTTCAGACCAACCGATACCGGACTATGGTACCTTCAACCTCTCTGTCATCTCCGCAGCAAATACTACCAACAGCCTCAACACAACCTTCACTATCAGCCGTGAACCAGACCACACAACTGAGGTAGAATCAGACCCAGCAGGTGCTCCAGAGCAAACCATACCAGAACCAGATACTGAACCAAACCTCACAGCAAGTTTTGACGTGACACGTAGACCAATAGAAGATCAGCAAGAAATATTAGAAGAGTAAGTAAATTAAATGTATTATTTAATCTATATATAGGTTGAAGAAATGTAAAAACAAAAATACCAACGGTACGAAACGCAAACAGCTTTACAACGAACCCTGACTTGGTATTGTTCACATGACATGAATATGATTCAATATATAAACATTGATGTTTTTTGGTTTTATTTTTTTATTTTATTTGATTTATTGCTCATGAAATCGTTTTTTAATATATATGGGTTGATATTTGTAATTGCCAACTAATGTGATATGATCAGTATAATATTCAGGTTGCACTCTAATAAACTATTTATCCATTCATTCATATACTTGATATCTAATTAAACATTTATTTGTAGTTCCTTAATTGAGCCAGACCTACCAGACACTATTCTGCCAGACATACCAGTAACCTACACATTGGTTGACCAAGGTTCCCAGCGTGGCTGGTTTAAGTTGGTGAGCAGTGATGGGTATGAATATACCAAAAAGGTAAGACATCTTAATATTAAGGTAAAATGAAATTTGATGTTTACGTCAATGAGACAGCTAAAGTAAAAAGAAAACAGATGATATTGTACAATTTTTCATTACTTGAGTCTAACATTTATACCTTTCAACCGACAACTTGGTTTCAAGCGTAGTTTTGTGTATATGATGTAGGTAAATTAAACTAATAATTTGAAATATTTAACGTGGAACGTGGTGTGTATGCGTCAAAGTGACAGTTAATGTACATAACAGATGTGCTTATTCATATGACAAGTCCGAATAAAATAACTTTCTATTTCATCTGTTGTATTAATGATTAACTCTAAGTAATTTTCAATTTTTAATTTCAGTCATCCAAGGGTGACTTTACGTACTGGAGGTGTTCCAAACGCTCCAAGACTGTCAACTGCCCAGCAACAGTCTCTCAGAAAGGCACTGACTATAAGATGAACACCAGACAACACATACACCAAGCTGACAAGGGTGCACTAAAGAAAGTAGTGGTAAGAAAAGAGGTATGTATGAATATGTAAACTTAATCTATAAGTTAAGATTTATGACGATTTATTTGATATAAGATCTGTAATTGAATATAAAAACTTTGTTCACAAGTTAAGATTTATGACGATTAATTCGATATAAGAACTATAATTGAATATAAAAACTTTGTTCATAAGTTAAAATTTATGACGATTAATTCGATATAAGAACTATAATTGAATATAAAAACTTTGTTCATAAGTTAAGATTTATGACGATTAATTCGATATAAGAACTATAATTGAATATAAAAACTTTGTTCATAAGTTAAGATTTATGACGATTAATTCGATATAAGAACTATAATTGAATATAAAAACTTTGTTCATAAGTTAAGATTTATGACGATTAATTCGATATAAGAACTATAATTGAATATAAAAACTTTGTTCATGAGTTAAGATTTATAACGATTAACTCGATATAAGAACTATATTGAATATAAAAACTTTGTTCCTAAGTTAAGATTTATGATGATTTATTCGATATTATACACTCAAATAAAATATACATTTTTTGTGCATTATTATATTCTTGTTATTTGTTATTGTAGGTTAAAGCAGAAAGTCTTCGAGATATACACAAGTCAGCACGACGTATAGTAGATGACAAGATGTTGGAACACATAGAGCCTGAAGATCACCAACTACCAAAGGTCAAGAACCTAGAAAGACTGGCAAACAGAGTACGTAAAGACCTCAGGCCAGATGAACCGCAAGACCTTAACTTTGTCGTGAGTAGATTTATTTGTTTATTTCACAGTACTCAATTTATATAGAATAGAGGTTATTCGTATATCGAAAAATGATTAAAAGAAAGCAACAATTTATAAATTTTATACGTCCATAAGGCTTTGTTGTATTTAACCTAAACATGCACACTCAAAGCCGAAACACATAGATGTATAAAATATATAGCTATATGGAAAACCAGAAAATCATATTTATAGAGAAACAGCATACAGTACGGAAGATTTACAAGTTATTTGTCAAAATAAGTCCTTTAGTAACATTGATTAATTGTTATTTTTCTTTTAGTTGGACACAGACTACTTGCAGTGCAATGACTTCATCATTGGTGACATACGAGTCGACAACGAGAGACACTTGATGTTTGCTTCACCCAACCAGCTTCAGATCCTTCAACAAGCCAAGCGGTGGTTCTGTGACGGTACTTTCAAGATCCTTGCAGATCCCTTTGCTCAGCTTTGGTCCATCCATGCCTTTATCCACAAAGGTGACAGCTACAAACAGATTCCACTAGTTTTCTGCCTTATGTCCAGACGTAAAGGGAGAGATTATGTTGCTGTAAGTATAATCAATATTTTATAATATGTTTTGAATTATAGTAATTAATTAACAATAACATTAGAACAAACTAGAAAATACTCCGAGAATATCATAACGATTTAGCAATACAAATCATTTATTTCATATATAGATATATAATCATAAGAAGTGATTGATAACATTAATTTACTCATTATCGTGTTTGTTTTTTGTTTTTTTTGTTTTTATTTTTAAATTTTTATGATTTTAGTTCTGTGTTGTTTTTGTAATTATATAAATGAATCATTATTCATTAGTGTAAGTAATACATTTTACAGTTTATTGATTGTATATTTGAACTCAATTGATATATAATCTTGAATAAATTTAATTATAGTAATTTGTTTTATATCACAGGTTTTTCAGAGGCTGAAAGAGGTCCTTCTAAGACCAACAGAAGTTCAGGGTTTTGTTGCCGATTTTGAGCAAGGTAAATATTATTATATTAATTACGCATCAACATATTGATTTATACAGATATTAATGATTATTTTGAATATCAATTTTGAATATCCTGATGGATATCAACACCATTTATTACTATTGTATTAATTGTACAATAATAACAGATTGCTTGTACTAAGAGTAATCCTCAGACTAAAAATCGAGAACGAACACGATGATAAGAGAAAATTACATGTATGTTAAATTAAACTTTGTTTGTATATTATTATATGACATGATTATGTATATGATGTTAAAGCTTTCTCGCGCATATTTATATTTATAATTACTTTTTCTAGGTGCATGGAAAGCCATACGTAAGGAATTTCCTACTTCCACCATCAAAGGTTGTGCCTTTCATTTTGGCCAGGCAGTTTGGCGCAAGAAGCAAGAGTTGGGCCTCAAGACCACATACACCAGCAGGGGTGCAGAGTACAGATACATCTGATCGCTGATGGCACTTCCCTTCTTACCAGCTGCAGACATCCAGCCGGCTTTCGAGAAGCTTTCACCAAGAGCTACATCTCCAGAGCTAAAGCAACTAGTAAGATATGTAGACAACACATGGCAACACTGTTTGGCACCCACGCAACTGGAACATCTTTCAGACCAGCATCAGGACCAATAATGATGTTGAAGGTATGAATTTTTTATTATTTTATTTTATATAAGAATTTCATTTTCCTATCAAACTGGTGGCATTATTATATTGTAACGAAAAATTATTAAATTAATTTTAACTTAATTTCCATGTAATCACACGACGTTCCCATTGACATGGATTACTGCAATATAAATTATATAGATATACAAAGATGTGGTACGAGTGCCAATGAGACAACTCTCCATCCAAGTCACAATTTATAAAATAAACCATTATAGTTCAAGGTTATCTTTTGTTGTGGTGAGGCAAATAGCTTTCTTTTTTCTTTTCATGTTTTTAATGAATGTAAATGTATGTAAATACATCTTTTCTTATAATTTAATTCTATTTTAGGTTGGCACATAAGGATCAACTCCGACATCGGGAAAGCTAATGCCGCCTTCTACGTCTTGGTACCGGCGCTTCATCGGGGAGCCAAGCTTGTTGATTTAACTGTCCGATTGGTTTCTGAAGAACAAGGAGCTGGAAGGTCGTCTTCATCAGTTATGGGACCAGTACACAGAAAGTGACATAACAGCATCCCGTCTACTTCGCGATTGTGGCAACATCTACGGTCCGTCCAACGACTAGCTGTTAATTACTCCTGTCTGTGTTTATGCTTGTGCTTTAGCCTTGACAATATTCATTTTTGCATTTTGTCTCAGATATGACTCAGAATTCTGTATGTGCTATGTATGTTTTGAATGTGGTAGCTGTGGGTTAAATGTGCTATGTATGCTTTAAATGTGCTTTGACAATGATTATTTATATTTGCATTTTGTCTGTCTTGTAGATGATGACAAAATGCCTTAGAGTTTTAAAGGTGCTTTATGTGTTTTATATATGCTTCATATTATTCGTTTGTAATTAAATATTATTGAATGACGAAATCATTGTTATGTTTGTTGACATCTGCTGAAATAAAATTATGTTTTCTTTATTATATAGTATTACATTGTACAGATAAATCACACTGAGATTCAACCAAACAAAGTATGATCAGAAACATACAATTCACTGCACTGTCCTATAATCACATAAAATTTGTAATCAAACAAAAAAAAAGGAACCTGAAAACATCAGTTATATACAAGCTGTTACTGCGAAAATACTGGATATTGGATATTTAGTTAATCACAATTTCATGTAATTACAGGTAGTTTTGTTCTCACTTGGGTGATTACATAGGTGTCAATAGTACACGTGTCAGTTGTTAGTTTAAATTATGGTGATTAAAAAGGTGTCAACAATACACGTGGCATGATGTCATATTTCCAGTTGAATCAATTAAGATATGCATATGATAAATTATTTTGAGAGGGACATTATTACAAATTATAATACAGAAATACAAATCAGTGGTAGATTTTCATTATTAAATGAATGTATTCTTAATTTTCTTTTTATACATATCTTGTTAACGTCATTTATATTACTCGCTTCTAAAATGTTCAAAATAAATTACTTAATTAATTGTAAATCATTATTAATTTCAAATTAAGTATTGATAATTAATTTCAAATAAAAACAAAATAAAACATCATACTTATATTCTTCTAGTAGTCCGAGTTTGGTATAGTCCGAGTTTGTTATAGTCCGATTTTGGGAGGCCGATTATGTTATAGGCCGAGTTTGTTATAGTCTGATTTTGTTATAGGCCGAGATATCATGGATTCCCCCTATAGACATGATAGACAAGTCAAGAGATGTTCCGAAAACTGTAAATATTACCTTTTTGCACCTGGCCTTATCACTCTTTCCATATCAAAATCAGTTGAAATAAAACATCCAAAAATTTATTTCAGCTTTCTTCTTTCATTTCCCCCCAATAAAAACTAAGAAATGTATGAGGAAGGGAAAGAAAATAAATATAGAAAAAATACACTTTAATTAAAGAAAACTATATTTGTGGACAATGAAAAGTGGGATCATTAATTGTGGTCTGGGGCCTACAACCTAAAACTATATACTAGACTTGACTATATAAATAATGTAAATTATAAAGTGATATATTTTGGTACATGTTAATGATGTTTAAAGCAACATTAACTGTCAAATTCATGTTCACCGATTTGACTCAAATTCTCATATTTGATTTATAACATACTAGAGCGTATATCCAAAATACAAAAAGTCTGAAATAAACAATCAACAATGCATGGATTCAATAATGTATCAACATTTCGTGTGTATTTTTGTCTAGACGTCATATCTAATTAACCATCAAGATGACCTCCAGGGGTGGATCCAGCCATTTATAAAAGGGGGGTTCCTAACCCAAGATAAAGGGGGGGTTCTAACTATATGTCCCCATTCAAGTGCATTGATCGTAAAAAAAAAAAAGCGAGGGTTCCAATCCCCGGACCGATCCGCCACTGACCTCCGAATACTGCCGACAGTCATATTACCTGATATAAACATAAATATTGTAAATATGAATATATAGCGACCAAGTGCAATTGGATTTTTCTAGGTCTCTTTGATTTCATATTATAGGTTAAAAAGTATGTTTATCATTGTTTTTTTGTGGATCGAATCAGTTAACCAAATGGTTAATCCTTGTTTCACTTTCAATGTTGACTTCTTTTCCTTTTAATAGCTGAATAAATGTGAACCCATCTCCAGCTAAGAGGTTAAATTGAAGTTCACATGAATACGGATTCAAAGAGGTTGCATTATTCACTTGCAAGTGAATAATTCATCAGCAATGTTTATTTGCTTATTTCGACAAAATGGAACCAAATTGGCTGCTAAAAGTGAATTATTAAGTCTCCCAAACGAAGTTTGGGAAGACATTGTTTTTGCTCAGTTATTATTATTATTATTCTTCTTCTTCTTCTACCTCTTCCGCTGCTTTTAAATTTGAACTTGTACGCACCCGTTCTCCAAAACCGCTTGTCAGATTAACTTAGGGTTTCACAATATGTTAGACTAACATGTCTAGTGGTGCAATCAGGGTTTTGTTTGTGCAATGGGGTTTATAAAGGGGTACTTTGAGGGGCAAAAAGAAAAGAGGGTTTTACTATAGAACCCTATGGGATTTTATTTTTTTAAATTTTCAAATGATTATAAATTGAAAACCGTTTGTGATAGACACAATCTTTTTAATTGAAAATGTTCTAAATGATAAAGCCCATTAAATGAAATACAGGGTTAGTCCCCAGGGGTCACCCCCACCCCCTGCCATTTAAGAAAGTTCTAATACCTTGTAAGTGGTCAAGATCCCCACCCCTAAACCATATATATTTTGGTTTGTTATGCTAAGATGGTTTGAATGATATACAGGGTTAGTCCCCAGGGGTCACCCGACCCCCTGCCATTTGAGAAAGTTCTAATATCTTGTAAATGGTCGAGATCCCCACCCCTAAACCATATATATTCTGGTTTGTCATGAAAAGCTCATCAAATGAAATACAGGGTTAGTCCCCAGGGGTCACCCCCACCCCCTGCCATTTAAGAAAGTTCTAATATCTTCTAAGTGGTCAAGATCCCCACCCCTAAACCATATATATTCTGGTTTGTCATGCTAAGATGGTTTGAATGATATACAGGGTTAGTCCCCAGGGGTCATCCCGACCCCCTGCCATTTGAGAAAGTTCTAATATTTTGTAAATGGTCCAGATCCCCACCCCTAAACCATATATATATTCTGGTTTGTCATGATAAAGCACATCAAATGAAATACAGGGTTAGTCCCCAGGGGTCACCCCTACCCCCTGCCATTTAAGAAAGTTCTAATACCTTGTAAGTGGTCAAGATCCCCACCCCTAAACCATATATATTTTGGTTTGTTATGCTAAGATGGTTTGAATGATATACAGGGTTAGTCCCCAGGGGTCACCCCGACCCCCTGCCATTTGAGAAAGTTCTAATATCTTGTAAATGGTCGAGATCCCCACCCCTAAACCATATATATTCTGGTTTGTCATGATAAAGCACATCAAATGTTATACAGGGTTAGTCCCCAGGGGTCACCCCACCCCCTGCCATTTAAGAAAGTTCTAATATCTTCTAAGTGGTCAAGATCCCCACCCCTAAACCATTTATATTCTGGTTTGTCATGCTAAGATGGTTTAAATGATATACAGGGTTAGTCCCCAGGGGTCATCCCGACCCCCTGCCATTTGAGAAAGTTCTTATATCTTGTAAATGGTCGAGATCCCCACCCCTAAACCATATATATTCTGGTTTGTCATGATAAAGCATATCAAATGAAATACAGGGTTAGTCCCCAGGGGTCACCCCCACCCCCTGCCATTTGAGAAAGTTCTAATATCTTGTAAATGGTTGAGATCCCCACCCCTAAACCATATATATTCCTATTTGTCATGTCTCGAACATTTGAATGACATATGCGGTCAGTCCCCAGGGGTTCCCCCCACCCCCAATGTTGTAATATCTTGTAAATGGTTGAGATCCCCACCCCTAAACCATATATATTCTTGTTCGTCATGTAATGAACATTTGAATGACGTATAGGGCCAGTCCCCAGGGGTTCCTCCCCACCCCCAATGTTCTAGTATCTTGTAAATGGTCGAGATCCCCACCCCTAAACCATATATATTCTGGTTTGTCATGCCAAGATGATTTGAATGATATACAAGGTTAGTCCCCAGGCATTTCTAATGCATATAACTTTACTGGACCAAACCAATTTTCACTGGAGGTTGCCCAATGTCAGGCGACCCTGGGAATTACGAATTATGGGAGCTTCGTTTGGGAGACTTCGTAACAGCATCCTGTTACAATCATTTCTTGTTATTTCATTATTTCACTTTCATTAATGATTGAAAAAAATTTATTTTTTTTTTTTTATATCTCATACTGTAGCTAATGCCCCTTTAATTACAAATAAATAAAACTCCAAATAATAAATAAATGTTGCAGAGTTAAATTCATGTATTTAACCTTTTTCTATTTTACTTTTGTAAACTCTAAAATTCATTTACATCTACTGCCATGACTGGGTTTGATATTAGTTTTCAATGAAATTGATTTATAAACTTGTTAGCCTAAAATAAGATTCTTTAACAAGTGACAAATTTGATAAATCAAATCAAATAATTAATAATGTAAATTCCAATACAGGAATGCTACCAGCTGACATTTACAAAATACAAATACAAAAATAAACCAAGACAAATATATAGACATATGATATTTTCTCAATGATAAGAGACATGCATTTTTAGAATATGAATCTTTGATTTAATGATATTTAAAACAATTAGGTGTTGATTAATTTTATTGTTAAAGGAAGTATTTAGAAACAAAGTACTATTCTTTAGCCAGGACCATTTAACTTCTTAATTTTATTATCAGTAGACATATATATATCAAAATAATTTCCTCCTTAAGAATTGAATATTTGACTAGTTTCTTGGGTTCACATTTTTTTATACGACAACAAAAAAAATTTTGCGGTCGTATATTGGTATGACGTTGGCGTCATCGTCGTCGTCCGAAGACACATTGGTTTTTGCACTCTAACTTTAGTTTAAGTGAATGGATCTCTATGAAATATTACCATAAGGTTCATTTCCACAAAAGGAAGATTGGGATTGATTTTGGGGTTTATGGTACCAACAGTTAAGGAACTAGGGGCCAAAAATAAGCATTTTTGTAACTTCCAGACATAACTTGTGTGTTAGTGTATGGATCTCTCCGACATTGTACCACAAGGTTCCATATCACAAAGGGAATGCTGGGATTGATTTTGGGGGTAATTGCCTCAAAATTTTAGGAATTAGGGGCCAAAAAAGGGCAAAAAACAAGCATTTTTCTAGTTTCATGACAATAACTTGTGTGTTAGTGTATGGATCTCTCTGAAATTGTACTACAAGGTACCATACCAAAAATGGAAGGCTGGGATTGATTTTGGAGGTAATTGCCTCAAAATTTTAGGAATTAGGGGCCAAAAAGGGGCAAAAAAACAAGCATTTTTCTAGTTTCATGACACTAACTTGTGTGTTAGTGTATGGATCTCTCTGAAATTGTACTGCAAGGTACCATACCACAAATGGAAGGCTGGGATTGATTTTGGGGGTAATTGCCCAAAAGTTTAGGAAAAAGGGGCAAAAAAACAAGCAATTTTCTAGTTTCCAGACAATAACTTGTGTTCAAGTGTATGGATCTCTCTGAAATTGTACTGCAAGGTACCATACCACAAAGGGAAGTCTGGGATTGAGTTTGGGGGTGATGAATCATAAGGGGGTTCAAAAAATTTTGGGGGGGGGGGATTTTTTTCCTTTTTTTTCTTTAAAATTTTCCATTTTAAATTGGTTATTTTTGATTTATATATAAAAGCAAATAATAATGATATGGTTAGAATAGGTAAATTAAAAAAATTTTAAGTTCTTAGACCACATTCATTCTGTGTCAGAAACCTATGCTGTGTCAAATATTTAATCACAATTCAGTGCTGTATCAAGCTTGAATGTTATATCCATACTTGCCCCAACTGTTCAGGGTTTGACCTCTGCTGTCGTATCAAGCTGCGCCCAGCGGAGTATTTTATTCTAATTTTGATTACATTTGATTTCAATGATCATTGAGAAAAATCATTTAAAAACAGTAATTTGCCAAGAATACATATATTTAAGTTTAACCTTTCTTGCCAATACATTTTTTAAAGTGAGTCATTTGAATTGATTTCATTTTCTATTGATCATAGGGCCAGTTTGAGCTTTTGCTAACACCACTTTCAACACTCGGCATCCTTTGTACTTTTCTGTCATTGTACAAAAATCTCTAAAACTACTGGGCCAGTTGGATCTAAACATGGCTATAATCACTCTTGGTGAAAATATGTCTGATGATTCAGCCCACCAGCCAAATGACGAACATAGGGTTAAAATACAATTTTTGTCTATTATATACTGAAAACTGCTAAGATACATGTAGCGAAAATCATACAGGGGCAGATATGGTTCGAATGTTGAGATCTACCTACTGTCTATTTACATCAAAACTATCAGACAACTTAATTATCGTAGAAGCTATTGCCCCTAAATGGTGAAATTTACACATTTTTACATTTTTGTCTATTATATTGAAAATAAAATATTATAAATAGAGAGAAACTTTATATAGCAAAACAATAGACAAGTGTCTGAACAATAAACATGTAATACATGTCAAACTTTAATTGTTTAGAGTCTTTTATCTTACCTTTTAGAAAGTCAAAGATATAAACAAAAATGTATTCATCACAAATTCAAGTTGGTGCAGTCATGATATTAACAGATAATGCAGAAATAATGAAATGCCAAATAAATTAGTTGAATATGAGCTATAAAGGCAAGAAAATGTACATGTATCTTTGACTTCTTCATCCCTTTAAAATCAGATGATAATTGTTTTATCAGTACAAAATACTGCTGTTGAGGTTCAAGGAAAACAAATTTGTTTAGATTTAAGGTCTTTTCAAAATGAAAGCTACAAAAACATGTACATGTGTATGTGGAACGATAGAAATTTTAAGGTCTATTCTACTCTCAAATACTACATGTACAATGTATGTAAAAATAAGAAGATGTGGTATGATTGCCAATCAGAAAACTATCCACCAGAGTTCATATGATGAAGACATTTTCAATTATAGGTCACTGTACAGCCTTCAACAAATAGAAAACCCCATACGGTATAGTCAGCTATTAAATGCCCCAACATGAAAAATGTGAAAAATTCAAACGAGAAAACTAACAGCCTAATTTATAACAAGACAAATTTATACATAGTAAAACCTCATATTTCATGTCAAAATACTATTATGTTTGAATTGGCAACAGAATATCATAAACTTCATAGAAATGAATTTAGAATTATTCAAATTTGTGGCAGATACATTGTATCCAATTGAGTAATTTATAACAGTTGGTTATTTGGCATGTCCTGTTAAAATTGTTTCAAATAAAAGAACCAATAAGTTTAGTGGTTGTTTTGTTGGATATCCCTTTATTGCTTGTTGTGTACATTTTTCATTGATACATGTCTGTAAACTTTGAATTTCAGGGACATTTTTTCGCATATTAGATTGAATAGTAATTTCACAAGTTTTATTTATTTTTTTCAGGATTTTTTCAAGCGACACGACACAAATCATGATGGACAGATAACATTCGTAGAATTTGTAGAATTTATTTCGGAGCATGAAAAAAGACTGCATGAGATCTTCACAAAAGTAGATGTAAATCGTGATGGTAAGTACATAGAAATAAGTAGATGTGGTATGAGTGCCAATGAGACATCTCTCCATCCAAGTCACAATGTATAAAAAGTAAACAATTATAGGTCAAAGTACGGCCTTCAACAAGACATTGTTTTAAAATTCATGGAGATTTTGGAAAAAAAGAATAAAAACATTTAACTTTATTCTACATATAAAAAAATGAAGATGTGGTATGATTGCCAATGAGACAACTCTACCAGAAGTTAGTTTGTTAGGAGCCTCAATATTGTCTTTTCATATATTGGTAGTTATTTGATCAACTGTTAACAATTATCTTTCAATACCATCTATTTTTTTTAATTAAATGGAAAACATATTATGAAATAAAGTTTCTATATGTTTATTTCTTATTACATATTTTAGGTTCTATTGATGTGAATGAAATAATGGAAAGTTTCAAGAAGCTAGACATGAAAGTAGAAAGGAAAGAAGCAGAGAAATTAATGAAGATGTAGGTATTAGCTTTTATATGACCGCAAAATTTTTGGGGTCATATAATGTTATGACGTTGTCAGCGCCATTTGGTTTCCAGACAATAACTTGAGTAAAGGGGTATGGATCTCTATGAAATTGTACCACAAGGTTCCATGCCACAAAAGGAAGGTTGAGGTTGATTTTGGGGGTAATTGTCCTTACTGTTTAGGAATTAGGGTCCAAAAACAAGCATTTTTCTTGTTTCAGGACAATAACTTGTGTATAAGTGTATGGATCTCTATGAAATTGTACCACAAGGTTCCATACTTCAAAAGGAAGGTTGAGAATGATTTTGGCGGTTATAGCTCAAACCTTTAGGAATAAAGGACCATAAACTAGGATTTCCTGGTTTCCGGACAATAACTTGAGAATAAGTCTATTGATCTCTATGAAATTGTACCACAAGGTTCCATACCAAAAAAGGAAGGGTGGGATTGATTTTGGGGGTTATGGCCCTAACCGTTCCAGCGGAGCATTTTATTCAAGTGTCGCTTCACTGCTCATCTCCTAGAAAGTCAGGGCATAATCTTGCCAGTGAAATGGTGACTGAAGTCCCTTAAAATTTTTTTAAATCACTAAAACTCACTGGGTAACTGACTATCCAAGTCGTGATGCCTTCGAAATGAGTAAAAGGGAGACAACTTAATATTTTCTAGTATCATAGGTAAACAAAAGTGGTGACTGACTAGGAAAATCAAGATTAAATTAAATAAATAATACAGCCGCTTCATACCTCCTTGGATTTATCATCCAAAACAATTTTAAAGAGGGGACTGAGACCTTGTTTCAGTTGTCATTTTACAATGATTTGCGCCATGAGGATGTTGCATAATCGCTCAGCTGATTTGTTTTATATTCATTTATCACAAACCGACCAGTTGTACTATTTGGTCTGTATAGGAGATGGGAATTATTGGCAAATTTCTTGCTATTCTTTTGATTAGTCCCCTACCGAAGAAGTCGAAGGGGACTTTAGTATTGCACTCCGTCCGTCCGTCTGTCTGTCCTTCTGTCAGTCTGGCAAATCAGTTTTCCACACTTTTTTTCTTCATGATTGAAGATATTGATTTGGTATTTGGTATTTTGTTTTATCATGACAAGTTACAGATCAAGTTCAAATTTTGTTCCGGTCTGATAAATTTGTGCAGAGTTATGGTCCTTGGACTTGGAAAATTCACTCAAATATTCAGTTTTCCGCACTTTTTTTCGTCATTCTTGAAGATATTGATTTAATAATTGGTACATTTTTTTATCATGACAAGTTACAGATCAAGTTTGAATTTTGTTCCGGTTTGATGATTTTGTGCAGAGTTATGGTCCTTGGACTTAAAAAATTCACTCAAATAATCAGTTTTCCGCACTTTTTTTCGTCATGCTTGAAGATATTGATTTGATAATTGGTATTTAGTTTTATCATGACAAGTTACAGACCAAGTTTGAATTTTGTTTCTGTTTGATGATTTTTTGCAGTTATGGTCCTTGGACTTAGAAAATTCACTTAAATTATCAGTTTTCCGCACTTTTTTTCGTCATGCTTGAAGATATTGACTTAATATTTGTTTTATAGATTACACCATGACAAGTTATAGATCAAGTTAGCATTTTGTTCCAGTACAATTAATTTTTAACCGGTAGGGGACTATGTATTGCCATGCAATACTCTCAGAATGCTTGTTAATATTGAAATATAGAAAGTAAAGTACAACTCGTGGAAAAATATGATTGCAAGTACATGACTGTATGAATGTTATGTATCAGCAGGGGATCAGCACCTTTTTTCTTTCCATGAGAAAATCTTAAATAAGAGAGACATCTTATATAACAGAAAAATAAAAATTTGCTCTTCTTAGTTTATTAATACAAAATGTATGTGATTGACAGATATCTTTATGGCCTACAATCATTCATGAGAATCTCTTGTTACAACTGAAACATGTCCTGTACAATTTTGTGCAAAATTATGACAAGTTGTGATAATTTGATTACTCAGTCTTTCTAAAAAAAAACAGATCAGCAGGAAAGTAGAACATATAGTTAAAACTGTCCTAACTTTTTAGGTCACTAATTTCAAAATTTTAATTTTTTTAACCATAAATAACTCTTTTTACTGATGGTATTGAACTTTTGAAAATATTAATTTGGATTATAAAATTAACCCAATCTCAATCATTTAAAAAAAAAACCAGATGAAACTGATAAAAATGATAGACTTTAGGTGTAAAATGATAGACTTCAAGTTCTGTAAAGTTATGAACCAAGATAGCCCTGACTGGTATACAGAAAACCCAAGGCATTGTAAAATCTGTTTTGCAGATAAAAACTGGTAAATGGCAATGCTTTAATTTCCCAACCAGTTCTTGATATAAACAACAAACCATCAGATACATCCTGGGAGTAAGTTTTTCTGAACTTTTTTTTTAATAAATTGAGGTAAATGCAGACAAGACTAATGCATGAAATACTAGCAAATTTGCCCTATAATTCTTTGAAATTTAGATAAAGTAAAAAAAGGAAACATCTGATGACAAGATGTGTAAAATGATTTGACAAATACAAAATCAATAAATTCTGATGCATTAGAACTCTTATGATGTCATGACATCATAATTGTGCACTCTTATGAAGAAAATCTTAATTTTGACTATTTTTTTGGCTAAATTTGAATATTTTTGGCTTTTAAAGACATTTGCAACATGCAAGGACTACCATGATTTATAGTTAGGATGTCAATCTGATCCAAATACAGCCTTGTGTAACAAATTTATTTTGGTCGAAGAGTATGGTCAATGCTTTTGAGAAGGAAGTATACCTTACAAATGCATAAAAACAGGTACTGTAAATTCAGAAATTATTGCGTGCATTTATTATTGCGATTTTGTCATTTTAGACTAAAATGCGATTTTAATTTTTGCGATATTGACAAAAATCCTGTTTTGTTCATATAAACAATTTCAAAATGCGAGTTTAAATTATTGCGATTATAACCCTATCGCATTTTTCACAATAATAAAACATCGCAATAATTTTGAATTTACAGTAATCTGACTAAAATCCTGTAAAATATCATACTTTTGAAGCTGTAAAAATGGTTGAAATGAACAGCACACAGGAGCAAGTTGTAATTGATCCGCAAAGTTTCCGCAAATGGTGTTACAAAGTTCAATTTTCAGGGTCAAATTAAAGCCTTCATGGCCATAATCCTTTTATTTAATCTAAAAATCAAATTGACAGTACAAAAATAGGACTAAATAGATAACAACTATACCTCATGAGGTAAAGAGTAAAATCTTCTGTCCAGAAACAGTTCTGTATAGACAGATTTGACTATTGCTTTTAAAACGATGACATTGAACAAATTATTATGTTTGAATTGCATTAATGATTGGAGATGTGCATATAAATGCATGATTCATCTAAAAAAACATCCATTTTTGTTGAGCCTTCGACTTTAGTCGAAAAAGCGAGACATAGCAATCCTACATTCCGTCGGCGTCATTGTCGGCGGCGTCCACAAATATTCACTCTATGGTTAAAGTTTTTGAAACTTTAATAACTTTTTTAAACTATCCTGGATTTCTACCAAACTTGGACAGAAGCTTGTTTATGATCATAAGATAGTATCCAGAAGTAAATTTTGTAAAACTAAAATTCCATTTTTTCTGTATTTTACTTATAAATGGACTTAGTTTTTCTGCCGGGAAATATTACATTCACTCTGTGGTTAAAGTTTTTAAAATTTTAATAACTTTCTTAAACTATCCTGGGTTTGTACCAAACTTAGACAGAAGCTTGTTTATGATCATAAGATAGTATTAAGAAGTAAATTTGGTAAAAAAATAAATCCATTTTTTCCTTATTTTTACTTTTAAATGGACTTAGATTTTCTGCCAGGAAACAACACATTCACTCTGTGGTTAAAGTTTTTAAAATTTTAATAACTTTTTTTATACTATTTTGGATTTGTAACAAACTTGGACAGAAGCTTGTTTATGATCAAAAGCAAGTATCTAGAAGGAAATTTTGTAAAAAAATAAATATATTTTTTCTGTATTTTACTTTTAAATGGACTTAGATTTTCTGCCAGGAAACAACATATTCACTCTGTGGTTAAAGTTTTTAAAATTTTAATAACTTTCTTATACTATTTTGGATTTGTACTAAACTTGGACAGAAGCTTGTTTATGATCAAATGATAGTATCTAGAAAGAAATTTTGTTTTCTTCCAGTTAACATTACATTAAGTCTGCAGTTAAAGTTTTTAAACATTTATTAGATTCATAAACTATCCTAGATTTTTACCAAACTTGGACAGCAGCATCTTACAATCAAAAGATAGTATCAAGAGGAATATTTTTATTGATTAACTTCCTCATTTTTGTTGAGCCTGCGATTAATAGAAAAAGTAGGCGAGACACTGGGTTCCGTGGAACCCTTACGAATTTTATAAAATGTGAAGTCTCTTTCATAAGCAATTTATTAATAGGATGGATAAAGATGGATCTAGGAAGATAAATTGGCATGAATGGCGGGACTACTTAATATTGTCATCTGGTGTGACTAAGCTAGAAGATATACTTCATTACTGGAGACATGCAACGGTAAGTTAATAGATAATACTGCAATCTCGTAAAATCATGTTGATGCCCAAGTCCAAGTTTCAAACTTATGTAGCTGTTGTTTATTCAGGATCATTGAATTCTTAAGCACCACAATTGATTTTTCCTCTTTATTTGTCTTCCTTAGTGCTTATTAGTCATGTTTTCTATATTGCTTAAACTGTTGTTGGGGACAAAGAAAATGTTTTTCTGTACATTAATTCGATTTTCGAAAGCTGCTTATAGCTCTATCATGTCACCCTGGTGTTTCAACAATTGCAATGGTTATTACTAATTTGACCTTTTGATTTAATGAAAACAATTCATTTATAAATTAAGTTTACAAATTAAAAGACATTTCATATTTCATTTCTTGAGAATCTTAGTAAAGATTTGAAGTCCAAAGTAGCATCGATTATGCAAACCCTGTGTATGTTTGTCAAATGATTCTGGTAGACAAAATAAATTTGTAGCTTAAACCATGATCAAAACTACTTTTAATTGAAAAACAAATATGACAGACATCAAACCAACCTGGGACAGTGATGTAGCAGCACAAAATAAGAATAAACGGTAAAAATCAGATCGGAAAGACCTATAAAAGCAAGTAGCATAAAGGCAAAAGACATCGAACCAATCACAGTTAATAAGCATTTTAATGAGAGAAAAAAATTTATTCAGTGCATTTATTTAAAGACTTATCCATAAGCTACATAGAATGACAATGTGTGAGTACCTCAAAAAGAGTTAACAGTAAACAAAATAGAGATTATAAAGGTCACCTGAAGTTACTATGGTTGGATCTGAAATGATGTGACATGCATGAAATATTTGCCACTGGACATTGAGCAACCAACAATCAATCAATTTCAATGAATTGATGTGTCATTTAAGATTTACAAATTTAATTTCAGTGCAGGTTGATCTTCTGCAAATGTACATTGAAAATGAAAAAAAAATGAACTTTTTCTCCGCATGCAAATTTTTAAGAAAAATAAAGAGAAAATAATTAATTTGAAGGTTTCGGGTTGAAAAAAAACCAAGAAGTATTTTTTTTTTTTAATTTAAGCAAAAAATTTTGACAACAGTGATAACATGTTTTTTAAAAACATGTAACAAAGTAAAAAAAAATAATTGCAGTAAATGATTTTGTTCAAGTAGGATAAGTTCTTCTTTCATTAAACATAATTATAAAATTAAAAATGTGCAAAATGAAGTAAAAATGTATTAGATAATAAATTATGTTTTCTCTGCCTTATCTCCCTTAGACTACATGTAACTGGTTATTTCCAGTTAAAGTAAATATACTTTCTTTATCAGCATATACAACATCATGCATGTTGTACATGCTTTTCTATGTAATTAATCAGGGAAACAACAGGTAAAACAGAGAGAGGTGTTATTCACCTGTCATAAATCATAAGTTAATACTAGATGAGGATAAAACTCTTGTAAAAAATTATGTGACAACTTAAAACATTCATATGTATGCTAGTTGGACTAACATAATAAGATGTGATTTTCTAAATAAGGTAAGCCTATTTAACATAAATCCTGAAGAAAATGTGTATGCATCTTAAAAGGGCCTTCCTTTAATGTTCCTAAATTGAAAAACACCAAATTGGAAATTGAGTTCTATTAGATTCTTCTCTATGCTGCTTATCACAAATATATAAATACAATCAACATGCAAATGAAGGTCACCCAAGGGACAAGGAAAAAGTGACCTTATAAGAGCGATGACCTTTGAATTGAGATTCAAAATGCATAGATATTACTACAGCGAGTCAAGATGAGGGTGACCTTACAAGACAGGTTTTCCCTTAATAGAGGTGACCTTTACAATAGGTTTGACTATATAAAAAAAATGCACAGTTATGGTATTTACAGTAAGACTTATTCCAATTGTTTGAGGATTTTTGTTCTTATTTTACCAGACTTGGGAACATAGTGTTTTCAGCAGAATTTATGAAAGAGGGTACATGTTTTGTGTAAACAACAACTCCTACAGTTTTCAACCTAGATCCTTGAAACCTCACAGGATAATTGCAAATGTGTTGAAGTTGTGCAAGTTCCTCTAACATTTCCATAATAGTGTTTGAGGAATTTTCTATCTTTTTTTCCAGACTTTGGAACATAGTTATTTTCAGCAAAATTTATGGAAGAAGGTACAAGTTTTGTGTAGTCAACTACTCCTTCAGATTTTTTTTTCTCTTTTTGGGAACTTAGTCATTTTTCAAATATTTAAAAGTTCAGTATATAGAGCTTTCTCTATTTTTTAAAAACCGTCTGTGTAATGCGACCATTTGAGTCTTTGGTCAATTTTTATACGACCGCAAAAAAAATTTTCTGGTCGTATATTGGTATGACGTTGGCGTCGTCGTCGTCTTCGTCGTCGTCCGAAGACACATTGGTTTTCGCACTCTTACTTTAGTTTAAGTGAATGGATCTCTATGAAATTTTACCACAAGGTTCAATACCACAAAAGGAAGGTTGGGATTGATTTTGGGGTTTATGGTACCAACAGTAAAGGAATTAGGGGCCAAAAAGGGGCCAAAAATAAGCATTTTTGTATCTTCCAGACATAACTTGTGTGTTAGTGTATGGATCTCTCTGACATTGTACCACAAGGTTCCATATCACAAAAGGAATGCTGGGATTGATTTTGGGGGTAATTGCCTCAAAATTTTAGGAATAAGGGGCCAAAAAAGGGGCAAAAAACAAGCATTTTTCTAGTTTTATGACAATAACTTGTGTGTAATTGTATGGATCTTTCTGAAATTGTACTACAAGGTTCCATATCACAAAGGGAAAGCTGGAATTGAGTTTGGGGGTAATTGCCGAAACGTTTAGGAATTGGGGGCCAAAAAGGGGCCAAAAAACACATTTTTCTAGTTTCCAGACAATAACTTGTGTTCAAGTGTATGGATCTCTCTGAAATTGTACTGCAAGGTACCATACCACAAAGGGAAGGCTGGGATTGATGATGGGGGTAATTGCCTCAATATTTTAGGAATTAGGGGCCAAAAAGGGGCAAAAAACAAGCATTTTTCTAGTTTCAGGACAATAACTTGTGTGTAAGTGTATGGATCTTTCTGAAATTGTATTACAAGGTTCCATATCACAAAGGGAAGGCTGGGATTGAGTTTGGGGGTTCAAAAAATTGGGGGGGGGGATTTTTTTTTTTTCATTTTTTTTCTTTTTTTCATTTTTTTTTTCTTTTAAAATTTTCCATTTTAAGTTGGTTATTTCTGATTTATATTTAAAAGCAAATAATAATGATATGGTAGGAGATACACACCAAACAGGATGTGTAAATTATTATATAAGTATTGTGCAATAGCAAGAAATTTTCAATTGCACAGTATTGCACAATAGCAAGAAATCTTCAATTGCACAGTATTGCGCAATAGCAAGAAATCTTCAATTGCACAGTATTGCGCAATAGCAAGAAATATCAAATAGCACAATATTGCGCAATAGCAAGAAATTGTCAATTGTACAGTATTGCGCAATGGCAAGAAATATTTAATTAAAAGAAGATACTTCGTATAAATTGCTTATTTCTTGACCAATTTCAATGAATTCTTGGGGTTCTTTAATATGCTGAATCTAACCGTGTATTTAGTTTTTGGATTTTGGGCCCGGTTTTTAAATTGGTCCACATTGAGGTCCAAAGGGTCCAAAATTAAACTTTGTTTGATTTCATCAAAAATTGAATTATTGGGGTTCTTTGATATGCCGAATCTAAATGTGTATTTAGATTCTTAATTTTTGGTTCTGTTTTCAAATTGGTCTACATTAAGGTCCAAAGGGTCCAAAATTAAACTTAGTTTGATTTTAACAAAAATTGAATTCTTAGGGTTCTTTGATATGCTGAATCTAAACATGTATTTAGATTTTTGATTATGGGCCCAGTTTTCAAGTTGGTCCAAATCGGGGTCCAAAATTAAACTTTGTTTGATTTCAACAAAAATTGAATATATGGGGTTCTTTGATATGCTGAATCTAACCATGTATTTAGATTTTTGATTTTTGGGCCCCGTTATCAACTTTGTCCACATTGAGGTCAAAAGGGTCCAAAATTAAACTTTGTTTGATTTCATCAAAAATTGAATTCTTGGGGTTCTTTGATATGCTGAATCTAACCATGTATTTAGATTTTGGATATTGGACCATAATAGGTGAATGTCCAATTTAAAATTTTTAAGTTCTTAGACCACATTCATTCTGTGTCAGAAACCTATGCTGTGTCAAATATTTAATCACAATCCAAATGCAAAGCTGTATCAAGCTTGAATGTTGTGTCCATACTTGCCCCAACTGTTCAGGGTTCAACCTCTGCGGTCGTATCAAGCTGTGCCCTGCGGAGCATTTTATTTTCATAATGCATAAAAAAGATAAGATCCAGTATTCTGTTTTTTTGGTTGGTTATTTTCTTCATATAAATGATGCATGGGGTAGATGCATGCATATTCATTGGACAATGCCCAATGGATATATTTATTATATGGAAAATTGCATTGTAAGTGCTTTTAAGCATACATTTCTTTTTAAGATAATTATAAAAAGTTTTTAAGAAACAAACAAACAAAATTATTTTTATTTATTGTCCTAGCCTTGGATAGATAAAATAAGTGCAAAACAGGGGACATTGTCACATTGGAACTGTTCTATTATTTTTACCTTGTGAGATGAGGTTTAGCTGTAGTTGAATATTGGTCATATGATAGCCTACCGGTAGTTATCGCTATCAACATTATAAAAGGAAAAGATGCAGGTTCATGTCAGCATCATATCTTTGAATATTTGGTAAGCATTAAATTAGAACCCAACAATCACTTCTCTAAATAAAGTGAATCTGCCCTATTGAGAGATTCATTTGCAATACTGAAATGAAAAACTTAAAAACTTGTAATCTTTGCAGATTATAGACATAGGTGAGAATGCCATTGTACCTGATGATTTTACAGAGAAGGAAATGCAGACAGGAATGTGGTGGCGTCACCTAGTGGCAGGAGGATTTGCTGGAGCTGTATCAAGAACAGCTACAGCACCACTGGATCGTATCAAAATATTCCTGCAGGTAAATTGAGCATCTAGATGAAATTTTTATCCTTTGTTGTCACGATGATAAGAGGTCAGGTATAATCATCAATTATCAAACTACTGACTGTTTCCAATTTTAGAACTTTTGGCAAAGGGAGACAACACTTGTGTAGACCAAATTATGTTCCATGTTAATGCAAAAATAATGGGAGGAGCGTGTTTTGTTATAAAAAAAATTGTTACGAATGGTAACAGCCTATTTTGCAATCTCTTTTTAATTTGTGATACACTTAGGAAGTCAAAATTATTGTCAGAGCTGAGAATACAGCAAACTTTGCTTTATTTAGGAAGGGACCTTTGTCATACCTAGGAGTTGTTTCCCTTTACAAAAAAAATTGAAATTTGAATCCAGTCTAAAATTTGATACCACACTATAAGTGGAAGTAACACTTCGACAAATTAACATTGTAGATATGACCACATTTAGGTATCTGTAGTACCATAGATAAAATTATAGACATATAAGAAAATATAAAAATTGATGATCATGATTATGCATGACAAGTCAGACTACATATTATGATGCTGAGATGTATAGATTTTACTACAATATCCCAATGAATGTATTCATTTACTCTGAGATTGTTCAATATTCAAAAGTTAAAATTAATCCATTTCCTTTTAGTAATGAAGATATGAATAACAAAAAATATGGCTTTTAGTGTAAAATGTTTATCTTATAGGTTCATGGTAGTAAAAATTCCAATTATGGTGTTGTAAATGGATTGCAGTACATGATAAAAGAAGGAGGAGTCAAATCTCTGTGGAGGGGAAACTTTATAAACGTTCTTAAAATTGCTCCAGAATCTGCTCTCAAATTTATGGCTTATGAACAAGTAAGTATTCACAGTAAATAAAAAGATAAACCAAAAAACAAAACAGAACAGAAACTAGAAAATTGAAAGAAAATAATAAACATGCATTTGTTTCATAATATGGAAACATTGGTACATTTGAGCAATTTTCTTCAATTATTTTTTTTGCATTAGCTGTAACAGTTTGAAATGAAAAATCTCTTTTTTTTAATGACTTGTATGTTTATACTGTAGTGATTATTAGATTCTACCATGTAGCAGTAGGCAAACAGTTTTCCACTGAAGAAGGCATGTGAGACTTGGTTTTAAAACTTAACAATTATAAGAATTTCTAGATTGCTACCAATTAGCTTTCAATATAATAATTAACCCTATATAATGTATGAAAATAATGTAGCTTATTTAGAACCCTGTGTTTCTTGACATATTTCTTTAATCAAGTTGTAAATGAAAAATATGTTGTGTACAAATTTGAGTACTGATCTACCTTAGACTGATTGTAGCTTCCAAAGCATAAATTCATTTGGCTTGACTTTCCTATTTTAAAGTTTTCCAGCTTTTGTAAAATAATTTCAATTTTTGTTCTTTAAATATTTCATAAAAATAACCATGTGCAAATTAAATTTGAATTGTATCTTTAAAGAATTTTAGGGTCAATTATATTTGTAAAAAATTAAAAGAAACTGGATTCATACATTACAATATAAACTTTCTTTTATTAGTTTAAATCCATGTTCAAAGGTGACAGAAAAGAAATAACAGTTGTAGAGAGATTAATGTCTGGATCATTGGCAGGAGCCACAGCACAAACAATTATCTACCCAATGGAGGTTTGTTATTAACTAAAGCAGTCCCTCTTAAAAACTGTTTTTACTGTTGTACATGTAGAAGATATGTCAGGATCTCAGATTCAGTGATGTTGAATTTATCTAGGCTCTATTTATAACACACTTTGACTTTTTAAACCTTAAAACTATGAGTGTTTTGTCTTGCTGAATAAAATTTATGACATGCCAGACAATGTTTTCAAAACTAGGATGTACAAATGTTATAACAATAATATAAAAGGGGCGTAGTAATTAATTTTCAGACATTTGTTTTAACTACAGGTCAACAAAAGGCCTTCAAGAATGAGCAAAACTCATCTATAAAAAAATATAAAATGTCACAGGAAGACAAAATGTGACTATTCAAAAGAGAAAACAAACAACCTGATTTATTCTAAAAAAGAAGAAAAAAAGAAAAGCAATGATGGCAGTCAGTTACAAATGACTACCACTGGATTACAGGCTCCTGGCTTTGGGCGGCCACTAAAAAAATGTGGAGGGCAGGGAGGATAAAATAATATTGTGACCTGACCTTGCTTTTTATGTGCTTTTCCTTGTTTTCTGCATTGTATTCAACTTAGTTTTATGACAACTGTATCCATACCTGTGAAAGTAACATATTTCCAGCTTTAGTGAATATAACTTCAGGAATACATCAAGTGCTGGCACGGAGCCAAAGAAAACAGAGCTGCATATTTCTGTGTTGAATGTGCTAAAATGGACAGATTATTATATTTAGAACATAAAGGCCATCCCTACAGTAGAAAAAATGTTGCCTTTTATAGAAATGGCCTGAGTTGATATACATGAAAAAGCTTACCTTGATGAGAATAAAGCAGGATTAGTATGAGGGCAAATCTTCCATGAAAGGGGCATTATATGTATGAAGGGAATTTATATATGACATGATGAATAGGGGGAAAAAACCACTTTCAGCCAGTCAAGTCTTATTGTTGTTAGGTTAGCACATGGCCGGAGACATATAAATACTGGCTGTTCTTCAATCTGGTCTTAAGCGCTCTCACATGTACAATTCTTGCCTGATTTTTATGAAATTTATATCAAAGGTTTATATCAGCAATGTCTCGGACAAATTCAAAAATCAGTTCCAATCAGCTATCTTTAAAAGAATTTAACTATGCCCTTGGAAATATTAATTATATGGAAAATTGCATTGTAAGCCCACTTAAGCCTAGATTTCTCTTAAGATATTTAAAAAAAAGTTTTTTTTGGTTATTGCCCTTGGACAGATAAAATATGTGCAACGCAGGTGACATTGGAACTCTTGTTCTTTTAATTTGATATAGTTTTTCAGTAAGATTGCTTTGTTTTTTGTCTCTGTAAACTGAAAAGATTTTGAATTCCATGTATGTTAATCTTATGGAACAGCAGTTAATAGAAGTAATATCTATTTTCTCCCAGGATTGCACAAAACTGACTTTTTAATAAATACTGTTTAAACTCAGACAGCAGTGTTAAGAGTTGAAATAAATGAAAATTAAAATTTTGACATTTGCTCTTACAGGTGTTAAAGACAAGATTAGCACTGAGGAAGACAGGTCAGTTTGATGGTATTGTTGATTGCGCAAAGAAAGTTTACAAGTCAGAAGGTGCACAAGTATTTTACCGCGGCTATGTCCCTAATATACTTGGTATTATTCCATACGCTGGCATAGATCTGGCGATATATGAGGTAAGAATTATCCTCTATAAAGGTATACATCTTGTGAATGGTCTTTTATTTGCTAAGGTCAATTTTCAATAAAAAATCATTGGTTGATAATTATTTAAATCTGTGACTTCAGAGTTTTCATAAGAAAAATCTGTGGGGAAATCTGCTACTTGATAGGTATGAATTTTCTGGGTTTTTTTTATAATTGCATGACCATTTTATCTGAAAATGTTTGTTGATATTGACTAAATGATGTTAGTTTGAAAAATTATGTTACTGTGACTTGATTATAAGTATTGCTGTCCATTCAAGATTATGACACAATTGCAATTTGTTTCATCAAATCAAAGTTCAACAAAATTTTACCAAACTGCTGAAAGAACCACAGTCAAGTCATCAATGTTAGTATCGGGATGTGAGCTTACAATCATATTGTGTCAGAATACAGCCATAAATGATTTTCAATTTTTATGCTGATGATGACTGTTAAAAGTCCAGCAGCATATTTGGTGTATATTCAGGGTGAGAACATGTTAATAAAATATGCATACAAACCCTGCTTTGTACTAGACAGACACACTATGCAGAATTTTTAACATGCTAGTTAACCAGGTAAAAGTCCTCAGGCAGATATGTTACCCTACCTGGACATATTATTCTGACTCTAAGCTGAACAGTCTTTGCTCTTACTCCTTAATGCTGCATACTTAGCGAAGATGCAGTAAATACCAATTTAAAAAGACCCGGTTTGGAATTGAATTGCTTTTCTAATAACTTTTGTTTCATGTTAATTTTAAGGAATTGTAAAATGAATTACTTTTGGAATAAACACTTTTAGATATTGATATTACTTTTTTTCAGACACTGAGAAACATCTACACAAAAAGAACAGGAGGAGCTGATCCAGGAATATTTGCATTATTAGCTTGTGGTACATGTAGTAGTACGTGTGGACAGTTAGCTAGTTACCCCTTAGCTCTTGTCAGAACAAGGCTTCAGGCACAACGTAAGTATTCATAGACTTTCACTTTTAATGTTATGGATTTATACAAAAATTAGCAGTATCTAACTTTCAGATTTAATTAGATTTACTGTGGATTCATTTATTTTCGTGGAAAACAAATTTCTCTAACTTAAGTAATTTTAACCAGGTTTTCCTAGGGAAATATGGTTATTATTGATTATGTTTTTTTCGTGCAGTAACTTATGATCCTTTCAACCTATGTTTTTCAAATTTTTAATATGTTGTAATTTATTACAAAATTGAGGGCCATTTCGATAATGATGATTTTCACTTATGCCCTTCATGAGTATTGGTCTTTTATTGCTTTAACAATGACTTTAAGAAATGTAATAAAAACCCAGTTTGCTGTCATTTTGAAAGCCTCTTGTTTCAGTATTTGGAAGGTTTTTTAAGCTGTAAAAATAAATAAGTGCTTAAATCATTGTTTACAAAATATTGAGTGCCCAAGCTACATTAAATGCTGTTCAGTCTAATTAATTCATTAATGATTGAATTCATTAGACTATACACTGATTGTATGATTTTTTTTTAAATTAATGTCTAAACTACAAAAGGAATAAAGATATCAAAGAAAAACACTATAAAATGAGTCAATTGCAAATCAATTATAAAAATGTTTTTTTACAAAGGACACATGTTTTATTCTGAATTGGTTCTTTCATTTCATCTGTTTGAAAGAATCTGAAACGATTGTATTTTGATTTTTTTGGCAAAAAAATAAATTCATTAGAAATATTTTTAAAGTTAATTATATAGTCCTTGTGAGATTTCTTTTGTTTTACTGTATTCTATAAAGCATTGATTATGTGTGATTAAAGCAGATTTTATCAGGACAACATAAGTAAGTAAGATCGTACCAGCATGTATACATTAAAACAAAGTAATGAAAGTTACCAACCACTGTCCAATTTTCTACATTTGCGTGTCTTTAATGATTTATTAAAATCTTGATTTTGTCAATTTTATGTTCTAGAGAGACATATAAAGACAAGTATGTATGGTTTGTGTGTGAAGAAATGTTGTCACTGTCAATTAATCTTGCAATGTCATGTAAAATATATTTCAACAAACAATGCTACCATCTTTGTTCCTTCATTAGTCAAGAGATATGTTCCTTCATAAGTCATAAGAACTTCATCATATGGGATAAACATGCAAACCAGCTAATATTTATAAAACTTTTATACACTTTATATATAACTTTGAAACAATTGTAAAAGCATTGTTTTGAGTTTCTAAATTTTATATTTCATTGTTTAAGTGTTGTGATTTTTTAAAGGAATCTGATACAAGGGAATCTTTTTTTGTGTGTATTTCATTTCATTTTTAAAATCTTGGTGTTTTTTATTTTTTAGTAATTAATCCCATTTCATGTATGTTGGTTTTTTTGGGTTTTTTTTTTTTTTAAGTATTTCACTGTGTTTTCTCAGGAGTTCTAAATTAATATTTTACAAGGAGAGGATGATGTGTTCCATAAGTAACCTAAGTGTTAACATGAAAATATTCATTATGGACTTTTGAAAAATTCAATACGTTATATATGGACCTGTTCAGATTATATTGACCGAGTAAGAAGCCAGAGTGTCAATATAATTTAACAGCTCCATATATAGCACATTGACTGAGTAATAGTCCCTAATTTATATATTACATATGTAAACAGTGTATTGTGTAATGTTCTTTCTGTGTAATTTACATTGTATTTTGCAAGATTTTTAATATATACCTTCAATATATAATATAAATAGAAACACAGCATATTTTACCTTGTACTTTGCAAGATTTTTAATATTGACTATCAACATATATATATATAAAAAGAAACATAGCATTCACATACTTAAATACCCTTAAGCTTTGAATCATGTGATCGTAAGAACCAATGAAAAAAAAAGAATGCTTCACCATATGTAATATATATTATTATCACTGAATATGTAAATTCAATAATTGAATTAATTTGCAAGGAAGAACTGTATATTAACTTTAGCATAATAAACCAGGGATGTTCTGGTACAGTCCAACCTTAACAGTCACCTTGTTTCAGCGGTCACCTGTCTCTAACGGTCACTTTCAGACTCTCCCAAAAGTATTCTTTATATAATTTAACTCTTTTCATCGATCACCTGTCTTAACATGATCAATGGTCACCTACTTTTCGCACAATATATATTATATAATTAACTACCGTTATAATCATGACAAAAAATATACGTGTTTAGTATTGAAGTAAAAATGAGAATAGGAACCTGTTTGCAACCAAGATCACACAATAGGAGGTGTATTTGTGAATACTTCGTGTACTACTTCTTTCACTTTCCATTGAAAACAGTATCACCGACTTATCTCTTTACGAATATTAACATAATGTTTTTTTCCAATTAACGTCGACGGAATCAACCATTTTTTTATTTCACTGCTCCAAAAACAATAACTCAACTGATTCAAAACACTACAACAATTTGCCACGGACCTTGCCATAGGTGATGTTGGAATCAGAACTTTTCAGAACCTCTTTTAAAAGTTGACCTCTCCAATATTGAACAAATAATATGTACTATTCTATTAAAACATAGTTTTACACATTTACAATGCAATGAAGTATAAAAAGGAAATTCAAAGTACCAAGTGCATACTAAATGAAGGAAAATAATACAATATACATGTGTGAGTGAGTGCATCTGAAAAAACAAGAAATATTTTAAATTTCCCTGTCCATTGTAATTGTAAGTAATTAAAAAGACATTCATAATTACATGGTTCCCCAAGGGTGACTTTGGAATAGGAATATGTTCAGTTTGGTCTTCTTCTGAACGGCTGTAAAACCCTTGCCAAAGTGGAGTGTACATTTGGCAGTGCTGGATGTATAAGTACACAACCACATCCCATCAAATAAGGACATTAGATAGATGTGTATCGTGTAGAGAAATTACCATTCTCTCAGCACTTTAAGTACCCTTGCAAAAACTCTTTGAGGGGTCCGTTGGTGGCCTGTTGCAAGGCAAAATTTCCAATGTATCCTCATTTTCCAGTGGCAGTCCAAATTTCCTTGACCTTCATCCTGGACTGCCTCTATAACCAGACCGACCTATTGTATTTATTGTTAATTTGTTCTCGTCCTGAACATGCATGTAACATTTGCCACAGGACGATAAGCAAACAATCAATCAATCGTGATTACATGGCAAAAATGCAATGTAATTCATTTCTTTTAATTATATGTACTTGAAAATATGCTCAATTACATGTTACATTAAATTACTTTTTTTTGCCCATTATCTTGAAAAACTATAATAGATAGAAAGGTACAAATAATAATAGAAAATAGAAAATACATTCATATTGCTGTCCAATTCACAAATTTACAACCATGAACATGATGAATGTCACTCGAAAGTTTTATCAGTTAAAAGATATTTTCCACCCAAAAATATATACCGGTATTTTCCTTTGATCCTTGTGCCCTATTTTTGACACTCCTCAATTACCTGTAAAATTTAAATAAAATAACACGCTTACTGTTTACTTGCAGGAGAAGGGCATGACACAATGTCAGGAATGTTTAAGAAAATCATCAAACAAGATGGACCAATGGGACTGTATCGTGGCTTGACACCTAATTTTCTCAAAGTTCTACCAGCAGTTAGTATTAGTTATGTGGTTTATGAAAAGACCCGGACTGCACTAGGTGTAAATATGTCTTAATGTAGATTTTTATTTAGGTGTTTATAATAAATACTTTATTATAAGTGTCCATTATCAAACTGAGATACATTTATTATAATTTTATAATCACTTGCATAATTTGAGATTTAGGCAAATGTTCATGCTTTTTGATTGGAAGTTACATGTCATGTGACTAGAAATCAGACTGAGGCTGTCTTTATTTTTGTATCTTCCTTAGTGAGCACCTATTTATTTAGCTGATATATAGTATTTTTTTCAGTAGTAGCAATATTTTACAGTATACAGTTTAAAATATAAATGTTTATGAAAATCATAAACAGTAAAAACATATTTGTTCTTTCAAAACCCTGTACTGCTGCTAATGACTTTTATACATTGGAGAGTAAAAAATGATTAAGAGAACATTCAAAAGTTAAATATTAAGCTAAGATGGACACTTTATATGGTTTGAGAGAAGAATTTGTCCAAAGTAGTTAAGTTTGTCTCAATTTTTTCCAAGCAGGAGAAGATCTTATTTTATCTTTTCTATTTAATGCAATAGATAACGGTATTTAATATTTTTTATTTCGAATTAATTATTATAGTGTAGAAGCATATTATTAGTTGTGTGCCATGTATTTTTGTTAAGGATATAGAAAACCATACTAACAGAGGCTTAAATCTCATATATATATAGCTGTATATTATTGTATAGAAATATTCAAACATTTGTATTGTCAGTTATATGAAAACGGTTTGTTAATGTTAAAACATTTTATAATTATATGTTGATTGTTAATTTTGAGGTTTTTTTTATCTTCCAAATTGCAATAAATAATCTGTTATATAGAAATTATTTAAATTAATATTACCACACACTGTTAACATAGTAAAAGGTTAATGTTATTTCAGTACACTAGAACTTCAAAGGAAATATGAATGGGTCACTGTTTTTGGACCCTTAAGTTCGAAAATCTAAAACTTTTATAAATTGTTAAATTACATCTTTTAAATGTTTGTCCGTCATTAGTCTGACAGATATTGGTATTTCATTTTAGAATTTTGTCTGTAGGTCTTCAAACTTCTTGCATTTAAGGAAAAAATGCCAAAACTTCTAGAAGAGCCTCATTTTGAGATCTTGTCATTGTTACTTAAATATGAGCGACAGCTCTACCCTCAAAGATATTTTGCTACAAGATGTCTTATATAAAGTTGTTATAATGACAGAAATATCTTTTTGAGATAGAATGTTGTTCATATTTTATTTGAACATAATCAATATATAAAATGTCAATTTAGATATGTTACAGTCACATCACAGATGATATTTCTGTACTAAAGTGACCACACTTTATTGTGCCATTTATTTTTATCAATAAATTAAAATGATTTGAAAGGATTATTATTTTTGCAATTTCAGGGAAATATGTAATAACCTTGCCCTCACATCACTGCCCCAATGATATAACTGGTAATCATTCCCTGCATTGACATCACTTTAAATTAATGTTACGGCTAAAGAAATTTATAATCATAACATCTTTCATATTTTAACCTTTCTTTTACAAAGCAACAGTATTTAGCTGAAAGATAGATATTATCCATAAAAAACGTATGACGGTTGTTTTCAATTTTTTCTGTTGGTTGATACAGTCAAGCGTATGATTTTTGTTTCGCCTTGACGGAGTCAAAAAGTGAGACATAGATATGCTGTTTCCGGTGAATGTATTAGTTTGTGATTAGGTCTGATAAAGGGGAACCATTAGTGGTAGGCCAATGTTAATTGGTATGCAGTTGTATTAGCATTGACACATCTCATATCCATGGAGATTATTAGGCCCTGCCCCCTCAGTCATGGTCTATTGACTTTGAAACTTTTGCTTAGTTTACATATATATTAGTTTGTGATTAGATCAGTTTTAGATGAACAACTTATGTTAAGTCAATGATATTTGGTATGCAAATTTGTTGGCATTTGCAAGTCTTGTTTCCATGGAGATTATATAGCCCGACCCCCTCATCATGGTTCATTGACTTTGAAACTTACAGTTTACAAGTTAATGTTTGTGTTTAGGTTTGTTTAAAGGGAATGAATTATGATAAGTCAATGGTATTTGGTATTCAGTTTTATTAGCACTGGCACATCACATTTCCATGGAGATTGTATAGCCATGTACCTTCAGTCAAGGTTCATTGACTTTGAATATTTGCATAACTTACATGTTAAAGTATTGCTATTTTAATTTCAACTTTTGCATTATAAAAATTACAAAAAGGCGAGACATATCTCTGTGTTAACAGTTTATGTCATGTTTTATGGACTTTCCCCTTTTTGAATTACCTATGAGTTTAATATTTTTGTTAATACTGTTTTCCATTAAATTCTATCATATAAAACTAGAATACTGACTATTCTTTTTACTTTTTTGGTTTATTTACAAAGGGAGTGTTCTCCCCAGGGCCATGGTGTTATATTTATTTACCAAAGTGCTATCTGAATAAATTTATGTTATAATGTATTATAAATGAGCTGTTTTGATTTAAGGGACGCATTGCTATTTCAAATCTCATAGTGCTATTTTAAAAATGGTGGGGAGAACACTTACAGATGGTTCAGTTTTATTTGCAGTCACTTTTTTGATAGTTTATTTTGTTAAATGATAACCCTATGGACCAATAATTACCGTAATTGTATCACTTTCATGACTAAGTTACCAATAGAAGTTTTTTTTATTTATGCAGTTAAATTTTTTAATTCTTTTGTTGTGAATGTTGCAAATCATATGTTACAAATTGCAAAACTTCTACTCTACAGTACCTGCATCTACCTGGTTTTAATTTGTTGCAGAATTGTATGATCATTTATGAAAGACATTTATTTAGTCTTAACTGTGATATAAACTATTAGTACCAGTATGTCATTTTCAATGCTCTTCAATTTCGTACGTTATTTGTCCTTTTTAACTTTTTTTATTCGAGCGTCACTGATGAGTCTTTTGTAGACGAACCAAGCAACTGGCATACAAAATTTTAAGCCTGGTATCTATTGACGAGTTTTCAAAATCATTTAACCATGACATATTTTTTTAAAGCATTCCAACATTTATGAGTACATGTGCTTACTTACTTTTTTATAGAATTTGGCTAAGTAGAAATTTCCGTTTATTTATAATTTAATTTGTTGAAATTGTATATAACATCAAATTCCCCAATTTACAAACCAAGCGCATTTAATATACATGTATTGAGTGTTATTTAGCCATATTTCATATGTAAACAACATTGATACTTGTGATGTTCAAGTATTTGGGATTTCACAATTTCGATATTTTTGTGAAAACCAAATTCGACATTAACAGTTTTATATTATATCTGTATGATTTACTGAAATGTAGCAGTTGATCAGAAAAAGGATAATTTTCTTTTTTTCAATGGAAATTTTTGTAAACATTTCAGAATTCAATGTGTTTGCATAATATTTTCTATAGTATACACAATAGCTTAGTGAATTGTTAACAATGGATATCCAACCAATGGTGCAATTATTATACCCCCTCTCCCTCCTCTTGCAAAAAACGATTTTTGGGGGTACATATGAATATATATGTTTGTCTATCAGTCTGTCCATGTAACTTGTAATTAACGTGTTGATAGTGCAACTGCTGCTAACATGATTGATGGATATTGATATTGCATGTGCATAAAGGAATAAAGTCTCAGGTCTACATGTTCAAGGGGAGATAATAGAACTTACATACTTACTCCAATATTACAATATGTGGTCATAGTATTCAGGGTAGGGGAGATAATAGAACTCACATACTTACTTCAATATTACAATATGTGGTAATTGTATTGAGATTAGGGGAGATAATAGAACTTACATACTTACTTCAATATTACAATATGTGGTAATAGTATTGAGGGTAGGGGTTTTAGATTTTATTTTATGTATGAACAATGAAATTTCTCTTTAACCTCTAGTTCTGTTTTTATTTTATTCAACATTTCACATGTTTTTGGTGTTACTGTAATTAATATACAGGTCCCTGACTCCGTGTCCATTAAAAGTGTTCAGCTACAGAAATTAGGCTATACTTTATACAAACTGTGGTCATGTTTTTTGGAACTCAATTCTTTTGCATTATATAAAACCTTTTTGTCCCTCCTTTTTCAAGATAGAAATGTAGAATAAAAAGTAAAATCTTATTTTAAAAGGATAAACACCATATTTTTTATACAATGATTATAACTTGCAGGCATGTGTAATTTAGTGATTAAACATAGGTAAAATGATTATGAATGTTGGTATACATGTACATGTATGTATGTATGTATGTATGTATGTATTTATGAAAGTCGTGACTGATGAAAAATTGGTACTATATTGCTCTTTTTATGAAAAAAAATAATTTGAGAATTGCATAACATACTTGTTTTTTCATTGACAATGAATACATTTCTATATTTAAACTCAAGGCAGATAAATGTAAGCCAATATACAGGAAAAACTCAGTGATGGAATTAGCCACTTTTGGAAGGGTGAATGATTCAGTTGGTTATAACCGAGGGTTAGGCATTTTTGTTTTGGAACATTTTTCATGTGATTTTTCTAAAAAATAAAACTGAAAAAGGAAAAGCAACTCTTAATTTTCCCTAGATTTAAAAGATATACATGTAGTACCATTCTAAAGTCAAAGAAGATTTGAAAGCATGATTGTTATTCCTTTCACTGTTGATTCCATAAACATGAATTCTGTTTTCAACAATTTTACCTCTTTGGAGATTTTCTAAACTCTTTGTGTTTTTGTTGAATACATATTTGTATGTGTGTATGTCTGTCTGTCTGTGAGTGTTTGTAGTAATGTCTTCCATAATGCTTAGATTCATAGAAGCAGATTTACTTTGTCTGGTTGATGATTACACCTGGAGAAATTCGCTTATACACCTTAAATGTTTGCATTGAGGGTATAGTAAATTTGGAATCATAGAGATATTGCTAATAAAACCAAAAATATTAATGGATGTTTTTTATTTTGTATAATCTGTTCTGTCTTTAAATCTTATTACCTTATGTGATTTAAATGTGATGATTTGTTACTGTTTTGATTAAATCTCATTTTTACCCGTAATTATTAATAGTCTGAAATAGTTTGTACTCGTAGTAATGAATGTTCTGTGTAAACTGCAGGATATTTCTGCTTGTATTATATGTCACTACTATTTTTTACAATTAAAAAAAATACAAATTCACCGTGTGTTTGTAATTATCAATCGAACTCAAATTCCAAATGTTTTTCAGACAGTGGCAATAAGGTAAAACACGCCAATTTCAACATGGGTTTGACATCTAGATTATATCACCCTATTCATTTATCTATAGAACTAACATAATTTCTCATTGATAGAGAATTTATCTACTTCAGGGGTTCAAATAATCACTTATCATACCTCCCCTTTAAATGGTTCCTTCTTAATGTTAATAAAGGGAGATGTTGGGTATATATATATATATATATGTCTAGGACAGCAACATAACAATACATAAAACATTCTAACCGCCTCTGTGGTCTCGTGGTAGCATGTTTGCCTCGAGTCTGGGTCAAACCAAAGACTTTAAAATTGGTATTTGCTTCTTCTCTACTTAGCAAGAGTCATTAAGGAGTTAGAGCAAAAACTGGTTGGCTCAGAATCAGAATAATGTGTCCGGTTAAGGTGACATGTCTTCCTGCGAACTGTTACCTTAAAAATTGTTCTGGTGGAATTTTTGACTTATCATTTATCCTGTCACAATATTTATTTGGCGAATATTTTCAACAAATGCAAGCCCCCACCTATTCCAGGAAGAATCAAGATTATTTTATATTATACCTAACACTAAGAAGAATTGGGCTATATAATTTTGACCTGTCCATCTCTCCATCAAACATCTTGGTTTCCTGATGCTTTATTTTATACTTTATATTCGATTTCAACATTTCTTGGATATGTGGTCATATATTATGAGAGGAGGAATCCTCTTGATTTTCAGGTCACTATGTCTAAGGTGAAAGTCACACAAAGAAAACAATTGTGCAGGAAAGGAGTTTCTTTATAAAACTAGACTCTTGCGTTGGATTGGAACCAAACATATTTATGTTTAATCAAATATAATGAGAGGGAGATCACTATCAAAGGCCAAAGTTACAAAAATTTTCAGAATAGGTAGAAAAGGGGTTTCTGGATAAAAATTCAAGAACTCGACATGGAATGCAAGGAAACATGCATATATATTTACTTTTAAAAATTTTGACTTGAATGGAGAGTTGTCTCATTGGCATTCATACCACATCTTCTTATATCTATATATGTTCACACATGAGAGAATTCCTATTGATTTTGAGATAATTATTTTAAGGTCAAGGTCATAGTTACTAAAAAAGGCTGAAATTAGTGCAGAAAGAGGGTTTCCAGTTAATAACAACAGAACCTCACACGAGATTTGAACCAAACTTGCATATATGGTCACATACAATAAGGGTGAGATCCCTTTTGAATCTGAGGTCAATTCAGTATATGACTTGACCATTTAGGTATTGCCTAAAAGAAAAATCTTCCTCTCAATATATATGACCTTCTCTTAAGAGTTTGGTTCCTGTCCTAAGTAAAAGTTTTTGGGTGATCATCAAGAAACCCCTTTAAGGCAAATTTCAGATGTCTGTATTACATCTGTAACCTTGACCTTTGAGGTGTTATCCTTAAAATTGATGTGACCATGTCCTAATTAGGCTCCAAACTTAAGTTATATTCTTGCGTTTTCATAGGAAACTACTTTTCTGAATTATTTAAAAGCCCTGTTAAAACAAATAGTTTCAAAATAGTAATTTCAATTAAAAATCTCTTGTACAGGAAAATTAGTTAGTAAATACAGGCTCCTTGGATCCTCTAATGTATCCTATCGGAACCATACATGTAAAAAACAAACTGTCATACATCCATTCTTGCCACTTTGGTCTCGTTTGATTCAATGGTCCAGGGATGAAATTCTAAGTATTTAAAATGGATGACATGCTGAAATAAAAAAGAATGTGTCTGAGGACACAATGTACCTGCTCAAGCTTTGCAATTTTCCAAGTTAAAAGGGGCATAACTCTAGAATGGTAAATGAGTCACAACTCTGTCTGTTTGCTGTGGTTCATAGCATTGTGCACAACTCTGTCTGTTTGCTGTGGTTCATAGCATTGTGTAAAAGTTTCATAAAATTTGGATGAAACATACTTAAGTTAGAGTGCGGAAAAGAAAAAGTTTGCAATTTTCCAAGTTATAAAGGGCATAATTCTAGAACAGTAAGTGACTCACTGCCAAAATTCGAACTATCTGCCAGTTTTTTGTTCTTAGCATTGTGTAAGAATTTCTTAAAATTTGCATGAGGAAAACTTTAGTTACAGTGCCGAAACGAAAAAGGGACGGACGGACGGAAAGACGACAGTCAAGGGTTACACTTAATGCCCCCGTTGTCTACAGCGTGGGCATGAAAAACATGAACAAGCTGCCTAATGATCAGGTAGACCAGGAGTTCAAATATTCATGGTTAATCTTAACAAATTAGACAAAGCTATTGTTGATGTGATGTTTCATACTCCAGGTTTTGTGAGTTTCAAGAAATGGGTGCATATTCACCACTAAGCACTTATATAGCAAGGTTTAGGAATTGACAAAAAGATAACGTGAACAGACTGTGCTAGATAGATGTAGACAAAAATGCCAAACCAAAAAATTAAAATAAGTCAAAAATACAAACAAATTTTCATTCAGATTTATTTTTCGAGTTTTGAATTGCATTATCATTGTATAAACAAAACTGTTAAGTATATATATATAATAGAATAATAAAAATTTGGCACTACCCTTAGGGAGTCAATATGACAGCAGTCTAAGGATGTCCACATAAAATGCAGATTATATTTATATGTACAAATACAAACAATTAGAGCCATTGTAGATTATCATTAATTTGTCCATTAAATATGTGGACCTTAGATAAGGGAGCAACCATTTCATTTTGGTGCACAAAGAAGAGACTTTTGACTTCTTATCATTTTAACTAAAAAAATTCACACAATTATTTTTCAGCTTGTACTTTAGTTTGTTTGTGTCTGAAATTTATTTTTTAAAAGAAAATTCTGCCATTTTTTAATGGTTTTGTAACGTTTCATTTTTTTTACCTTTCATCAGAATTTTGAATAGATATCAAAAATTTCCTTCTTAGCCCCCCCAATAAATATCAAATGATTGCTTCCCAACTAGAATCAAAACAACTGTTTTAACAAGATTAAACTCTGCATAACTCTAGTTTTACAAGATTCCAATGGAATATAAAACATACAAGAATTCAATTATTACCATTTGAATGATTATTTATATAAAACTTTTGTTCATACCTAGCAGGGAAAAATCTTCAATGACTGGAAAACATTTTTTCAAATCTTCATCCGTGTTAATAAAATGATTAACTTCCCAGATAATTTAAAACATTTCATTGATACTGATGCTTTCCTTTTTCATAGTTGCATCAGGCTTAATAAAATCTGCAAAAAGTTACTTTAGCACTAACATTAATAATTTTTAAATCCCATCCTAAACAATACAATAGTGTATCATTCAATATAATAAGTATGAAAAATGTTTCCAAAAATGTCCTACTTTCTTAAGTGGATATAATTAAATGCTTGCCTTCATGGTATACTTAAAATGTTGCATCATACCTGATTTAACTACAAACTGTAAACCAGTAACTGAAGTGAGTTTCATTATGGAAGTTGAAGACTGAAGACTAATATAGAGAAACAAATCATTATTTAATGCTTGAATTCTTGGTATTGAGAAAGCAACTGTCCAAAAAAATACATATCTTTGAATTCTTGGTATTGAGAAAGCAACTGTCCAAAAAAATACATATCTAATATGTACTCAGATCATGATTTCAGCTTTGGTAAAAAATAATAAATTGTCCCCTACTTCCTATTATCAATAGAAGATTCATGTAACATATGTCAATAAGACAGCAAACTGACAACACAAATCAAGACCTGAAGTGCCAAATATCAGCTGTTCCCGGTAAAAATCTGTATTAAATGTCCCTTTAAAAGTTAGGAACAAAAAATGATAATCTTCAATGGGGACTGAAATGGTCTGATTTCTTGTGACTGATTTTAGGTAAAAGCAGACTTTTGTTCAATGCCAATTATCTACTGTGCTTTTAAAGTATGGAATTTCATGGCTTAATACAAAAAATAAAAAGCATGGAGAAATGAAGGTCTCAATTATTTATAAATACTTGCAAATCTAGGAACTAAATATTTCATCAAAAAACAGCCACAAGAAATGTTATCCGAAGCAATTAATTGTTCACAGACAAATCGACAGACGTCGCAAGACATGGTTTACGAGACTAAATATCAATATGTAATTCAGAGACAGAAACAGACCGGTTAAGTTTTAAGGGAAAAAAAAGATAATCAACTTTTCAGTACAATAATGACTTCTATAAGAAGTATTTTAACCAAAAGTGAAATCAGAAGTTGCCATTTAAAGTATTTTATTGCAGTCAAATATTTGCACTTGTTTAATTTCTACCAAAATTTGTTAAATGAACTGTTAACATATACTTAAGACAACTATAACACTGCATAAAATAATTCTATTATATGCTTATGTCAGATTTATGTATTGAGCACAGAATTTGAGCTACTGAAACAAATTCTACTAGCTGTACCTTAAATGAAATAGCATTTGAATTCATGTATTGATCAATAAATTGTGAAAAGATTTACACTATAATAATGTCTGACAATATTGACTAATATAAAACATTACCACCATAAAAGGGAAAAAGTCTGACATCAGCACAAATAAGTCACAAGTGTCAGAATACATAAATAAAAATTTCCCTATTTTATGTGGTTTTAATCATGATCGATATGAATGATATAAGTATGACTTCATGAATCAAATGTATAGATCTCTGAATAGAAAAAAAGGAGGAATTATAAAACTCAACAGATCCAGCTCTGAGTATCCAACAAAGCAAAATAAATCACATCACAGAAGATAGCTCTAGTTAACAGATAAACAAAGATAAGCAAATACACTTATATATCACTCAAGCTGAACATAGCACAACTCCACAATTTATAGCATACCACACACATTCAAAATAACAGATAGCACATACTATATCATACAGCACACTACAGGTCTCTCAATATACTTTATACATCTTATAGAACAGAGTTACAGTACATTTTTTATATCTACAGAGTAATAACTACGAAGACTTTTAAATACCCTTATGATTCATTGTTTGGTTATAGTGTAGAAAGGAATTATGGGTAATTGGCAGTGGTAAAATTAAACACCAGCATTATGTGAAAACGCCTTACGGTAACATCAGTCCTTAGACTTAAGATTTTAATACAGACCTAAATAATTTATTATTAGTGTATTGGTTAATATCTTTAATTGACTTGAAGCAGCACAGGATTAAACTAATTGTATAATTATTATATAAACAAGCATTTTTTTTTATTTTGAGCCGTAAATTCAAAAATATGCTTTTAAATACTCTGTATGTCTACTACTGCATTGCTAATAGATTGTGGTGGAAATCTTACTTCAACAAATACATGGACCAGACAATTAACAACAGCTCCATTCCATATCAAGGTCATTTTTTGGTTTACCATTTAAAAATAGACAATAGCAGTCAAAATTTTTTAGTCAACAAAGGTTTTTTTTCTTTCCATTAAATTTTTTAAATTAATGTGCTTTTGACAATAAATATGGCAAATGTTGTCAGAAAATAGTATTATAAAGATCCATTTCAATCATGGACACATTTTAAAAAAATCTTGATAACTATAATTCCAATCTTTTCATTAGATATATATATTATATAGGTACCATATGAAGGTACTAATTTCTAATGTCTGGTATATAGTACAACATTGTTTCTCAAGATGCTTAATAAGAATTTGCTTGTGAAAGTCATGCAACTTTATTTATCTCGGGAACAAATGTGGAACAGCACCAAATACCATAAAAGAAACTTGCATATAAAAAGGTTGTGTAATATTCAATTATTTACTTTTATCTTATAATAAATTACACATAAAAACAGGGGGCAAAACATACATACAAAAATATGCTTCAGAACACATCAAAATACAGTCAATTTACATGTATATGATCTATATACATTTTTAAAAGTACACAAAATCTACATATGTATTACGGAGATAGAAATGGTTTGATTCAACACATTAAATTAATGAGTTAGATAACAAATAAATTAAAATACTTAGTACGGAGTACATGTTATAATTAAATAAAAAAGTATGATCTGATGAATGCAAATATTACTATGTCTCTTGTTATCCTTAGAAATTTTTTTTGTAATTATTTCTTTCAAGAATAAAAATTATGGAGGCCATTTTGCCAATTAATTCAGATTTCTACATCAAAAATACTGGTGTCATTTTCAAACATCTAAGGTTTTTCAAATTGTTGATTTTTTAAAATAATGCTGTAATACTGTTTTCAAACATAAAGCTTGTTTAGCAGAAGCATGTACAGCCACATTGAGCATGCAATTTCACTTTTGACTACATTAATATTGTCAATAAAAATAACATTCGTATCTTACTGCGATACTAATAACAGAATGGTGAATAATATTGTGTATGTTTCAGGGATCACAAAAGTAAATTTACAACATGGCGCCAGTTTTAAATTATGTTCCGTATCTTGAATATGATTAATCAAGTATCTATTCACACCTGATCTGAGCAAAGCTTCAAACCTTATCATTCATTGTTAACTGATTGATTGGTTGTTGGCTGCTTAATGTCCAGTGGCAAATATTTCTTGCATGTTCAGGACAAACTTGTTCATTGAGGAACCTCCTCAATTACAAAATGTCAATATAATCTTAAATACATATTTTTCAGTTATTAGCCTCTTTGAAAATAATAATCATTCAAGTCAATCTAAGAAATGATGGTTGTTCTAAAGTTCTTTAAAATAGATGAAATTATGCTTGCGCTTGCACCAACCATGAGACCAGAAGTCTCACATATGAACAGGCTGTGATAACAATGCTATTAGTAATTGAAAATGTCAACATATCCTTGATATATTTCAATACTGTAACACAGAGGACTAAATAGTTCCCTTTCAATGATTGTAAATATTTTGTTCCTGTTTTCTCAAAGCAATTAAATATCAGCAGGCACAATGATATTGATCTCTTACTTGACTTCAGTCAGATTATTGTTGATTAAGTCTATTGCAGTTTTGAATTTGATTGAAAAATGAAGGAAAACTTTTCATTATGAAATATGTTCCCCTCATTTTTGACCATGTGTTTAAAAAAAAATTTTATATTAACAATTTTTGTAAAAGTTATATATTTTGTATAATGATCTAAAAATTTTGCTTAGCATTCCAAAAATGACTTTTCAATAAGTTTCAATGTATTCTTTTTAAGTACATGGAGAGCTGATTGTCTTTATTAAATTTTTGTATGAGATGATTTGTTAAAGTTTTTTTAATTTTTCTTGAGCAAAGAAAGAAAAGTCTGTCAAAGGACTTAGGGATACTGATACCATAAAACTGATTGCATATTTATTATTGTAATTAATGAAAAAAGTTTACAGAGAGAGTAAAAAAAGAAATCTTGTACCTAGATAAAATATTCAGATTTACATTAAAATAAACATCTTGTTACACAGATTCCACAATTCTAATAATTACTATAACACAAACACCTCACTGCACAGATACCATAACTTTAGCTATCTTCCCAATTTGAAAAAGAAAATCTATAAATCCATTCATGGTATGTATGTAAGCTAACAAATATGGTTGATCTATAGACACTGAGAATAAAAAAAAATTATTTACAAAATTGCACTGTTCGCCATGTACAATCATGACAATATTTATCATTGAGATTGTTATTACTAAAGGCAATAATGGTCATACTTCAGGGTAATATCAATAATGTTGACTGATCACAAGATAATAAATTAGCAAGTAGTATGGCATTACTCCTTACTTGTTAATGCTAAGAAACATTGGTAGTTATATGTTCCTTGTTAGTTGGTTAATGACGACAAATGCTAGTAAAATTTAAAGTAATTAAAAAAAAATAACACTTAGTGATACTAATAAATCGTTTACTTTATTCTTGATCCATCACTTCATTTTTTAAAATGAACTATAACATAAAAATCTTAAACATAAATGATAAAATCCAAATCTAGCATTTTATGCAAATAATAATTAAAAGATAAAATTATCTCATTAAAATTGTCCAAAGATCAATCTTTTAACAGACACTTGTATATATACACCTCAATGTTTCCCATAAAATATAATTTCAACACAATATTGTCAGTTGTATGATATCATGATCTATTTATAGTCTATTTCATAAAGTTATATAGTTTTTGAATATTTTCAGACTTTTTGCTCAAGTTTAATGATTATCTCCCCTTTGAATTAGCATTCTATGTCATGAAAGTGTTTTAATCAAACTTCATCTTGATCAAAGAAATGTATTTGTATGTATGATGTAGGTACAAATCCTTCTGCCTCATCTTTTTTTCTTACTCTAGTCCATCCATCTCCTTGATCCTGTTCTAACACACTCATTTCTTCATTCTCTTCCATTGTTACAGAACCTTCATTTTCAGCTACAAAAACACAAACTTGAATTAGTGTATAAAATAATCTGAGCATCTTGTTTACTCTTTATTCCAGACAGAAGCCTGATTTTAAAATCATTTTCAAACCATTGAATTGGACACACGTAGTTTCCATTCTACTGAAACCTGTTTTCCAGCTAACATTTTCTAAACTATGTCCAAACTCAAAATTGCATCTTCAGCATTTCTTTCTTCATGCTTTTACTAAGTAACAGTTTACTATATATATTTTACATATAAGTTAAAAAAAATTCGTAAGGGTTCCGCGGAACCCAGTGTCTCGCCTACTTTTTCTGTTAATTGCAGGCTCAACAAAAATGAGGAAGTAAATCAATAAAAATATTCCTCTTGATACTATCTTTTGATTGTAAGAACTTTCAGTCCAAGTTTGGTAAAAATCCAGGATAGTTTATGAATCTAATAAATGTTTAAAAACTTTATCTGCAGACTGAATGTAATGTTAACTTGAAGAAAACAAAATTTCCTTCTAGATACTAGCATTTGATCATAAACAAGCTTCTGTTAAAGTTTGATGCAAATCCAAAATAGTATAAGAAAGTTATTAAAATTTAAAAAACTTTAACCACAGAGTGAATGTGTTGTTTCCTGACAGGAAATCTAAGTCCATTTAAAAGTAAAATACGGAAAAAATGGATTTATTATTTTACAAAATATCCTTCTAGATACTAGCTTTTGATCATAAACAAGCTTCTGTCCAAGTTTGGTACAAATCCAAAATAGTATAAGAAAGTTATTAAAATTTTAAAAACTTTAACCACAGAGTGAATGTGTTGTTTCCTGGCAGAAAATCTAAGTCCATTTAAAAGTAAAATACGGAAAAAATGGATTTATTATTTTACAAAATTTCCTTCTGGATACTATCTTATGATCATAAACAAGCTTCTGTCCAAGTTTGGTAGAAACCCAGGATAGTTTAAGAAAGTTATTAAAATTTTAAAAACTTTAACCACAGAGTGAATGTAATATTTCCCGGCAGAAAAACTAAGTCCATTTATAAGTAAAATACGGAAAAAATGGAATTTTATTTTTACAAAATTTACTTCTGGATACTATCTTATGATCATAAACAAGCTTCTGTCCAAGTTTGGTAGAAATCCAAGGTAGTTTAAGAAAGTTATTAAAATTTCAAAAACTTTAACCACAGAGTGAATATTTGTGGACGCCGCCGACGACGACGACGACGACGACGCCGACGCCGACGGAATGTAGGATCGCTATGTCTCGCTTTTTCGACTAAAGTCGAAGGCTCGACAAAAAACCAGTTATATTGTTCTTCTGGTTTAAAGATCAATGAAACAAACCTTAACAACCAGGAAAAATAGCTGTGAAGTTTGATGTAACGTTTGATTATATTTTTTGAATTGACAGCGAAAAAAAATTAACTAAACTTGAATATGTGGATTATAGTTCACTTTCCTTTGTTTTTTATTTCTTCAAATGTAAGATCTCACACAAATCTGCTTCCATTTTTTCATCAAAAATCCAAATTCTTGCACTAAAATGTCCTTTTCCTTGAAAGTTTAACATTCAAGACTTGTGATTTAATTTTATGAACAGAGCTACTTTGATCATGTAAACAAAGCTTCTTCCAAAGGAGTCAATATATCATAATTTAACTTACCAGTAAATGAATACAGAGCTCTACATGTGCCTATGACAGGATACTGTTCTAAAACTTCTTCAGGATCTTCAAATTCATCAGGGCTGTGAAGTTCATCATCATCTGGTATTGAACTGGAAAAAAATGTATAGCATTAAAACAACCCAGAAGCTTTGATGTATCATAACACGTTATCTTACATTTTGTACAGAAATTTCAGATGAAATACTGTAAAATGGTATTTCCATGGACTTTAAATAAATTTTGATTTTCTATGGCAAAATCTATTTGCGTGATTTTATGTTCATATTTTTTTCCCCCTGATTTTTAAAGATCAAATTTATGAGTTGCCCTACATTTCTGTAATTTTATCTTACTCAGGAAATTAGCAAAATAAACCCCTCACAATAAATCTGACAACTCCAGACCTTTACAATAGAAGTTTTTTGACAAGTGACATTACCACCTACAACAAAAGACCACCTGGCTGTCTTAAGAGTGACAAAGCTAGTACATTTATGATAAAATTTGCTATATAAAATAATGATTTATTCATTTAAGGGAATTAAGCCAGTCATCAATTTTTATATTTAGACAATGAAATTATCCACAGTGCTTCATATTCTAAATGGTTAACAAAGTTTAAAGCTGGAATAAGAGAGAATTAAATTCAAATATTCATACGGGATTGTTCCATAATATGTTACTGTTCTTTTGTGGATCAAAACATTTGGGAACAGACAATTGCTATCACTTTTTTTCACCATAAAAAGAAGGGAAACTAAATTTAAAATAACATCAATCAATCAAACAAAGATGACATGTACTTTATATACCATTTTCTGTATTATGAAATGCCTGTATCAAGTCAGGAATATTACAGTTGTTTTCTCTCCATTTGTTTGATGTGTTTGAGCTTTTAATTTTGTCATTTGATAAAGGACTTTCCATTTTGAATTTTCCTTGGAGTTCGGTTTTTATGTTTATTTCACTTTTTATAGCTACCCATACACCAATCAATCAACTGTACAAAGTATCATCAGCAAGCCATACTCAAGATCAAGTGGTCAAAATTTACAACAGGACATTTGTGAAAATGAACCTGAGGTTCAACATAAGTTTTTGACCTTGATTGTAATGCTACACTTTCCAACCATATTTGACGAAATACATTCTTATGGAGGTTAACTTCAATCATACAAAGAGCTATAACTGAACTCCTAGCGCTACTTACGATTTTGAAGAGTCACAACTTATTTTATAAAAATACATTATTGTTATAGGGCTGCCATTGATCAGCTAAGCCCTGATTATGCCAAAGAAGACATTTCACATGAAATAGTGAAAGAAAATAATTGAAAAAAGGCAAGATGATTAATCTGGATGAATAATTTTTAGAGGATGAAAGTTTTTTCATATCAAATAGTGAAGACAAAATAATTCAAGACTGGCAAGATGTTGACTCTAGATTAATCATTTTTAGAAGATTGAAGTTTCAATTTCAATTTTTATAGAACTAAAGTTCTAGCCTTCGTATCATTCTGATAAAGCAAAAATAGGCAAAAGGAAACTAAGCATCTTCTTGTCAACTTAAGCAAATCATGTGAGTGATTATGACAAAAAGTAAAGCAATTCTGCTACAAGTATTTGAGTAAAGATATCTGAAAATAAAAAGTTTAAACTTCTTGTAAAAATATTTAAGTCACGACATGCATATCCTATATCCTTGTACCCACTGGGTTTTTTTTTAATTAGTATGGATGTATTAATATCTATCTGCTGTCTCTCACAAAGTTGGACTTAGACATGAATCCCAAATATTTTAAATAATTGACTTCTTAAACTTTTAGATTTTAAGATACTTGATGAAAGTTTTCCAGGAACGTGTCTTTTCTCAGTTTTTCAATTTCTGTGTAATTGGTTTATCAACCAATGTTTCCTTTTGTTCACATTTTGATATAACTAAATTTACTACCAAAAAGACATAAAAGCTCACAAGTGTCAACCCAAAGGGTACACTTTATCCTAATGACAGTGCTTTGATACTGGCATGATTTTAATGTAACATTTTGATTGTAAATTTACAATATATAAATAAATATGTTTGTATGAAAGTAACAACTCTCAAAGAAAAGGTTCACTTTAGACAGTGTTGGCTATTCTGTTTAGGATCTTACCTGTTTTAATGCCACAATATTTCATTCAAATAAAAATAAAAATAACAAAAATCAAGTCGGAACCATTTAAAAAAAAATTCCAACAGCTTATATGCAGCAATTTGATGTCTCCTTTGTTTATATTAGTATAAGCATTAGATATAGCTATAGGTAAAATAGTTTCAAATAAAGGCTTTTAGTGATTATGATTATCTCCATGCAAGACCCCTTTAAGGTATTCATAGACAATAATAGACAATAATGGCCTACCTTTTTTTCTTAGGGCTGTTAGGGCTGTTAGGGCTGTTATAAAATGATTTCCATGAGTCATATTATTCAAACGAAATATTAACTATCAAATAACTATTTATGATACACCCATTAAGAATTTGCAAAATTATGATTTGATTCACTCCCAGGTTGTTCAATATGTTTCTGCATTCCATTGCTCTTGTCCTTTTCTGAATTGATTTATGTATACTTTCAACTAAACTGACCTGTACTAACATTATTTTTTTCTTGAATTTCCTCCGCATGAAATACAAAATTCATTAATGTTTTGAAATGAAGGGAACCTTTTGAGATTTAAGGAGACTAGAGGAAGGTATATCCAGGAATTGAGATGACTCATCAATTTTTCAAAGCCAATGAAACATGAGGGTGCTACAAATAGTCCAAGTAAAAGAGGAAAACTTTGTATTATCTATAAACTGCATGTTCAATCTTTTCCAGGCTAACTACATTTATGTACTTAAATATTAAGCCTGTTTTAAGCTAAAGTCTGGCAAACTTCGGTTATGAAAGTATATATATATCCTAGAAAACCGAATGTTTAGGACATAGCTAATGTTTACATTTTCTGAATAGAAAAATAAGAATATGTGGCATGATTACCAATGAGACAACTCATCACCAGAGACAAAATGACATAGAAGTTAACAACAAGTAAAACTGTGAGCTATTGCTCACTGATGATACCCCCGCCGTAATATTTTGGCAAACAGGAAGTTGTTTAGTGATGAATCTGAAAACGCATCACACAGTAAAGCTGACTTATATAAACCCTGAAACCAAATTTCAGAAATCCTTGTCAAGTAGTTCCTTAGAAAAATTTGACGAAAATATTCATGGGACGGACGGATGGACTGAAGGACTGACGGATGGACAGACAGAGGTAAAACAGTATACCCCCCCTTTTTTAAAGCAGGGGTATAACTATAGGTCATGGTACGGTCTACAACAATGAGCAAAACCCATACCCCAGAGTCATCTATAAAAAGCCCTGAAGTGAAAAATTAAAAAAAAAATTCAAACAAGAAAACTAAAGGCCTAATTTAAGTACAAAACCATGAACAAAAAACAAATGATATATAACAACAAATGACAACCACCAAACTACAGGCTCCTGACTCGGAATAGGCACACAGATAGTGGCAGGGTTTAACATGTTTGAAGGCACCAACCCTCCCCCTAACCTGGGAAAGTGGTGGTTAAAGCCCTTTCTTAGATGTGATCAGTTTTGGTATTATACAAATTTTCCATTTTTATTAAATGTAGCCAAATATGTGGCAAAATAATTCAGTAGCCAAATATGTGGCATATATTCTTTTGCCAAATATGTGGCAAAATATTCTTTCTCTAATTTACAACTACAAATGTTTATATTATTATTAGCTCAAATCATTAAAGAACATCATCCATCCCTTTAAACCATTAACTCTAATAATCAACCACTCTCAACAGTTAAAATGGGTTTAGTGGTATTACCAATAAATTACTTCTGCTGATTTTGACCTAGAACAAGAAATAAAGGTCATTTTCATTGAGTGCAATAATACCCATTTATTTTTATTCAAACCCTGTACAAAAGATAGAAATGACTTACAAACCTCATTATTTCTAAAAAGTTTTTAAAATATTTCAGAAGTCTCCATTTTTAATTTTGACAATTTTGCTATGTTGAGTAACGATATCATTATCCACACAGTTTTTTTGGTAGACTTTAAACGTTTGTATGCAGAAAATTTGAAAACCAATTTGTGATACTGCAGACCTTCCAACTTTCCTGCTTTATGGGTGATCTAACTCTTATAAAACTAAATTATTTCCCCTAAATACTTTTAAAAAGGCATTCAGATGACCTAAAAAAAACATTTAAACACATGTATAAGCATTCAAAACCATAGATGTTCTATTCAAGTACACTAATGACATGTATAGGTATGCAAAGGGTCCTCTTGTACTTAAAATCCCCCATGAAGGCTTTGAAAAGTTGGCAGGTATAATACTGTTTTGAGTGCAATTGTGTAAAGCACTGGTGTTTCTGTTTGCAAGCAAATGGAAAGTAGAAGAGACAAATTAAGGTCAAATATATCCTTCCATCTATTTATAAGTTCTAGCAAATTTCACTTCAACATGATTGGATGGTTCAATTTCTAGCAATGAAACAGAGCTGAAAGGTGTGAAAGGCACAGAAATGGGTTAGGTGGTATTACCAATAAATTACTTCATCTGATCTCGTCCTAGAACAAGAAATAATAATTACAAATGTTTAGTTCATTTTCATTTTGTGCAATAATACTCCCTTAATTTGTTATTCAAACCTTGTAAATAAGATAGAAATGGGTTACAAACCTCAGTTTTTCTACAACATTTATCTTGATATATTTTAGAACTTTTATATTAAACTGTTGTGCAGCAATCATCAAGCTACCAGTTGCCATTGGAAAAGTTTTTTACATTTGGAGATTAATCTATCCTTAACAAGAAATCTTTCTTAATTTTGTTTTTTCCACGATAACAATTTGTTCACAAAAATTCTAAATGCTATCCAATAAACAGTGTAACCAGCTGAGAGCCTGTATCACCTTCTTACATCTTTGCAAAACACTAATCGATACAAACTTTTTTTAGCAAGCTAATTTTTTTGTCATTTTTTTTTTTATCTATTTTAGTAATGGTGACTGCCAGTTTCATAATGGCAACTAATCGGTTTTTATATCCAATGGGTTCTGGGAGTATATAAAAAAGGAAAAAGTAATTACTCCTACACTGTTAGAAGCAGACACTTTTAACCAGATAAACTTGCTAAAACTAATGTAATCTACTTCTATAATTATACAACAAAATAACAAATTCTTCTCAATTTAAAAAAAGTACATTGTTAATATCAGGGTTCTCACTAAGGCGAGTCCATGAGTCCTGGACTCATGAAAATATGTCTGGACTCACCATTATCAAAACTGGTGAGTCCAAAGATGCATCAAGATTGAAATATTTTGTATAAACTGAACACACATATCATCATTTTATAGAAAAAGTTTAAAAGTAATCTGAATTAAATGTCATTTGATTGCTCTATTAGGTCATGGAGACTAAAATGATAAATTATATTGCAATAAAATATCTTCTCTTACTGTTGGACTCACCATGGCCAAAAATGACGAGTCCCTGGAATCGCCTTCAAAAATCCTTAGTGAAAACCCTGTGTTATACACTGTAGAAAAAGTGCAGGAAATAACATATCACACTTTTCATGGTGTGAGATAAATCCTTTAAATAGGGTAAAATATAATCCCGCTGCAAATGTTTGCACCTGTCCTAAGTCAGGAATCTGATTACAGTAGTTGTTGTCTGTTTATGTAGTTCATACGTGTTTCTCGTTTTTATATGGATTAGACCGTTGGTTTTTCCGTTTGAATGGTTTTACACTAGTAATTTTTTGGGGCCCTTTATAGCTTGCTGGTCGGTGTGAGCCAATGCTCCGTGTTGAAGGCCGTACCTTGACCTATAATGGTGGTCGGTGTGAGCCAATGCTCCGTGTTGAAGGCCGTACCTTGACCTATAATGGTTTACTTTTACAAATTGTAACTTGGATGGAGAGTTGTCTCATTGGCACTCATACCACATCTTCCTATATCTATGAAATTGAACATTGGAGGTTTTGTAAAATATTAAGTTGGTTTTTTTTTAGTTTTTTTTTCTTATCTATTAGTTTATGCAATCAATTTTGATTCAATTATCACTATTTGAATATATAATTCAACTACAAATATTGTAAAACTATTCAATATTCTTATCTTTCTATATATGTTTTTTATTTTAAAATAAGACATATTAAAAACTAGAATTGGTTGATCACAGATACCCAATAATACAGTATAAAAAAATATGCTCATGCTCCGGTCTTTCATAGCCAACTATACAGTATGGGTTTTTCTCATTGTTGAAGGCAGTGCAGTTGCATACAATTGCTTACATTCACTTCATTTGAACTTTGGTGGATAGTTGTCTCATTGGCAATCATATGACATCTCCTTATTTTTATAATAAACAAGTTTTATATATTAGATACAGATATAGTTATTTTGTTGTACAACAATGCCCCTTAACCTTTCTAAACATAAAATAACAAAACATACATACATAAAATAACAAAACATACATACATAAAATACATATAATTAATTACATTAATAATGAATATTCTCCATTACTGCTTTGTTATATTTGGAAAAAAGGTCAATTTTGTACTTCAATTTTCTTTGATTAAATGGTTTCTGCATGTAACCCTATCGTTTACCTGTCTTTTTCCAATATGTGGTTCATTTGCTCAGGTTTTGAGGCAAAATCAGCTCACAAATATAAGCAAGTAAAATATTTAAGTTTTGTACCCGTATGTTTTGCAAATTAATATTTTGTGCAGGAAACAGAAAACAAGGAAACATGGTGAGTTTGATTATATTCAACTTGGTTTGTTTTTTAAGTACACAAAGCCACACAATAGTAAGTTATGGTAAGGAAAATCCAGCAATGTATGTCAACTTAAATGGAAGGTAAAATAATTAAAGTATAAAAACATGTCAGGTAGTTTTTACTGCACTAGTAAAAAGAAAAGGAAGAAGGCCTGCATCATCCTTTTTTTTTTAAATTGGTCGGATTAGCTGTTATTTTTTTTAACGCCTTAAAAACATTCAATCAGTGAATATCCTCTACAGTAACAATTTTTTTTTTCTTTCTTATTTTAATTTTTTCTCTCAATGGTACATGTAAACAAAACATTTTAATCCTGCAATTTAATCATCATATGTAGATAAACCACTCAGTTTTCCTTTTTTATTCCTTAAAATAATTTATGTGTTCTTATACACAATCCATTTCCTAAATAAATGCGAAGTAATTGAAATGACCCATTGCTGAATTTTTAAACATTTTCTTAATTCTACAAGATGCTACGGACAGAAAACTACACTTCTACTTTTACAAAGGTCAAACCTGCTATATGGTGGAGGCCAATTATTAGAACTGTTACTACTATAACCCCTGAAATATTTCATTACAGAAAACACAAACTAAAACCCGCAGCTAATAATAAACATAATAAGACACACAACACAAAATCAATGTTTTGATGAAAAAGAGAAGAGAAAAATGCTTTAACGTAAAATGTGACAGCAAATAAAATAAGCTGAACTAAATTCAGAAACTGGGATTTTATTTTTTTCTCTTATTCAAGTTTTATTTTCTCTTTTTAAAGTTTTCTTATATTTGCATTGTAAATTACGATTGAAATCAAATGTGTTAGAATCTACTTGTGAAAGTCATTAACATGACCCATTTCAATAAATGTATAACTACTGTTCATACAGCAAAAAGATTAAAATTAGGTAAAAAAAAATCTGTGTAACAAAGTTCCATAAAAATTCTAACTGTTAATCTCTGTTCCTGTACAGTTATTATGTTCCTGTACAGTTATTAAATAAAAAAAGTAAAATAAATGATTTGATGAATTGACATGATTTCTACATCACATTAAATATCTATTCTTAGTAACTAACCATGCTCATGCTTGTTTAAAAAATTTCTGAAATGACACTGATTTTTTTATTTCAACATTATATCACACAATGACCAGTATTTTTCGTAACGAATGGCAAGCAAATGAGAAATTCAAATTCAGTATAAGAGGGCAAAAAATACATGGTTTCGTATAATAAATATATTGTGTGATAGATACATACGTATAGACATCGTTATTAGGCTGTTGTATACTGGGAGGTGGAGGAATTATGTTTGGATCTCGATTGACACTACCATCAGAAGTGCTTCGGGACAGAGAATCATCTGACACAGCTAAATTTGTTGTACTCTTCTTTCCTTCAGCATCACTTAAATAATTCTGGAATAGATAATGCACAAGTAAAATTATTTTGGATGGCGAGAATTGACTTTAAAATGCCCATTATATATTTATCAAAGATGTAAACTATTTTAAGAACATCTCTGTAGTTTTTATGAGTTGAAACGATCACTACAGACTTAAAAAAGATCTGATAATAAATGAAAGTGCTATTCCACCAACAAAATTTAATATGGAATATTTTAACAAATTCCCCTCCAGGTAAAATGGTTCCCCATAACAGAATTTTTTTGTTATCAAACTCATTGGAGGTTTCTATAAATGGAAATGACTCTACAAATTGAAGCAGACCTGATAAAAATGAAGGCTCTTTTCCCATAAAAGAACTAAAATAAAAAAAAAAAAAAAAAATCCCTGCTTACACAGTTCCCCATTTCAGATTTTAATGATTATCAAACTCATCTGTGGAAATCTTCAATCAAATTTGAAAAGGATCCAACAAAAAAATAAAAGTGCTAGCATGGAGGCAACAAAATGATCATTGATGATGGATGGGACAAAAAACTTGCACCCTCTACAACTCAATTGCATGGGGTAAAAAGCTATACATAATCTGTTTGGAAAATTTTATCATATTGTTATTCATACCTGAAACTTTGACAATTCTTTTCGACAACTATCTAGTTTTTCGCCATTTTCCTCAATTTTTTTATCTAAACTATTTGGATCTCCTAATGCTGGATTCTGTACATAAACATCTTTCATCTTTAACATGCCTTCCCTGAAAGTTTAAATAACAAATATTCCTCTGAAACATCATTTTTACTTGTGTTGCTAACAAAAGAGTTTCTTCAATATGATTGGAAAAACCATTGTTACAAAGCTAAATAAGAAAATGCAAATCCTACAACCTTATCCTTCACACATTATTTTACTTGGGTTCTACAATTTTTGGAGAGGCTATTTTTCCATGAAGTTTCTTTGTTCTCTCCGAAAGCTTTTGTTTTCTCCACCAATAAAAACTGCCCTCCATTACATAGCCAAGAATGCTGAAAGTGATGTTAAACACCAGCATCAATCAATTGATTGTTACTTTCAACAATTCACAGAGCATTTCAATTTTATCAATTTTTTCTTTCTTATCTATTATTATTTTTATCTGACAGCTAATAAAGCATAAGATTGAGGAAAACAAGAATGTGTCCATAGTACACAGATGCCCCACTCGCACTATCATTTTCTATGTTCAATGGACCGTGAAATTGGGGTCAAAACTCTAATTTGGCATTAAAATTAGAAAGATCATATCATAGGGAAAACGTGTACCAAGTTTCAAGTTGATTGAACTTAACTTCATCAAAAACTACCTTGACCAAAAACTTTAACCTGAAGCGGGACAGATGGATGGACGAACAAACGAACACATAGACCAAAAACATAATGCCCCTTAGTGGGGCATAAAAATCAGATCCAGCTACGTCCCAGTCACTTTTGAGTCCTGCAAAATTACAATGGCAACAAACAATGATGAAAGTTGTATACATATATTTTGTAATATTTCGTGATCAGTAAATGAGTGTACTGTGTATTGGAAAAGAATTTGCACACCCTAGAAAAAACTATATTTGGTATAATTGTTTAATTGTATAATAAGGCTTCCCTTAAAATATTTTGTTGTTTTTTTTTTTTGGCTGTGCAACATGTTTCCACACAGGAAATCTGATGGAAAACTGCATACATTCAGGATCTTACTTCAATTTATAAAATAGGTGCATATCATGATGTTAAAGTGATGTCATAACATCGAAAATCTAGTCAAACTCATCTACATTTCATTATTTTATGCATTTCCAATTTTCCATACAAAATGTTCAAATATGAAGCAGTTCTCTCAGAAACTTACACTTTCTTGGGGTAAAAACAAGGCTTCCTCGTTTTCTTGCAATGTAATATCCCTAATGTAATTTCATGATCCATATTTATGATGTTCTTCACACTAATGGTCATGTTGTCTATAAAATGTTAGCTGCAAATTTGCTGACACTGAATAACATTTATTCTGGTCTAACAATCATATGTTATTGGCATGCTATCTCATTGACATATACCTTACATTTTCCTTCATTCATATACATAGTAAAATTCACAAAAACATGCAACAAAAAGATGTAGTTTTTAGCACTTGGAAAATATAGTATGTCAAATACTGCAGGTATAATCCCTGTATACTGTGCATTCATTATTATTCGTGGGATACCAATTTTCATGATTTTGTGGGTTCAGATTAACCACAAATTTAAATGTAAGACGAAATACAAATTCTCTTTAGGCTTATATGACGAATTTGGCAAAACCACGAAATCAAATATCCATGAAAATGTAAATTCTACTTAATCGACAAAAATTGGTACCCATGAAAATAAATGAATCCACAGTATACTTTATAATAGAATTTCCTTCAATACCTCTCTGCTGTTTCCCTTGTTATTTCTTTTTTTATTGAATCTATCTTTTTCAGTAACTGTTTCTTCCTCTGACTGGGAGGTAAATCACTAAAATCTTCTTTAGGATCATCACTCTGTTAAAAGTAAAAACACACATACATAACAATGGATCTTTTCATTATTATATGGTTATGGACAGGTATTAAGTTACTTTTTCTAAAAAGGGCCCTTTCCATTTAAACAAACATGGCTACCAGGGAAGGCACTTTGATAAAGGGTTACCAAATCCAGAGGCAATTTTGAGATTTTGAAGTGCCTACCCTGCAGCTGGGTCCAATGAACATTTTTCAGGAGCAGTCCTTAAGTATATCAGGGCAACTATTGAATGTGTACAAGATTTTGTTTTCAAAGAGTTTATAATATAATTTGGTGCTGTTAAAAGATAAGGAACTACGTCTTCACTTCACAATGTAGTGAATTACAAATTTTTGGGAGTTTTTATTTTTGACGAAATAATAAAAATTTATCTCCTAATAAATATTTCCCTTTAAAAGAAAAACTTTTGGGTTTCCATGCAAAATGAATATGCCTTTACGGTTTATAGCTTGTCTTTAAAGAAATCTACAACTTAAATAATTTAATAAATTTGATATCTTTTTGTAAACATTTTATGCCGTATAATTTTGAGTGCAGCTTAACATTAAGCAATTGATTTTTTTAATAGCTTTATAGCGTGACAGAAGTTATAAATTGCTTCGTTAATAAATACTTCATCAATGTTTATTTGCTACTGAATCCACATAGAGAACTTTTTTCTAGATTAACTCATTTTGTGACACAGTTAAACCCCAGTAAGTTCACTGAGAAAGGCAACTGAATTCCTTTCACACTCTCAAAGTTGGAAAAAACACTTTTATATGTGTTTTGTAAAAAGAATTATATTTCGCGATAATTCCTACAACTGTATTAAATCATGGAACAATGTTTCCTCTTCTCTTCACAATAAAATTAAACTGCATTTGATGCAAGGAAATATATTTCATGCAATGATATGGATATATAACAAACCTATCTCTACAAACATAATATATATATAGTTGCAAAACATGCAAGTATACCTGTGTAATTCAAATCAATTCAGCTTATTTTTTCTCTTTTACTTACACTGTATGACACTTGTTTTTTTTTTCTTTGAGAAATATTCAAAGACACAATAAAGCAGGAATTGAGACAAGAAGCCAAACCTGGGAGGCAAACTTAATACAAGTTGGATAAACAAAAGAAACCATATCACTGAATACTTCATTTTTTAGGTAAAAACAATACCCGTTTTGATGGTATGAAATACATGAATGAAAAGTTTAAACTAAGGATAAATATACAACATAAATCAGGGGACATAACTCAGACAGGGGAGAGAACTCAGACCATGCTACAGATCATGCCAATACATACCAGCAATCCAATAATCTGTGATATGCATGGAAACAAATCAACAGATAGCTTATATTTACAGATATATAATGATATGATAAAAGATGCATAGTGATTCTAATGAAATGATGATTCAAGCTTTTTAATGAGATATATGAAATTGAATTCAAAGACTTTCAGATTGGAAAATATGTTCTTGCATTCTCAAATAGAAGATCCAGAAATATATATGTTTGTAAAATTCTAAAGTATTTGACATCTCTTTATCATACTTAAAAGTAAGAAAACTTAAAACAACAACGAATCATTCAAAAGAAAAACAGATATACAAGAAAATTACAAAAGAAATACATGTACTTGGAAACACCTAAAAAATCAAACTTCAAGACAGTTAGGATATTTGCAACAAAATAGACAGAAAAGAAGAAAAACATTCACATCCCATTTTTCTAACACATTTTCTTTTTTATTCCCCATTTCTATGTGTATCATAAACCATTACCAATTAAAATTGTGTTAACCGTCTACAAATATATACTACTCTAAGACTCTTAACCAAACCAAAAACTTACAAATAAAAATGTTCCAACATTTTGCTCATTCAAAAATACAAGAGAATACAAATATACCACTCATTTTTCAAAATTATAAATTATGAAATATTCTGCAAATTGTTTTGCCTTGTTTTATTTGTGTCTTTAAATCATTGCCTAAAATTCTGCAGTTGAAAAACTCACCTTTTAATGCTTTTTAATTTCATAAAGTGAAAATACAGGTTGCATATTGCAATAAGCATGAATAAAAACTAAAATGTTAATATAGATAATACTTGGCTAAAAAGTTGAATTAATTCTATAGTTATTTGCTAAATTTTAACTTGTAAAATTTCATATAAACAGTCCGAGCTAAAACATATTTTTGACCACGCCACAGAACAAAGCAATGATTTCTTGACAAAGTTAGTAAAGAACAGATAACGTCAAAACTTTACTAGTTTTGAGTTATAAATCATTCTTCTTTTTCTATAATCAAAGTTTTTTCATAAAATTTGTGCAGAGCAAAATGTTGTTGAGTGTTAAGAATGAAGCTTATGATAGTTAGTCTGACAATTAAGATGAAAGGGTACCAAGACATATACCCTGCCATTGTAATATCACTTACTCGTGTTACATTCGTCTGAAATACACCAGAATACATAATGCTACTAATAAAGCAATTAATTAATACCTTAATACCTGTAACCAAGGCGTTAAAAAGGTAAAAAAATATTAGTTTAATAAGCATACAAAATTTATTTTAATTTTTGTTCGAAATATTAGTTTTACGGTAAGCCTACAAAAAGTTGTTTAATTCTATCGGGTAAAATGTTGATCTATTGCTATAATTAAAGACTTATTATTTGACTAAAATCCCAACCACCAAGACCATGTAAAATTAGCACTTCTCACTTTTCTATTTTCTAGATTCATCTATGCTACTGGTAGCAAGGATCAAAATTGGTCTATTCCAAACAATGGAAGCACTTTATCCACATACATTATTTAAAAATTATTTGATTCTAATAGAAAAAAACAAAACTTGTAACATTAGAAGTGGACCCTTTACAAAAAGAGTAGCCATTTTGTTTTTCTGAAACAAACAGTTCTAAAATAGCCAACTGTTTCAATTTTTTTTAAAAGTGTGAAAATACAAGACTTTTTTTTGAAAATTTTATTGAATTTAATGGCAAGCAACTTTCAAAGAAATGTCCATTTTGATCTCCAGAGTCATTCAAAATGCAACTGACATTGCAAATTCTATTGTGATGTTGAGCACATGTACCCAATGTTTTGGGGAATGAGAACATGGCTTTGCATACAATGCGAAAGAAGAGTGTTATATTAGAATTGAAATCCAAATGCTGCTGACCATTAGCGATTAAATATGTAGAAGAGTTGAGATCTTCTGTAAGAGTATCATGCAAATGTCAAAGCTTATTAATGAACTGATCAATTAATTAGTTTATGTGTTTAAGCACTTAAGAAAATGTGATCTAAAATGGAAGATTTCAGATAAAAATAAAAACTAGAGATAGAAGAGGGGAAAAGGGGGTTGCTGAAAAAAAACTGAAATGAAGATAAAATAATAAAGTGAGAAAAATACTCAGGGGAAATGGGAAGTGGAGAGAGAAAGATATTAAATAAATAATGAAATATAAATCTATTTTCAAAGGGGTGAAATGTACTCTCACAGCCTTGCTTATAGGTAAAACAAATTGTTACAGTCAGTTATTAGAGAACTATGATTTCTAGGCTAAAAAGTTTATGTCTTAACTCAGGGATAAATCAATTTAAGTTCTCTTCAGTATTGTATCTACTTTAATAAGATGATCTAAAATGGCAATCATTCACCAGTAAATGCCAGACAATATGATATGAAAAAGCTTAGAATTCATTCTTATTCACATGAATCTTCATTATTTTTACAAAACATTGTCATACCTGATCAAATAACCTTTAATCTTAATTATTCTATTAGTTAGTAATAAATACAAGAAAAAAAACATGTCTGTTCAGAGTCCTGTTCCCATATTAGATTTAAAAATTAATGTAAATTATTTGATTTTGTTATGTTATGGATCATTATTTTTTTTAAGTTGTACATTAAAGTACATGTTTATTAAAATGATAAAATTACAGTTTAAAGTTTTTGATGCTAAATGTAAATGACATATATATGTATTACCTGATATATTTTATATGATTTATGCTAAAATAAATGGTATATCTAAGTATTATTTATTATAACCTGCTGACCAACACTGTAAATTCTCAATGGGAAATCCTGAACCAGATGCATACTATCTTTGAAAATATTTTTTGAACACAGACCAAAAATTGCAAAAAAATTTCCATCCTATAAAATGCCTTGGACTATTTTCCTTTTACGTTTAATGTAAGAGTACTGCATCCTGTAGCGTTATCTAAGTATGGATGTTGTATTCAAATCATTAATTTCAAAAGTTAAAAAAAAAACTTGCATATAAGCCATAGCAAAGCAAAGAGATCAATGCAGGTTATCTTTGATAAATTATTTTAGTATAGAATGTAAATATAAGATATGTCTTAAAATGAACAGAAAGTAAACGATGACATAATTCAATGGGATGAATGGTAAATAGAAACATTATATAGAAGTTATGATACCCTACAACTAAGCAGAAAATAACTTTTTAAGTTCCAGCAAGCAATATACAATTACATGACATTCACAGGAGTACAGTACAGTTCTGATGGAATTTACACTTTCCCCGGATGTTAATGAAATTGACAACTTTGTGGAAAGTTGAAGGCACTCGAAAGGGATTTTCGTTTATCAAAAATGAAAATTTATTTGATAATCATTAGAGAACCAGATTCTTACATTGGTACCAGTGGATTAATGGATTAAATATAGATTCTTACATTTGGATTATCGGATTTATCCAATCTTGATAGTTAAATTACCAAATTTAAAGTCCTTGCCAAGGCTTGACAAGGCTCGGACTTTATAATTTAATTATTTAACTATCTTGATTGGATAAATCTGATAATCGGAATGTAAGAATCTATATTTAACTATTTTGCACAAAAAAACTATTTTTAATATATGAATAAAATTGAACTTTTTGGGAAGAGGGGTTATATCTTTTAATCAGGTCCTGTAAACAAATTATTTGGGATTAAATCACCAGTGCATGATCAATGTGACTTTATGGGGAAGTGTAATATCCATATGACTTGCTTGTACTCTATATACACCAACATCTATTACATGGCAATTATGCAACATATATGGAACTAACAGGTTATTGTTCTTAAATTATCTCAATAGGAACAAAATAACTATAAATCATTCTAAAAACTTATTCAGTATTAAAAAACATCAGAATTTATCTCTATAAGAAAAAGTATTTACAACCAAATCATTCGAGTGTGTATAATATACTGAATTAAGGTTGTTTATTTGTTAAGTGAACCATGACTTCTTAATTAGCACTGATAAAATAGTTAGTCACATTAGTTCTTTTATATGTGATTTGATTTAATAGCTATTATGGACAATTGTTTCCCAGTAATGTACAAAACTGATTTAATAGATTGTCCAACTAAATCACAGCCAACTGTTGTCCACTTAAAAAACAAGCAAACTATTTATTCTAAACACACTCGTGTAATTCAACTGAATAGATCCTAAATTCAGTATTTTAACCCGAGTTTTTATTATTTTTTGTGGTAAATTGTCAATTACATTGCATATGTTGTGTACAAATTGTAATGTTGTACAAATTATAATTTTCAAAGAATTTTTGTACAAGTTATCAGCGTTTTATGAACCACTTAACACAAATGGATGATACCAGCACACAGTCTTTTGTTTCGCATATTTCTGTCATATTTCCATGACTACATGATACAGTCCAATTTCATTAGAACACAAAATGACTTTTTATGATTTTGGTATAAGGAGAAATATAAAAATAGAATTTAAACCATTCAGGAGTCCTTATTTCCAGTTTTAGGACAACGAGAATAGCTCTAAATGTTAGGTTGAAGTATATAAATTTGAATTTTAGACATTAAGCTGATAAATTTCAGAAGATAAACTTTAACTACCTTGTGCAAAAAGGTATGTGTCAAAAAACATATAACTTGTACAAAATCCCTGTACAAATTGCATCTTGTACACAACACATATAAACCATACAATGTTGAGGATGAAAATGAAAGTAATATTTCTCTAAAGAAATTCTGAATTATAACTAATTTATCCCATAGTTATGTACATGATGTATGTGAGGCTGAGCATTTAAAAAAAAAAATGTAATTTCAATGTGCTGATTCTCACCTTTGAAGAGCTAAATAATCCTAATAAACCACTTCTTTTCTTTGATTTTCCTCCACTTATTGTTGCCTTCACACTACCTTTTTCGACATTTAAATTTTTGGGCGTCGTTAATGTATTCCCATTACGTCCATCTTGTATTTGTGAATTACTTAAGTCATCAAATGCAATGTCCGAAGGAATTGGATAACCAGACTTATATTTATTAACAACAGATATTGAATCCTAAAAACAATAATGAATGTGACATTAAACTGTATGATATAGATAATATTGTATTCTTACACTGAATTCATATTAGTCTTTAAAATATAATTTTAGTCATACAATACTTATGTGTTAGCTAGAAACACTATCTGCTTCCTTCATACCCTATATGAGAAGTGAAATCAATATGTAATATAGTCATTGTAATTATAGAAAGGTGCAGAAGGGCTGAATCATTTTTCCATTATTCAATCAATGAAATTATAATGATGCTCTTTTCATTAGTTTTTTTCATATAAATGATCCAATATTTTACTAAAACTCTTTTTTTAAACTGACAAGCAACTGCGTATCTATGGCACATTGTATAACTCATGTCCATCCAGTCAACATTCTTTAAATCAATTCCGATTTTTTCAGTGTTTTGTAGATTTCTTTTTAATACGTGTATAATGGTGAAACACAATCAAGTTTGAGTAAGTGTCATACAAACATCTTGTTTTGTTGGTTTTTTTTATTTGCATTAAAGTGTATTGATTTCATGATAGTTTTACATTTGAATTTTTCATGATAGCATTATCACTTCAAAAATTTCAAAACTAAAACGGAAGGAAAGATTTTACACAAACAAATGTACATACAGTCCATTATCATTCCGTGGATACCAATTTTTCTGGAATTCATGGGTACAGGAGAACCAGGAATTCAAAAGTCCAAAAATTACAAATTTGCTGAGCAGACTTTGGTCAAAACCATGAATCAAATATCCATGAAAATGCAACTTTTCCTAAATCCACGACAATTGATACCCATGAAAATAAACAAATCCACAGCAATGTATTTGAATTACATACCTCCATAGCGTTTATAGAATCTGATGCCTTGACCATTCCATCTATACATGTATTTATTATAGGAATGATATTCCTTTCAATGTCAGCACTTTGTTTTATATAACTTTTTATTTTATCTATTCTGTTTTCATCTATATTCTGTAGTCTCTATCATAAAAGAAAAAAGATAATTAGTCAACTTGTTTTCATCTATATTCTGTAGTCTTTATTATAAAAGAATAAGGATAATTAATCATTCTCAGAGATTTAAAATTCGACAAAGAACTACCAACATTTCCCTTACATTGCTTTAACAGCAGCGTTCTGAGGCTGGTAAGCTGTATTTTCCATAACACATCACAATAGATATCAAGATAATTTTATTGTGCAGAGTTCTACTACCGTGGATATCATATTTCTATAGCTTCTGCAAGTCCAATTGAAAATGTAGGTCTTGATTTGTGTAGGTGACTTGTAAAGGACCCAAAATCAATAAGTTTTTTTTCTTGTTTCAAAATTCAAATATGGAACACCTATTATATTATTGTAGTATTATCTTAATGATTGTGGAAGTAAAATGTCTACCATGTAGTTAAGAAAGATAATAAAGAAACTGAAGAAGGCCAGTAACCGAAATGTCTTAAAAAATGGTTTAATTAATACAATAAGTTCTTTGTTTAAATTCTGATATATTTTTCATTGAATTTTCCTGATCAGAACATCTTGTTTTTTTTGGCATATTACCAAACTATAAAACTGGTCATATCCTTGAATATGCTTGAGAGTGGGCGAAGAAGCATTGTGGCATATCAAAATTATTTCACACACTTCTTATATGCCAAATTATCTCATACGACTTAGTTATAACCTTTACTTAAACTTTTTTTATATGTTAAAGTACTGTGAATTCAGAACTTTATTTACTTTATATGAAAAATGAGACAAAATCAAACATTGCAGCAATAACTACTCTCATTTTTATTACGACTTTAAACAGCAAAATGTACAGAAACTGCATGAGCAGTAGACTGGCACATATAAATACCTGCATTAACTTAAGCACATGAGGTATACGCTGACAGATTTGATATATTATCAGAAATACATTTTGTATTACCTGAAACACTTGTGGCATGTGGTTATGATAGTGTTCATTTTGATGTTGATTCGTTTGCTGTAGTTGAGAAGCATATTCATTTTTACAATCGTCACTCTGTTGACTTTTCAACATCATGTTATTCCGATGCTACAAACAGAAAAAACGAATTTACTAAACATCGACAAAGAATCTTGTTAGTCATGAAAGAAATCACTGGGCTTATGGAGTATTTAATTTTCATTTTGCTTCTGTTAGATGTGTGTATTAAAATCTTTTCCAATATACTGTATTTTTCAATGTGACAGTTTTTACCTTGACTATTCATATCAACAAACTGAAATCACTAATGTAACCTTTTCCTTTATGTCAATAGGAATTCCCACCATCAAAGAAATCTTGAATTTATTATTAGTACCTATTGTTCTTATATATGACACAAAAATTGTCAAATATTCTGAATAACAATACCATCAATTCCTATTAAATGAGAACATAAATCTATTTTTGTTTGAATAAAGGTAAAAACTTTGTTAAAGGGAATTATGCAGAAAAACTAGTTTCTTTTTGTTCTGTATTGTTTTGTTTTATATCCATTTTCTTTGTTTGGATTTCTTGTTTTTTCTTGTAACAGCTTTTCTTATCCTGTCTCACTAATCCAACATGTACATAACTTTGATCACAAACAAAACAACTGGTACTTCTTACAACATTATTTACTATTGGGGACCTAATAATAAATTAATCACCTTTATGATTTGATTAATCTTTGGAGTTTGGCAAGGAAGAGATTTAGGTTTAGGTCAGCTTAACTTTAAGCACTACAGTTCATATTAAGTGATGTGATATATGAGTCCTCTTTTGTAACATATATGCTGGATCATATTTTTAATGTGTTATTTCACAAAACAATAGTCAACGAGAGGACATGTTGGCCCATCCAGTTACAATAACATTATTACGACTCAGAGTTGACCAGTCTTTGCTCTCAATTCTTAATGTAGCTTGCATAGCAGAAATGTAGCAATTCTTATTTTCATTGCTTTGAACCCTAATGAAACCTTTGACCTCCTATGCTCTAGGCAAGCAGGATAATATGATGCCCACAGATAGAGGAAGTTATGTATGGTCAGGGTCCCATAAAATTAAAAGAAGGCTTACATTCTACAAAATTGAACAATACTCAATAGTAACCAATTCTAACTACTTGAACATTTTTCAGTTTAAAACAAATGAGTCAACATGGATACAGAGGTATGCTGAAGATGTCTTAAAACCTTATAAATCTAAACTATAAATATCCTGGTTGCTACAAGGAAATTTTGTCAGTTTGTTTTATGCTAACATCTTATTTTTTTCGGGTCTGAATGGTTATTACCACCAACTTTCAAATAAATTGGTATTTTTTTCCTAGGTTATATTCTGCTATTTCCCAATAAGAAGTTACCTTTTCCACCTCTGCTCTAGAGAGGTTAATATCAGCATCTGCCCTTCTGTAGGCATCTGTAGCTTTTTCAGCTTCCCTAAATGCCTTTTCATATTGCTTTTCTCTCTGTGAATAAATTTTAAATGAATATAACATTTTTTTGGGCAATACAAACAAACAAGTAAAAGAATAATTAAGAGCTTTTAATATAGACAGGTTAATGTATAATTCAAAATGTTCTGATTCATGTATTGCTCTCAAAATTATAATTTAGCAAAAGAAGACATTTTATCCTAATATTGAGTTTTTTTATCAAGATAGTTAAATCGTCATACCTTTTCCAGTTGAGCTAGAGATGCTTTTAAGTGTTCTTGTATTTTAGCACCTTCTTGAAGTTCCTGTAAAACAGACAAATAATAGAGAGTTATCTTCTAAGACAAATTAGAGAGTTATCTTCTAAGACAAAATAGAGAGTTATCTTCTAAGACAAATTAGAGAGTTATCTTCTAAGACAAATTAGAGAGTTATCTTCTAAGACAAATTAGAGAGTTATCTTCTAAGACAAATTAGCAAGTTATCTTCTAAGACAAATTAGAAAGTAATCTTCTAAGACAAATTAGAGAGTTATCTTCTAAGACAAATTAGCAAAGTTATCTTCTAAGACAAATCAGCAAGTTATCTTCTAAGACAAATTAGAGAGTTATCTTCTAGATATTTATGTCCTTACGAGTCAAACCATAAAAAAAATTCAATACCTGAAAAAAAACCTGCAATTTCAGTCATATCTTCCAATTGTGATATTGAGATTCGTATCTTAATGCATGCAGACTGTTGGTTTTCCTGTTTGAATTGTTTTACACTAGTCATTTTGGGGCCCTTTATAGCTTGCTGTTCGGTGTGAGCCAAGGCTCCGTGTTGAAGGCCGTACTTTGACCTATAATTGTTAACTTTTTACACATTGTGACTTGGATGGATATCTAGAGTTGTCTCATTGGCACTCATACAACATCTTCTTATTTCTATTTTCTATGGTACAGTTACATGTCTTTGTACAAACTTTTACTAGTATTTTTGTATTATAAACACAGCCATATTCTGTACTGCTGATGTCTACTTTAGATCCTAATGTTTTATTTAGTTATAGCCACTTTATTTTGTATCTACAGTCTACCTTAGAAGACAGGTTGTAAAAAAATGTATATGTCCAAACATTTGCTCCTATAAAATTTACTAGAAATTATCGGAAGTTTAATATTATCTTTGAACCTTTTGCAATACTACTTTAGAAGTCCGACATACCTTTCATTTTTCTGTTTGCTTAGATTAAACAGTATACATATAAAATGTTTGTAATCCCTTTACTAATATAGAGAAACTGCTATATACGGCTGCTCTGCCAGTAAGTTTTACTAACATTAAAATACAACTTTGGGTCAAATGCAATAACTTGTATAAAGTATGATATGAGCCTAAACAAAAATTATAAATTATGGCCAGCTAACAAATAAAAAATGGAACAATTGATTCCATACACCCTAAACTTTGTTAAAAGGTTATTAATCTATTCAAAGTTACCTTTTTCCTATCTTGTTTATAGTCTTGTACAAGATTATTTAAATCTTTAATAACATTTCCTTGTGTGTTTTCTGCTATAACTTCGTGTTGACCAGCCAAATCATGCAGTTCTTTCAGTAAATCCCAGAATGCTTTAGCCCAGGAAAACCTAAAATAAAAACAATAATTCATTTCAAAAACAACATGAATTTGAAGTTACCAATCTGGCAGACTGAATACATTGTAGAAATGTTCAGGATTTAAATTTATAACCACCTTAACTGTAACAGGCAGGTAAGACTTATCTTTCTTTGAATACATGTGAGTTAATGTGTTCGATTCTTAACAAAACTAAAGTATTAGCATATTATAGTCAACCATTCAATGTAACTTTGCCTTTGAATGACTTGGAGTCAATTCACAAGGTCATGACTAAGCATTAATTTAAATGCAACAATAATATGAATTATATGATATGAGCCATACCAAATTATTTATTTAATCTTCAGCTTTCTGCTGATAAAAATAGGAGATAAAGAACAAAGTCAATATTTTTTTTTTTTCCATGAATTTTACATTCCACAATATGCCTAGGAAATAAAATACTGTTGATTCATTAACATTCACTGTAAAGTATATATTTTTGTGGATTTCATGGGTAGGCAGTTACCACTTATTTCAGTCATCGCAAAATACAATTAATGAAAAAAATTTATAGGAACAAATATTGAAAACCAAGAAATTAGATACCCAGAGACAGCGCTGAGCTTCACCAATGTTGCAAATTGCGATTTTTATTTCATCTGGCGACAAAATACGGCTGCTGGCGATATTTCTGGCACCAACATTTTCCTATGTCAAAATTTTCATTTCTCGACTGTAACGTTAATATTATTGATCATCATTTTAATTGGTAAAAGTAAAAAAAGAAATTGTACGAAATTTAACTGTCTACCAGTTTATGACTTTGTTTACGATCCCAAGCTAATCATCCATTACAACAGGTGTCATAATCTGTAGTTAGAGGTAATTCGTTTATCGGATGGGTCATTAATGATCATCAACATTAATTCATTCAAATAGAATCAGTCAGTCGGCATTTGTCATTTCGTTTGAAGATATTTTCATACAGCAACACTATTTTCAACATTAACCGTAGTTTCATGAAGATAACGTAATTGACAGAAAGACGAAAACCATAATAAACATGTTAAAAAAATATAGTTTTACTTGTATTCCGTAAAAAATCGTTAATTCAGACGTAATTTGTCTTTGCCTGCCCTCACTTTTGATACGAAAATAACAAAACTGGCCGCCATTGTTGATCGTATTCACTTCTACTGACTACTTTGTGTTATACTCCGAAGAAGGAGCACACCCGAATAAAGAAAGATAGCTCAATTTTATTTTTTCCTAGTATTGAGATACCTATTCAAAATATGTCTATATACTTCTGACTTTAGAATTTATAGGTTTAGGAGGTCTTTTGAGTTATGGGCAAAGTTAACAGGGTCTTGGTAGAAGGATGGGTAGGGTGCTTGGGTCATCATTTTCTGTATTCTTTATTTTTTATTCAAATTTTCACAATTCTGTATATATTAACACTCATTATTCTCTTTTCTTCATTTAATTCCCCAATTTTTTCTATTCTTTATATCGGAATTACTTTTTAATTTAAAACATTTTCCCATTAGTCACTGTTTGGAGACATAAATATTCAGATAAAAACATACAATATGCTGTTTTGTGGGAAAACAGCTGCTTTGTTTTCTTTATTATAATATTGTTATTCCTATACTTAAAAAATACTGACAAAGAAAATAAAAGTACACATGTTTTTTTTCATGTATACAAACCTTATGCAATAACTACCTTAGTCTATCATGTCAAATGATGTACAGTGCATAAGAAATTTAAATTGAACATGGTTTCAATTTTGGTAGAGGAAATCAAGACTCTAGCTGGCTCTAAAGTTGGATCCAAGTTTTCAAAACTTGCGACAACTTATAGCAGCTGGCAATTTTTCTGGCTCCAACTTTTTAGGAGCCAGAGCAGCTCCTGAATACTCTCTCAAAAGTAAAATTTCCCAACCCAGATAATTGAAACCAATAAACTTAATGAATCTACAGTATTTACATTTTGTAATTTATTTATTTATTTGAAAATCCCAGATTACATAATGAAACAAAGAGAAAATTAAGAGAGAAAAATGGGCGTTTCATCAAATAAATTTTGATTAAAAACATTTATAAGAGTAAAACAGTTCAGAGCAAATTACTAAGGAGTAGTCCAAACAAGATTCAAACATTCAATTAGAATTAATGATGATGACCCATTTATTTAGTAAATAACTTTACAGAGCAAAAAAACATTTCAAGGAAAACATGCATATTTGGTCAAGAGCATTTTCAAAACATCTGACCCTTAAGACCTGAATGCAAGGTCATAAAACATTTTGACCTCTTGAAATAAAAATTAGTACATTGTATTTGTGAATCAGATTTTTCCAAGTGTACTTGCACTACACGTATATATAACAACTCTTGACACACATACAGAAAAACAATAACTGTTGCATGTGACAAAACTTTAAAATGTTACTAAATGGAGAATAGAACTGGCTACTGCTTGTGTATCAAGGATAATGTCATTGTTTATAAGAGTTGCACAAAGTACATTTTTTTAGTGGAGATTGGATAAATTTGTAGTCTATGGACAGGGAGTAGTTGGAATTATAAAACAGCTGAGCAAAAATTTCATCCAAGATTACAACCTAACATGGAATTCATAAATCATATTTCATCTTCCTGTCTTTGTTCAAGGAAATAATAAATACTGCCTTGACAAGTGTTTACTCCAATTATAAACAAACAAGAGAAACCAAAAGTGGAACATATTTTCCTTTATCTTAATTACTTCCTTATTGGAAGAAAAACCAAATAATTAAAATCAATCTTATTTCCCCCACCCCCAATTTCCTTATAAGCAGAACAATACAAAAATAAAAAGCAAAAATTAATCAATATATACATTGTTTTAATTCAATCAGCATTTCTGATTATCTCATATCCCCTTTGATCTCTTGATCAAAGATTTTTAACAAAAGTTAAAATCACAATTTCCTAAGGATTGTCCCTTTAATTTTAGGTTGAAGAAGGTCAAATTCAGAACAACTTGATTTCAATTACAAACATCCTTCCGTGTGTTAATAGGTTAAAACCACAATGTATTATGGGATTAACAACAATTATTTTCAGTTTTGATTGCATTTTATCCTAGTTATTCGCATTTAATGATATAAATAATATATATTACACATTAACTCTCTCTTTTAAACACTCTGTCGGTTAATAATTTCCTTTTCATATCTGTGATTATGATTACATTACAACCAAAACTACACATACATGTAATATGAAAAATTTATAGTTGTTTCTGATCATTTCAATCTCAATTAATCCTAAACCTGATTAATAAACAATTGTAAAAATATAGAATCTTAGGCATAACAGCCAGCTTAATCTTAGATTAACATGAGTTCCATTGAAGTAATTGTGGTTGCAACACTGGACATTTTCAAAATGGTTCTTGATACAATCATTCAATAGAGTTGATTGAGGTTGGTATACTCAAAAGCAATTTAGGATATAAATTCATTTAAATGGCCTTTGATTAAAAGTATTAATGAATAGCTAAATTTCAGAATCAAGATCTGGTAATAACACCAATCAGGATTTTCAAATGATTATGAATCAGTAACCTTCCCACAATTCCCTGCACATATTTATCTTACTTACTGTCCATACTCCTCTTCATCTTTCTTTTTTGGCTGGTAATTCTTTACAAGTCTTCTACAATGAAAAATCTTTCTTCTATTTTGTACAAGTCTTTTTCGTTATCAAGCAATACCAAATTTGACTTATAATGCATTTTGGGAATTTGGCATGGATAGCAGACCTTTGATAAGTCTCTGTTAAATTTATTCAGAACTTTTAGACTTTAATATGCCAGATGAAAGTTTTTGATCTTCTTTATATACACCTTTCTATTGTTAAAGCCTTATGTACTGATTAAAAAAAGTTTATCAACATATTTTAAACACTTTTTCTAAATATCCAAAGTTGTGGAAATAAATTTTCAAGTCGAGTGTATGCCAATTAAAAATTGAACTTTATGTGTTTTTTTTTCTTTGTTACAATAATGTATTTATTGTTATTTTTAGAAGTATAGTTTAATTTTTGAAATATAAAATAAAAAATATTAGTTGTTTTACCTTTTTTTTACTCAGTATATTTAATTATGCACGACGTTAGTTGGGTTTTTGTGTAATTAGTTTGTCTAATTGAAATATAGATGTACATACATGTATACCCACATCTCCTTTTATTGATAAAACTTTTATAATCCTCCTTTTAAGGTACATAACTATATCACCATGTGTAGATCGTTCTCAATCATTAAAAGCTTTATTTCAAAGGACCAAGTTTTTTTCATGATTAACTTACATCTGACAACTCAAGTACCCTAGTGTCTGGTTTCAAAAAGTATTTGAAATTCTTATATGCACTTATATAGAAATGTTCATGAGTTCTTTGTGAGTCATAAACCTCGTCATAAGTTATATAGTTGCATTGTTGCATGTCATATCTTAATGTTTTTATTTATTCTTAGAATTGGGTTTTAATAGCACATTTTTTTATTGTTCTTATTTTTTTTCATTTTTATAGATTGGGACTATTTAAAGGTAGACATAGTATATAGTATTGTATAGACACTTGATTTAGTGCCTTTTATTTTTTTTTGTCATTTGAAGGAGGGGGTGTTACAATACATGTATTTTTAAGGTACATTTTTTTTTGTTCTTCAGACTAACTTCAAACTTACTTTAAATTTTTGGCATATTCAAATTCAATATGACTACGTTCTTTCAGAAAATTAGTAAATCTTTCACAAAAATCTATTCCTTTCTGTGTGTGAACAGCTACTGTGTCATACTGATCCTGAAATCACAAAAACAATTTTATAAGCATGTATCAATAAATGAGTCTAAAATTCAGAAAGAGACAGCCTAGAATTACAGTTGTTATTTTATTTTCTATCTTTTCACATATTTTTCTTTAATTGGAAGAATAATTTTCTTCAATATATTTTTTTCCATTAGAATATATGTCCACGTATATAATATTCATACCTGGCAAATGATCTTAATATACAATGTGTTTTTATGTACAATCAACTAACAACAAGGAATTATTTGAATCTGGAATAATTTTGAATTCTGGAAAATTGATCAGAAATTTATGATGAAAACTAACCCAACTAAAAAGGGTTAGCCATGCATGCATGGCTAAGGGGTGTTAGTTAGTTCATACTGAAATGATAGTGAAAGTAAAATTAACCTTAGCCATGCGTGCATGGCTAACCCCATTTAGTTGGGATAGTTTTCATCATACATTTCTAATCAATTTTCCACAATTCAAAATTATTCCAGATTCAATTAATTCCTTGTTTAACATGCTTGGTCTTTCAATTTGATCAAGACACCAAAAAGGTTTGACCCTTTTTTTCATCAAAACTATAATAATTTTGGCGAGAAAACTCTACAATGAGTACGAAAAGTCTTCTAAAAAAAGTTTGTTGTATGAAAATAAAGGCATAATTTTTTAACACACACAAGTCATTGTAAATAAACTTATCATCATGATCTTATACATTTACATAGACAATTAATTAATTTCCAACAGTTATTTGCATTTCAGTTTTGTAGTTGGAGAAATTTTCTGTTAGACTTTACAGTATGTCATTCATGAATGAAATTGAAAATATCCTCTCTGAATGTATATAAATAAATTGACATTCATTTCTAGATAACTTTTCATGCCTGAGGTTAAGTGTCAGTATGATGTGTTTATCAAACTATTAAATCCAAACACTCAAACTGGTAATTCTATGATATGTTTATCAAACAATCAAATTCTCAAATTCTATTTCCTATCCAAATCAAAAATAAACAGTTGAACATATACATTTACTAACATGACCAAATGAACAAAAATTTGCTTTAAATGAACATGCAGAATGAAAAAGGGTTTCTTGAGACCATAACACAGTACAAAGCTTGGGAAATATCTGTCTAAGAATTCATATCAGTAACAAAGTATCAGTGTTCTTGAAGGCACAAAAATAATAGGTTATAATCACTTACAAAAATGTATTTCTTAAAAAGATTTGCATACACCCTGGAAAGTTATCACTACAGTTTCTTTTTCCTACCCTTTCATGCATTTTTTTACAGAAATTAAGGTGCAGACACGTTAAGGAAAATGAACAAAAAATATTGAAGTATATTGGCACCAGAGATGACTTAGCACTAAGAACGATATAATAATTTTATTTCTAAGGAATGCATGTTTTAAGCGACAACACATGGAATTGATGAATTATGGGTAGTAATCTCAATAACAGTACAGATCTTAATCATCTATATACGACAATCTGATATAACAGTTGGCATACACATAATCACTTCATAAAACTACATCTAAAGTGTAAGGTTTTTACAACTTTACACATGATTTGTGTTGTATTACATGTACTGGAGTAAGTATGTCAATTTCTAATGACAGTTTTATGAATGAAAGGTCAATTTCTTGACCCATAAATCATACCTACAGGTATATATATCTTTAAATCATTTTACACATCTATAATTTTCAGACTTTAAGTAAAGTAAACACTTTGTATGACAAAATAATATATTTAAGACAAGATAAAAATTGACCTTTCTTCAGAGTTGAAACTGAAAAGAAAGGAAAAAGTAACTAATTAATGAGGTTAAAAAAAGATGTAATTATCATGATTATAAGTGAGAAGAGAAGAGACAAAATATGTATATTTTGTTTTCAAGGGCAAATCTATTTTAACTTTGTCTGCAACTGGGTCAATTTTTTCTGTCATTCTTGTACTCAAAGACCATCAAGATCATATAAGGTCATAAAAGCATTTGAAACCACAATGGGTTTTTTAATCTTGTGTTCTAATACATAACTTCAAATAAATGTAGCATCCTGGAAATATATCATCAGATGAAACAATATATTGTAACCTTTTGATCTCATGTAAATTAACAAAAATTTGTACAGATATACATGTAATGACCAGGATGAAAAGTATGAACTTCAATGTGCTGTGCAAAAATTAACTACCAAAGCCATTAATGTGAGTGAAAATACCAGGATATTTTGACACATTTATGTTCAATTATGAATATGTTCATAATGTACATGTATTAGATCACTGACACAGTCTAATCAATGTCATTACCAATGCAGAGTGAGACAAAACTAAAAATACAACAATGTTATGTAGTTACCCTTTTTAAATAAGTTTCTTCTTTAAGCAGGTTTACAGCTGGCATTATATACAATACATTCCTACTACATTTAAATTGATAGCACAGAAAACATATGTTTATGATAACCTTCAAGTTCAACAAGGGCAGGGTACCATGAGTTGTTTGATCAGGGTTACCCTGGTTTAAAAAACAATGATATACATGTAAAGGTAGGCAATTAAATGATTTTACATGTAAATGTGGAAAAATTCACAAAACTGCTTTTTAATATGAATTGCTGACAGAGATACATGTATGTCTCGCTTTCATGTGATTTCGATAGTTAAATGGAAAACATTCAGAGGCAATACAAATGTAAGCCATGACTGAGTATCAACAGTAGAAATGAGATAAGCCAATGCTAATGCAACTCCATACCAAATATTATTGACTTATCATAAGTGACCTCATCACAAACTTTAACATGTAAACTATGCAACAAAAGATCAAAATCAATGAACCATGATTGAGGAGTCAGGGCCAAAAAATCTCCATGGAAATGAGATATACATGTTGATGAGCAAATGCTAATACAACTGCATAAAAATATAATTGATTTACGGTTACCCTTAATGGTTCTCTTGATGTAGAGACAAAAATTGGTAAGGGTACATGTAGCAACTCAAAAAAGGAAAGGTAGGGAGCCCTAATAAACAAATATAGGTTTTCTTGGCCTTACTATTATTGCCCCTGAATCACTGCTCAGTACAGTAATTATTTTAAATTCAGGTGTGGTAACAAATTTTTTCCACATTTCCGATCTTTATCTTTAGAAAAAGACAGCATGAAATACAAAAACTCTGGTTTACACTTCATAGTGTTTGTTACATAATTTGTCTACCAGAAACCAGGAATTTGTGAATCATGTTGTTTTAATACACAGCAATTTGTGCATTACATTTTGACAATGTGAATAAATTTTGTAACTGTACAAAATAAGTCACAAAAGTTTTTGTGGGAGTATATTTTTACCTACATGTATATACATGCATGTAGCAACTGAACCATATCAAAAAAAAGTCTGGACAATCATTTTATCACATACATGTATGATAATTTGGACTTGTTTCAATGTAACTTAACTGTCATACATGTAAAAAATGTAGCGGTAGGGAGCAAAGGTTCAATTTGGCACCCTCCTTATATTTGCCTTTCTAATAAAAAAAAAATGTCAAAAATTTTCACTTTTTATTTGAAATTAAAACTGTCGAACTTAGCTTTCATGTAAAAATTTACAAACAGAATCCAACTTCATACAGGAGACTTTATCTATCTGCTAAACAAATACTTTCTATCCAGGTGTACAATTGCACTAAAGGTCATGTCGAAAGATCTGGCATACGGAACCCCACAGGTCAGTATCAACATATTTTTCATTCTCTAAACACTTGTTAAATAGACAGTGATCTGACACATGATTTACAAACAATACACTTGTATGTATCTATAGACATTATAGGGGTGATACTTATGTGTCTTCAGGAAGCAATTACTATGATAATAAAAGCATGATTTTTTAGTCAGCTCCACACTGTATTATGATGCAGCTGGTGCAACACTTTTTAAAGTGTTTTGGCAATCATATATACTGAAGAAGGAAAAAATCTGATTTAGAATGAGTCAAATGGAGGAGTAACATCTGATTAAATCTTAACATGTCAAATCAATGTCTAGACATTACACTGTCCTAATTACTTCAAAATGCAATGTATATTTGAGAAATCTGAGATATTTTTCATGATGTCCTGATTTAATCCTTTAAAAAGAAATTTTCATTTTTTTTCCTCTTATATATTTATTTTCAATCATATATTTTATTTAGGAAAAGAAACATTCAAAACAGTTAATACTTCGTGTAACTTGAACATTTTCTTATTCTAACAGTACTTGACCAGGTAAGATTATGAAGATGGTAGGGACTGGTTTCTATGGTAATAAACTGTAATATAAAGTCAGAAATTTGTTATTGACCTCACTGAATTGACTAGTATTACCGGTAGCTAGTTTTCCTCAAGTGCAATAACTCCTATAAGGTGTCAACTGCTGATTCAGCTATTCTATGTAGACCTTGTTTTGCAGACCATGTTGGCTATTTAAATTTTCTCTGCTTCCACTATAATATAATACATGTACATTTCATAAAGAACACAAAAATAGGTCAAAACTGCAATTAAAAGGGCCATTTGACTTATGATAAGATCTTGTCTAGCTGACTGTTTCTGCTGTTTAAAGCCTCTATCTCTTATAGTTTAGAAGATTATAATCAACAAGTTCCGACTGTGAGCCACTGCTCAATAATGACACACTGGCTATAATTATTATTTGCTAAACAGGAAATTGATTAGCAATAAACACTATATAGCATGCTGACATGAATGTTGATACAAAATTTCAGAGTGCTCTGATATGCAGTTCCTGAGAAAATGTGACGAAAATTTCATACTGTTGATTCATTTACTTTTGTGGATATTTGATTTCGTGGTTTTGCCCAAGTCTACATGTATATATATAGTACAAGCTACTTGGTAATGTTCACTTTGTTGATCATTATACATCAATTGGTCCATCTCAGTATAAATGTATGACAAATGGTGGATTAAACATTAA